GCCTCCTGGGTTCAAGCGATTTTCCTGCATCAGCCTCCCAAGTAGCTGGGATTACAGGCATGTGCCGCCACACCTGGCTAATTTTTGTATTTTTAGTAGAGACAAGTTTTCGCCATGTTGGCCAGGCTGGTCTTGAACTCCTGACCTCAGGTCATCCACCCATCTTAGCCTCCCAAAGTTCTGGGATTACAGATGTGAGCCACCGTGCCCAGCCTGTGAGCCACTGCGCCCAGTCTTGCCTGTCTCCACTAAAAACAAACATTAGCCTGGCATGGTGGCATGTGCCTGTAATCCCAGCTACTCGGGAGGCTGAGGCAGGAGAATCGTTTGAACCCAGGAGGCGGAGGTTGCAGTGAGCCAAGATTGTGCCACTGCACTCCAGCTGGGTGGCAGAGTGAGACTCCATCTCAAGAACAAACAAAAAACATGACAGCCCCTGACTTTAGAGAGTTCACATTGATAACTGAGACCTAGATGTTCATTAAAGAATAAAAATGGAGTGGCTGAGAGTGATCCATGGTGCTATGAAAAGAGATCGAGAAAGTTCTTCTGAGAAGGCACTGATTTTATAGAGATATGAAGGAAGAACAGAAGTTGGGTCGGTTAGGAGGACATGGGGCATTCCTTCAGGGTGACCAACATGTTTAAAGAGGGATGATGAGACTACGAATTGAAAGACGGGCTGTGGGATCAGGACACACAGGGCCAATGGAAGTACAGATGACACGAGGCTGAAAGAATAGGTGGGGACTGGTGCCAGACCGTTCATCCCCTTCTAGTCTGTGTCAGGGATTTTGATGTTTATCCCAATGGGAAGCCATAGGATAGGGGGAATGTTGTGACATCAGATTTGAATTCTGAATTTTGAAAAGATCATTCTGGCTGCTGTGTGGAGAACTTACTAGAAAGCGCATTATTGTTGCTTTCAAGTCCACATTGGTAATGGTATGATGATTGCCTAAATATTCAAAAGTCTTCCATGCACTCCCTCAGAGAGCTGCTTCTGCATCACTTTGCCTTTTAGAATGCATGTGGGCACTTCCCACAGACCCTTGCCACAGAAAACCAAGCAAAATAAAATGCCATTGTGCATTTGAGGAACTATGTTTGCCAGGCTAGTGCTCTGTTTTAATTATTGTTTGTGGAAGATAAAATATAAGAGGCCTGGCATAGTGGCTCACTCTTGTAATCCCAGCATTTTGGGAGGCCAAGGCGGGCAGATCACCTGAGGTCAGGGGTTTGAGACAAGCCTGGCTAACATGGTGAAACTCTGTCTCTACTAAAAAAAATACAAAAATTAGCCAGGCGTGGTGGCATGTGCCTGTAGTCTCAGCTACTAGGGAGGCTGAGGCAGGAGAATTGCTTGAACTTGGGAGGCGGAGGTTGCAGTGAGCCAAGATCATGCCATTGCACTCCAGCCTGGGTGACAGAATGAGACTCTGTCTCAAAATATATATATATATATGTTTATGTTTTATATATGTATATCTTTTATGTTATATATATTTTTTATGATATACACGTGTGTGTATGTGTGTGTGTGTGTGTATATATATATAACATAAAAACTGTCATTTTACCACACACACACACAACAAAACACAAACCCTGCTTCTACCTATGTTTTCTTTTTCAGGCCCTCTACAAGGCTGACTTGGAGTGGTTGCGTGGCATTGGCTGGATGCCCCAAGGGTCTCCTGAAGTATTGAGAGTCAAAAATGCCCAGGAGATCTTTTGTGACAGTGTCTATCGGACGCCTGTGGTGAACCTTAAGTACACAAGCATTGTTGACACACCTGATGTGGTCCTTGCTAAATCAAATGCTGAAAATATTAGTATTGTAAGTTAGTTTTTTTCTGTTAAAATTGAATTCATGCCATAAATACATGAGAAATAATAAACCTGGTAATCTATTTTAGAATAGTAATAACTTCGTTAATAACAAAAGTTTTATTAAGTAATACTGACAGTATTGTCTTGGTTTGCTTATTAATTTTAAGGAAAAACTCAAAGTATTAATAAAAGGAAATAATACAAATCTTATACCAAATTTGAGTAACTTATGTGAAAAGATTCCAGAAATCTTTGCCCTAACGTGAAAAGGTTTTAGATCCAATCCAAAAGAAAATTAAAGTTGTGTACTGGGACTAGTGACATGAAATTTTGAAGTAATCTTGTTATTATTGTTTCTTTCCACAGCCAAAGTACAGAGAGGTTTGGGACAAGGATAAAACTTCAGTCCACATAATGCCAGATACTCCAGAAATTAACCTCGCTAGAGCAAATGCTCTTAATGTGAGCAATGTAAGTACCACAACAGACTCTCTTTTGTCTGGAAAGTTACCCAGTCAGGGCTATACTATGACCATGGAAGGGAGGGAAGATGGCCTTGGTGGGGTGGGGAAGACTCCTTGCAGTCAGCCCTTGACTAGGACTGAGGCAAAGAGGAGATCCCTGGTGATTCACTGGGAAGGCCAGTTACTGGTGAGTCAATATCTCCACAACAAAAGTCTCCTTAGTTGTCCTTTGTGAATAAGGGGACAAAGAAGGTGAAAGAGGAATGAAGAGATGCACAAACAAGAAAGGAGAATTAATGATAGACTCAGATAAACTCAAAATAATTATAATTCTTTTTTTTTCTTTTTTGAGACGGAGCCTTGCTCTGTCGCCCAGGCTGGAGTGCAGTGGCACGATCTTGACTCACTGCAAGCCCCGCCTCTCAGGTTTACGCCATTCTCCTGCCTCAGTCTCCCAAGTAGCTGGGACTACAGGCACCCGCCACTACGCCGGGCTAATTTTTTTGTATTTTTAGTAGAGACAGGGTTTCACCGTGTTAGCTAGGATGGTCTCGATCTCCTGACCTCGTGATCCACCAGTCTCGGCCTCCCAAAGTGCTGGGATTACAGGCGTGAGCCACCGCACCCGGCCATTAATTATAATTCTTTGCAAAAATATATGAATTAATTCTAAAACATGGATCTCTGGGGGTTTTCTAGAAAATTATAAATGACCAAAATTGACTCAAGGGAAAAAAAAAAACATATAGCAAGAAATTAAGAGGTTTCTTAATTAAGAAATTAAGGAGAGCATTTAAACACTTTCCTTCCTACTTTCAAATGTCAGGGTCCCCTTGATGATTTCAAAACTTCTACACATAAATAAATTACCAGGAGCCTAGTAAAAGAAGGAAATCTGTTGCAATTACCAGAACTTTTCAAAGACAGTGTCACACATTAAAAACTATAGACCGGCTGGGCATGGTGGTTCATGCCTATAATCCCAGCACTTTGGGAGGCCAAGGCCAGGGGATTGCTTGAGTCCAGGAGTTCCAGACCAGCCTGGGCAACATAGGGAGACCCCATCTCTGCAAGAAAATAAAAAATAAATTAGTTGGGCACAGTGATGTGCACCTGTGGTCCCAGCTACTTGGGAGGCTGAGGTGGGAGGATCTTGCTTAAGCCCAGCAGGAAGAGGCTGCAGTGAGCCATAATCATGCCACTGCACTCTAGCCTGGGAGACAGGGCAAGACCCTCTCTCAAATAAATAAATAAATAAATAAATAAATAAAATTTAAACTGTAGACCAATAGTAATGGGGGGAATCTTAAATATTAATAAACCAAATTCAGCATTACATTAAAATGATATGATACAGTCAACTGGGGTTCATGCAGGAATGCCAAGAGGGCCCCATAGTCAGAGACCTAATAGTGCCATAGAACAAGAAGAAAAAGCTCATTTTATTAGATTTAAATGGCATCTGACAAAATCCAATACCCATTCTTATTTTTTAAAACTAAAATCTTAGTTAAGAAAGAATAAGTGAATATTTTTTTGACATGACTGAAAAATAAATCTCAAATCAAAGCCCAACTCATCCTCAGTGACCAAACTTCTTGTTCATATCAGGATTAAAATGAGGATGCCCCCTAACATCGTCGTTATTTAACATTTGCTGTAAGTATTGGCTAAGTGAGTGAGCCTCTCATCGATGCTAATGTAATTACTCAAGAGTAAGAACATGCCCGGCGCGGTGGCTCACGCCTGTAATCCCAGCACTTTGGGAGGCTGAGGCAGGCAGATCATGAGGTCAGGAGATTGAAACTATCCTGGCTAACATGGTGAAACCCGTCTCTACCAAAAATACAAAAAATTAGCCGGGCTTGGTGGTGGGTGCCTGTAGTCCCAGCTTCTCAGGGGGCTGAGGTAGGAGAATGGCGTGAACCCCGGAGGCAGAGCTTGCAGTGCACTCCAGCCTGGGTGACAGAGTGAGACTCTGTCTTAAAAAACAAACAAACAAACAAAAAGAGTAAGCACAGAAGATAAATATTGGAAAGAAAGAGGCCAAATTATCATTATTTGCAGAAGTTATTTTAAGCCTTAAAAAAGGAAGAGAATCAACTGAAAAAAAAAAAAAAAAAAAAAAACCTATTTGTGAGGACAAGATAATCCAGTTACGTGGCTGGCTACACAATTCAAGGAAGTTCAAGGAAGATACCACCTTCATGGATCACAGAAACTGCTTGTGTGTAGAATAGTATGACCTTAGTGCAATTTGCCAAGGCTTGAAAGTTTGCACGCTTTCAAAAGAATAATATGTCTTTGTGAGAGAAGGAGGCTGCCAGCAAAGATTCCTCACTATGTGCCAAACAGCTCTATAAATTCTAGTATAATGAGCCACCTGGGGACTAATTTTTTCCAATGTTTAAGAAGAAAATACAATTTTAGGGCACTGATGTATTTTCTCTTTTGGACCAGATATCAATGTCATGGTGCAGTGCATTCCTGTCAAGAGGCTGAATCAAGGGGTAGTCAGTTCTTCATTGCAGTGCAGATGCCTCTTCCCACCTAATCCATAGGCATCTGTGGCAGGAGAATTCTGGAAAGTCTCATATGCTCTCTTTTTCATGATGAATTTCTCAGCTGAAAACACCAGAACTTTACCATAGATACTATATGAGCAAGACTAATATTCAAAATTATGCTAAAAGTAAATTAACTTTATTTAGATATTAATGAGAATGACTTCTATTTTGAAAGAAATCAAACATCCCATTTGAATGCTAACCAAACTGCACAGACATTTTCTTTACACGTGTATCACCATTACTGTAATCTTGATTAAACGCACAATTTAAAACTGCTGCCATCCTTTAGAAAGCACAACTTTAGCGGAATATTTGTATGTGATTTTATGGGTAACAAAGCAAATTCACGTTAAAGTGACTCGTTTAATCTTCATGCTCACTACATGAGTAAGATATTGTTATTTTGTTTTTATCAGGTGGTAAATTGAGACTTTTAAAAGTTGAGAAATTTTCCCATGTTCTCAAAGTTAGTAGTTGAAAAAATTGAGTCTTAGGCCCCAGGCTTTTTTTTTTTTTTTTATATATAGTTAAAAATGTATATATATATTTGGCTGGGCATGGTGGCTCGTGCTTGTAATCCCAGCACTTCGGGAGGCCGAGGAGGGTAGATCACTTGAGGCCAGAAGTTCGAGACTAGCCTGGCCAATGTTGTGAAACCCCATCTCCACTAAAAATAGAAAAATTAGCCAGGCACAGTGGCGGCTCACCTGTAATCCCAGCTACTTGGGTGGCTAAGGCACAAGAATCGTCTGAACCCAGGAGGCAGAGGTTGCAGCGAGATCGTGCCACTGCACTCTAGCCTAGGTGACAGAGCAAGACTCTGTCAAATGTATATATATGAATATACATATGAATATATATGTGTATATTTATACATATACACATATATATTCACATTAAAAAGTATTACATAAGAAAAATAGTGTAAAAATATGCATAATAAAATAGAATGAAAACAAAAAATAAAAAGATAACATAATACATGTTTGCATTAACTATTTTCTAGTTTAATTAATTAATTATTTATTTTTTGAGAGGGAGTCTCGCTGTGTCACCCTGGCTGGAGTGCAGTAGTGCAATCTCAGCTCGCTGCAACTTCTGCCTCTCGGGTTCAAGCGATTCTCCTGCCTCAGCATCTCTAGTAGCTGGGATTACAGGTATGTGCCACCACACTCAGCTAATTTGTGTATTTTTAGTAGAGACAAGGTTTCACCATATTGACCAGGCTGGTCTCAAACTCCTGACCTCAAGTGATCCACCTGCCTCGGCCTCCCAAAGTGCTGGGATTACAGGCATGACCCACTGCACCCAGCCCTTCTCGTATATTTTAATAAGGAGAATATTTTTTCTTCTGTGCAGAAAACAAGTCAACTGTCAAAATAGTCCCATTTAAAATTTATACAAAGCTTGTTTGAAAATTCATATAAAACTTGTCCTTGCTTACAGGGATAAAATTTGAGCACTCATTTTTCAGACATGCAAAAGCTACAAAACTGTCACTAATTAAAATCCACTTCTTTCTGTGCTGTGGAAGCTCCCCTACTGATAGGCATGATTTGTGAATTATATATTTAAATTACTATTATTTCTGAGTCTTTCTGTTATTTGTTAATACACAATGTATCCATGAAAATGTTAACATATGCTTACATACATTTTTTAAATACTTGTAAATCAGTCACTACTTTAGTTAACTTCTCTTTAAAACCAAAAGAATAGCTGTTACATCCAATCATGCTTCAGCGGAAGATCTAACATTACCAAATGATAAGGATCATTAATCACATAAGATCAAAAAAGCCATATTGAAAAAAACCCACAAATGTAAAAAGTTTACAATTCTGAAGGTTACAAAACTGAACTGAATTTGAGATAAATTGAATTACTGCATTAAAGAAATTCTAATGTCTAAAGTTATCCCAATGTTACCAATACACTGACACAAGAAAACAAAGCCAAACCCTTTTTATTAACGAGATTATGAAGCATGAGCAACTACTTCAAGGCTATCATTCCAGTTTAAAATTTATTGTACATTTGAAAATAACTGAAAGAGTATAATTGGAGCACTTTGGGAGGCCAAGGCAGGTGGATCACCTGAGGGTCGGGAGTTTGAGACCAGCCTGACCAACATGGAGAAACCCCGTCTCTACTAAAATACAAAATCAGCCGGGCCTGGTGGCGCATGCCTGTAATCCCAGCTACTCGGGAGGTGGAGGAAGGAGAATGGCTTGGACCCGGGAGGCAGAGGTTGGGGTGAGCCGAGATCGCACCATTGCCCTCCAGCCTGGGCAACAAGAGTGAAACTCCATCTCAAAAAAAAAGAAAAAAGAGTATAATTGAAATGTTTATAACACAGACTTGATAAATGCTTGAGGTGGTGGGTACCCAGTTACCCTGATGTGACTATTACCCATTGTATGCCTACATCAAAATATCTCATGCACCCTAGAAATATACCTACTATGTACCCATAAAAATAAAATATAAAACATTAAAAATAATAAAAACAAAAGAATGGAGATTGTCAAGCCCAGACCTTTGGACTCCAGACACCATTACCTGTTCCAGGACATGGTGCATAGAACAATTCTCACCTATTCTCTTCTTTAACTGCTCTCAAGTCCTTGGACTTCAAAACTTTGCCCCTGTGATGTGAATTCCACCTGAGCCACTGAAGGTATTGGTAAATTTGAATCTAGGATGATATCTTATTTTTCTCCTTTTCAGAAACTTTACCGTGAGGGCTGGGATGAAATGAAGGCAGGCTGTGATGTCCGGCTGGATGCCATCCCCATCCAGGCTGCCAAGGCCTCCAGGGAGATTGCCAGTGACGTGAGTGGCCTTTTTCAACTTCTCAGTTTTTTTTCAGCCAATGCCCTAGGTGCATCGAGAGGACATGCTGTGACCCATCTGCTTTATTTTTGCATCTCCAGTATAAATACAAGCTTGACCATGAGAAGCAGAAGGGACACTACGTGGGCACCCCCACAGCCAGGGATGACAACAAGATCCGCTGGGCCCTCATAGCTGACAAGCTCCAGAATGAACGAGAGTACCGGCTGGACTGGGCCAAATGGAAGGCCAAGATCCAGAGCCCCGCGGACATGCTTTCCGTCCTGCACTCTAAAAATTCCCAGGCTCTGGTCAGTGACGTGGATTACCGCAATTACCTGCACCAGTGGACCTGCATGCCCGACCAGAACGATGTGATTCAGGCCAAGAAGGCCTACGAACTGCAGAGCGATGTGAGTGGGCTGCATTTGGGAATGAACTCTTCTCAGTTGGCCATGAATCCCAGAGAGTTTATGACACTAAACCCTTTTGTCATCATTTTACAACTTCATAACACCAAGAATTTAATATTAGTGAAACCTTATAGTATGGTATCAAAATCGCCAAATCCAATAAGGACCTAGACTTTATATCAAGAGATAAATGGTAGTATGAATACAGGTCTTAATTGTATCAGATTAAAGAAAACTGTGAAAATATTCCTTCTGTAGAATTTAGACAGCAATAGAAGCTTATATCCAGTAAAATATTGGCAGCCCATGGACAGGATGTAGGCACAGACATGCTTTTTTAAAATGATACAGTGTTTAGAAATTTTGAACTAAGTTGCCAAGATTTTAAAATCCAAAAATTTTTGTGTACAAATGTCGAATTTCCCATTTCCCTTGGAAATTCAGAGGACGCAGCTCTGAATTATCCCTTAGTAACAATAACCAGAACAGAATCAAGGATAACCCCTTTTAAATAAAAATATATGCTATAGTTTGTCACACTGCCTGGCTGCCTAATGAATTTTCTTACATTACCTGCGTGGCTGCTTGAGTATGTCCTCCTTGGCTTATATAGCATTTACATTGTATTTCTTCATCAGACTAATGGATAGCCTAACTAGGACTACATGACCAGGGTTGCTGAACTCATTCTGGCCTTGTTTTCACAGAATGTTTACAAGGCTGACTTGGAATGGTTGCGTGGAATTGGGTGGATGCCAAATGACTCCGTGTCCGTCAATCACGCCAAACATGCCGCGGATATCTTCAGTGAGGTATTCCAAAATTTTACCCTGACATTCAGTACATTTCCCAAGAAAGTGACAAAATGCACAAACTAAAATATAGTCATCTAATATCAGCAGTCTTAACCATTTCAATGGCTGTGATTTAAACTGGATATATATTTTTTTGAAAATGTACTGTCCCTATCACATTATGGGACCACATCCATAATATATCCAGGACATTCACTGATACTTGGCATTGTATAAATGGAAAAATCTTTTTGTCAGCAATAGCAATATACTTGGGAAACGTTTGTCCCATTGGAAAAATGTGCATTGCGATACACGTAATGATACATTATATAACTTTGAGAGCTAAGCAAACTTCCTACTTTAAAATCTGTGGGAGGCATAAGAGGCTGATCCATTTGTTTAAAAAATAAAATGCTAAAAAGAAAGCCAAATTCCCAAGAAGACGCCATTCAAATATGGCACTGTATGTTTCTAGTAGAGAAGGACCCTAAATTTAGTGTATCTTTCTCAGTTCACACACATCCAGGAATTACAACTATCTAAAAGCTGCTTTCTTTCCCATAGAAAAAATATCGCACAAAAATAGAAACTCTCAACTTTACGCCTGTGGATGATAGAGTTGATTATGTGACAGCGAAACAAAGTGGCGAGATCCTTGATGATGTAAGTATATGGCTGTTTTAAAATCTCACTATCAGGCAGATATCACTTCCAAAGCTTTTCCATCTACTTACACTCAACGTGCAATCATCTGAAATACAGATTTTAATCATTAAAATGATGGATGCTAACAATTGCTTGGACAACATGATGTTTTCTTAATAAGTAACTTGGCCCCTTGCCTCTCATTTTTTTTTTTTAGATTAAATACCGAAAAGACTGGAATGACACCAAATCAAAGTACACCCTCACAGAAACTCCCCTGCTGCACACTGCCCAGGAGGCTGCCAGGATACTGGACCAGGTATGGGTTTCACCCAGATGCCTTGTATTTGTGCACGAGTGGAGGGCCTTAATGGAACTGTAGGATAATTATGTACACAACTTACCCCTCCCTTCTGACTCCTCATTTCAACCCTTTACTGTGGCTCTGTCTTTCAGTATCTCTACAAGGAAGGCTGGGAGAGACAAAAAGCCACAGGTTACATTTTGCCTCCAGATGCTGTGCCATTTGTTCATGCCCATCACTCCAGTGATGTTCAGAGTGAGGTAATATATCCTGATGGGAGTGCATTTTGCAAAAGTGGGACCTTGCTCCCAGGGATTCCAGTTATGCTGAAGGCAGAGATAGCACCTTCAAGGTGTTCAGTTTCAGTGTGGCAGACCTGGCCAGGCTTGGTGATGGTTGGAGTACCTGCTCCCTTTTTGATCTTTCTTTGGGCTTTCTTCTTTCTTCACCACCTCCCCCCCGCACCCCCTTGGCTTCTTTAAAAGCAATTGTTCAAATTATTTACTTTTTCTTATATTCTCTGCCCTCCCTGAAATCTTTAGGCCTTCGAATAAAACTATTGCCAGAATCAGAGAACAAGTATATGTTTTTTCTCTATTTTTATTTTTTAAAATTTATTTTTATCATTTTTAGGGCTATCTCAGCAGAATATTTTTCTATTTTTAAATAGGTGTTTCTTCACATGGATTTATTTCAACGCTTTTTATTATTTGTTCTCAGAGTTGGGGGTGGATATCAAACAAAAATCTAGGGGGCTGAATTTGCTGATATCCCTTAGTAGATGGTCAAGCCCCCTCTGCCTTGTATGCTTGTCAAAACTGATGGAATTTACACTCCTCTTCTCACCAGCTGAAATACAGAGCTGACCATGTGAAGCAAAAAGGTCATTATGTTGGTGTCCCGACGATGAGAGATGACCCTAAGCTGGTTTGGTTTGAGCATGCAGGCCAGATTCAGAATGAGAGACTATACAAAGAGGACTATCACAAAACAAAGGCCAAAATCAATATACCTGCTGATATGAAGTCAGTCTTGGCCGCCAAGGAGGGGCAGACCCTTGTCAGTGATATTGACTACCGTAATTACTTGCACCAATGGACGTGTCATCCTGACCAGAATGATGTTATTCAGGCAAGAAAGGCCTATGACCTACAGAGCGATGTAAGTGATTTTTGTTTCTTCATTATCTAGAAACTCATGGTACACTCTGAGAATGAGGAGCAACATCCCAGATCCACAAGTGCTTAAAATTTGAGGCCACAGATAATTTGTTCCCGAAGGGAATTGAGGCTGGATATGAAGTAGAGAAAGATCAGGAGCAGTGATGGATTGATTGGTTTGCCTACTGACTGCATTTCTGAATACCTTTCAATCAATTTTTTTTTAATCTGCTTTTGTACCATTTTGGCCATCAGCAACTCCTCACTCACATTCACATGGAAAAGTATCAGCTGATTGAAAATAATAATTGGCTTGGGTGGAAATTGAGAATGAGTTGAGGTTTTGACAATATTAGGTGATAAGCACAGTTAAAGACCTAAGCATGCCCTATTCCTGCTTTGCCAAGCATCTCATTCCTCGAGGCATTGATGAAGTTGTTCCCAAAGCAAAAGAGAAATGAAATACTGATTAAGTTGCACGAGGGCCCAGTATGCCTCATGCAGAGCTTTGGTAAAGCTAGGATAGAGAATAAGACATAACCTACCTCCCACTGATACCTGAATCAAGATCTCTACCTGCCACCAGCCTTCAGTATGTGCAGAATAGTAACTTGATGCATCAACTTAGTTGCTTAGGTGCCCAGAGAAGCTAATGCTACCTGGGTCTTCTCATCATTAACAAAAGGGAACCTGGAAGTCAAAGACTGCTGCAGCAAAGATGTTGAACTTGAACATTCAACCTCACTGGTTGCTGCAGCAAAATGGCAGTTGTGGAACTTTAATCAGAATAGCAACTCCTCTTATTTTCATGTCAAGTAGGCTGGGAGAATCCAGGTGCTTGAAGGCGTAAGGGCAAGAATAGGTTTGGCTGGGACCCAGGGGATGACTCCCCCTGCCCAATACATGAACATTTACTTGTGTAGTTTCCCTCATTTAGTCTAAATGCCCCCACATACTTCTACGTGACTAAATGTACCAAATCCATCTAAAAGTACAACCTCCTTGGTAAGCCTTTTCTTATGACAATAGCAGAAAATAAAAGCCCCTTCCCCTCAACTCCAATAGCATTTGAGCACTTGATCTAATAGCACTTCTTGCTTTATAAATGACTTATCTCGACTCCTAGACTCCTTTTTTATACTTACTCATCAAAGCACCAAGCATAGTGCCTCATGCACAGTAATAGCCTCAAGAAATATTGCTCAGGTGAAATCACAATTGAATGAATGAGACAACTACTAGAGAGAAATCCTTTAAAAGCTTTTGAAAAAATTGTAACCTGCCCTCTGTAAGCCTGTGTCTCAGTCATTTATTCCTCCATTATACCTCTCTTCCTGCTCTCAGAATATCTACAAAGCTGACCTAGAGTGGCTCCGAGGCATTGGCTGGATCCCCCTGGATTCTGTGGACCATGTGAGGGTTACTAGGAACCAGGAAATGATGAATCAGGTATGCAAAGCCTGTTCTCCTTCTAACCTAATGCCTGCCCTCCTACCTGCCATGTGCAGGTAGATAACCTGTGGTGGTGGACCTGTCTTAATTGTCTCCATTTCTTTACAGATCAAATATAAGAAAAATGCCCTTGACAACTATCCTAACTTTACAAGTGTGGTAGATCCTCCAGAGATTGTTTTAGCCAAGATTAATTCTGTCAATCAAAGTGATGTAAGTTTGCTTTGTGCGGGCTGAAGTGCACAGACTGGGGAGTAAATTATGTATCATTGGGTGGATCAGGTTAACTTTAGATAATTGCTTGTAAAAAAAAAATTGGGAGGTGGTAAATTCTAAGATCACCTTTGGAGGGTATATCTTAAAAGTCACTAGCAGGTGGTAAATTGTATTCACTTTTAGGTATCTATATTCCTATCCAAATTATTCTATTGTTTTAGCTAAAATGGACTAAAATTCAACCAGTTGGTTAGTTTTAATCTCTAAACGTGGACTGATTATGTTTCTAGGTAATCTTATAAAAATGTAATATACACTTATAGTAATAAAAGATTTGGTTTTCTCTCCTTAGGTAAAATATAAAGAAACATTTAATAAAGCAAAGGGCAAGTACACGTTTTCACCAGACACACCGCATATCTCCCACTCTAGAGACATGGGAAAACTCTACAGCACTGTGAGTTCTCTTTCATGTAATAACCACTCAGTTTCTAATTTGAAGCCCTTGTTGCATTCATATGCTTGGCTGATTTTGTCAACTGCTGAACTTATAAGGCAACCTATTATTTATTTTCCCATTGCACTTAGTCTTGTGTATTAGAAGTAGCATGGTATTCAAGGCAAATAGTACTTATTCGGCTGGTGTTTTTGAGCTCCTGTGATGTGCCAGGATCTGTAGGCGGCAACGAGAGGCTAAAGCTCAATGAGACAAGCCTTCAGGAGCTCATGCAAGTGAGGGAACAGACTTAAATTGATAGAATAATAATCTAACAAGTGCTCTGGATGCACATAGGATTGAGCACCTACCAATAGAGAAAAGGGAGGAAAGTCTGGTCCCTCTTTAGTAATCATGCATCAGCATCTCTAGCCAACAAGAGGAAAACTTGCTCTCCAAAATTTCATTCAGTTAATTTAAAGGAGGCCGATGGTGCGCACGTGTGGCCTGGGAAAGAATCTTTGCCAGTTCTCTCCTTGTGTACAAATTTCTTGTCACTTTTACTAGGACCACAGATATAGTCAACTCTTATAAAATGCCTAGAGTCAGCCGGGCATGGTGGCTCACGCCTGTAATCCCAGCACTTTGGGAGGGTGAGGCGGGTGGATCACCTGAGGTCAGGAGTTCGAGACCAGCTTGGCCAACATGGCGAAACCCCGTCTCTATGAAAAATACAGAAATTAGCCAGGTGTGGTGGTGCATGCCTATAATCCCAGCTACTCGGGAGGCTGAGACAGGAGAATCTCTTGAACCCAGGAGGCGGAGGTTGCAGTGAACCAAGATCACGCCACTGCACTCCAGCCTGGGGGACAGCAAGATTCCGTCTCAAAAAACATAAAAATAAAATAAAATAAAAAATAAAATAAAATGCCTAGAGTCTGTAAGTTTGATTTGCAATAAACCAAATAACTGCCCTGTTCTAGGTAGACACACTAACGGCTATAGATAAAGATTTCAGCCTTGCCTTGAACATACGTTTCACCTTAATTTGACCAACTCTTTTAGTGGTATCTGAAAGAAGTTGAAAGTTTTCTTTTGTAAGAAATGTATTGTTGCCATGTATTTCTTTGTTCTAGATACTGTATAAAGGGGCATGGGAGGGCACCAAGGCCTATGGCTACACCCTGGATGAGCGCTACATTCCCATTGTTGGAGCCAAGCATGCTGATCTGGTGAACAGTGAGGTCAGTATGACCTTTTCCTCTCCTAAGTTTGAGAGTCTTTACTGGGGATCAAGGGACTGGTTAGGAAACTCCAGCGATTCTCAATGTTGAACCCACTTTACAGCTTAAATACAAAGAGACATATGAGAAGCAGAAAGGTCACTACTTGGCTGGAAAAGTGATCGGTGAATTCCCTGGTGTGGTTCACTGTCTGGATTTCCAACAGATGAGGAGTGCGGTAAGTAAATGTCCACTTTAACACGGGATTTGTGCCCCGTAAGTGTGTTGTCGTGTCTGCATATTTATAACTTGCCCTTTGGTTCAGGTTAGCTGGGAAATGGAGTAACATAGAGTCCTTCCTGCCAGTCAGCCTGTGGACTTTTAGTGGCTGTGTGCTTCTTCCCTGCCACTTTCTCCCTGACTATTAAACACTGTGACTGCTTTGTGTTAAGAAAAGGAAAAAGCATCAGGGTCACTATTTACCCTGTGTTATAAAAGGATGGGAAATTTCAGGCCAGGTGTAATGGCTCATGCCTGTAATCCCAGCACTTTGGGAGGCCAAGGCAGGTGGATCACCAGAGGTCAGGAGTTTGAGACTGGCCTGGCCAACATGGTGAAACCTCATCTCTACTAAAAATACAAAAATTAGCTGGGCATGGTGGCGCATGCCTGTAATTCCAGTTACTTGGGATGCTGAGGCATGAGAATTGTTTGAATCCAGGAGGCAGCAGTTGCAGTGAGTGGAGATCACACCATTGTAATCCAGTCTGGGCAACAGAGCAGGACACCATCTCAAAAAAAGAAAATAAAAAAAAGGATGGGAAATTTCAAAAGAAGAAGAATATATTAAAGTATAATTTTTTTAACCTTAGTTTATTCTAGAGATACTGATCTAAATGGGAAATAAGGATCTAAAAGAGATTGATCTGAATAATTTACATTTAAATCCCTTTCTTATTTTTGTCTTTAAAACATGTTAGTTGAACTACAGAAAACATTATGAGGATACCAAAGCAAATGTTCATATCCCCAATGACATGATGAATCACGTGCTGGCTAAAAGGTGCCAGTACATCCTCAGTGACCTGGAGTATCGACACTATTTCCACCAGTGGACATCTCTTCCGGAAGAACCCAATGTTATACGTGTCCGAAACGCCCAGGAGATCTTGAGTGATGTATGATGTCCTTTCTGAAGCTTGACTTAGCTACAGTTTCCATGACTCTGTCTTGGCTACCCCCCAACCCTGGCTGCCATGCTCCCGTTGTCCCTGTATTCATAAATCTTGCTGCTTCTCAACACAAAGTGGCATGAGTAACCACTTTTTGGTATAAGAATCCACCCTAAGCCATTGGACACATATGTTAAATATTTAGTTGGTTTAACACTAAACTCAGACTTTGATATTGCTCTCAAGCTTCTTTAGGCTTGGGAATTAAAGACCTTCCAGCTGGTGAGAGGCCTACCCTATGTCTTCTAAGCAAGAAGCACAGCCAGCGGCTGACAGGAAATTATCAAATGCTCAATTGTAAATTCAGAATACCTTCCACATTTCATTGTTCTCTCTTTCTTGCAGAATGTGTATAAAGATGACCTGAATTGGTTGAAAGGCATTGGTTGCTACGTTTGGGATACACCCCAAATCCTCCAGGCCAAGAAATCATACGACCTTCAGAGTCAGGTGAGCCACCTTCCTAGAAGGACTGGCTCTCCATGGGTCATCAGAATCCATGGTGGTGTCAGTGGGTTCATGGGCAGGCTGAGAAAGCTGCTGTAACAGTGTAGGCTCTAACTGACCAAAGCCCCTCCTCTCCCAAGCAAAGCTCTTCTAGTGGCCCGCTCTGGGGTTGGATCTTCCCAGTCTGAATCTCTCCTTTGGTTTAAGGCAGTGCACATTCATAACAAAAGTTTATCTGGGAGGTGTTTCCTAGTGGACTACTCTCAAGCATCTGTACCTTAGTTGATCAGGTTAACTTGCAGAGAGTAGGAGGTAGAAGTATCCTTTGATTACAGGTAGACAAGTTTTGGAGGAAAAAAATCAGTATCTGGAAGACTTTTCAGCATGTGGTTCAGCTCTGATGGGGCAGTTGTAATAGAATGTTGAAAGTGAGGGGCTGCTGTCAGGGATGGAGGATAGGCAAGGAAAAGGCAACAAAATGGCCAAAATCTCGACCCCAGTCTTGGTCAAGAGAAACTATTCATTCTGGCAGCAGCCATACAAAGTCTGCAGGACTCTAGAACGCCAGCCTGTTTGTTAGGATTAAAGCAGAAATCCAGAAATAAAGGCACATCTAAGTTGGCACATGCAGCTAAAACTGATGACAGACCTGTATGTTACCATTTGTGGTGACTTTTGTTTTTCTTCACAGCTACAATATACAGCAGCAGGTAAAGAAAATCTACAAAACTATAATCTGGTCACAGACACACCCGTCTATGTGACTGCTGTTCAGAGTGGCATTAATGCCAGTGAGGTGCGTCTTCCTATACTCCTCTTCCAGGGACAAACTATTTCTTGTCTTTATGTATTTTCGAACAACAGAGGTAAATAACCTATTGTTGCTTGTCTATAGGTGAAATATAAAGAAAATTATCATCAGATTAAGGACAAATACACAACCGTTCTGGAAACAGTGGATTCTGACAGAATCAGAAACCTGAAGGATCTTTACAGCAGTGTGAGTTGAGTTTTTTCCCCTTCCTATATATGAGCCACCTTTCCCACTTCTGAGACAGGAAGAGAATAAATGGAATGGACACTCTATCCCCAAAGGCTTTTCTATGGTTTCCTGGACCTTCAATCCTACTTTACCTCATAAAATTCTAGTAGGTACAATTAAATAAGCCCCACCTCAAAAGGAGTCCTGGGAGTTAGTAGGGAGTGTGTGAGAAGGACAGAAACAGAAGGAAAACCTGCTACTCAGAAGCCAACCAGATGCATTTTCCCATATTCACAAGAAGGTCTTTAATTCCTGCAGAACCTGTACAAGGAGGCCTGGGATAGAGTGAAAGCCACCAGCTACATCCTGCCTTCCAGCACCTTGTCCCTGACACACGCCAAGAACCAGAAGCATCTGGCCAGCCATGTAAGTCGAGCAAAAACATGACAGCTTTCCCACCCTCCCCTGCTCTCCACTCCAAGAATCTTTCAGGCTGATTCATGCGTTGTCGAGAAGTACCCCTAGCATTCCAGTGGGCATGTCCAGGAAATAATTCCAAATGCTCAGTCATTAGAGTCTATGTACTCACTGCCCCTCTCTCTCTCTCTCTGCTGCCTGGAGAGAATCACAAGCACTTGCAAGGAGGACAGGATGTGACCGTTCAGGCTGCCTGTCTGCACATGATAATCTCTGCTAAAGCCAGAAGTAAGGATGGGCTGAAGACATAATACAACCTACAAAAATAGACTTTTTCAATAGAATTACATGGATGTAGGGCAAAAATAAACCAGTGAATATGATAACTGCTTATTATACCATCCCCAGTTAAAATAAATTATTTTATAGCAATGAAATAGAAAACATTTTAAAAATGTTTAATTCTCCTTTTTTAAGTAGAACTTTTCTTAGATATAAACATAATTGTAAAACAAACAAACCCTAAATCTCATGATCTGTTTAAATATAGCAGAAGGTCGTACGTCCTCTAACCATTAATGCTCTTGAGTAAAACCTTTTTGTGTGTGAGTGTTTTGTTTTGGTTTCTTATACTTTAAGTTCTGGGGTACATGTGCAGAACATGGAGGTTTGTCACATGGGTATACATGTGCCATGGTGGTTTGCTGCACCCATCAACCTATCATCTACATTAAGTATTTCTCCTAATGCTATCCCTCCCCTAACCCCCTATTCCCTGACAGGACCCAGTGTGTGATGTTCCCCTCCCTGTGTCCATGTGTTCTCACTGTTCAACCCCCACTTATGAGTGAGAACATACAGTGTTTTGTTTTCTGTTCTTGTGTTAGTTTGCTGAGAATGATGGTTTCAAGCTTCATCCTTGTCCCTGCAAAGGACATGAACTCATCCTTTTTTATGGCTGCATAGTATTCCATGGTGTATATGTGCCACATTTTCTTTATCCATTCTATCATTGATGGGCATTTGGTTGGTTCCAAGTCTTTGCTATGGTGAAGAGTGCTGCAATAAACACACGTGTGCACGTGTCTTTATGGTAGAATGATTTATAATCCATTGGGTATATACCCAGTAATGAGATTGCTGAGTCAAATGGTATTTCTAGTTCTAGATCCTTGAGGAATCACCACACTGTCTTCCCCAATGGCTGAACTAGTTTACAGTCCCACCAACAGTGTAAAAGTGTTCCTATTTCTCCACATCCTCTCCAGCATCTGTTGTTTCCTGACTTTGTGATGACTGCTATTCTAACTGGCATGAGATAGTATCTCATTGTGGTTTTGATTTGCATTTCTCTAATGACCAGTGATGATGAGCATTTTTTCATATATTTGTTGGTCACACAAATGTCTTCTTTTGAGAAGTGTCTGTTCATATCCTTCGCCCACTTTCTCATGGGGTTGTTTTTTTCTTGTAAATTTGTTTAAGTTCTTTGTAGATTCTGGATATTAGCCCATTGTCAGATGGAGAGACTGCAGAAATTTTCTCCCATTCTGTAGGTTGCCTGTTCACTCTGATGATAGTTTCTTTTGCCGTGCAGAAGTTCTTTAGTTTAATTAGATTCCATTTGTCTATTTTGGCTTTTATTGCCATTGCTTTTGGTGTTTTAGTCATGAAGTATTTGCCCATGCCTATGTCCTGAAAGGTATTGCCTAGGTTTTCTTCTGGGGTTTTTATGGTTTTAGGTCTTTTGTGTAAGTCTTTAATCCATCTTGAGTTAATTTTTGTATAAGGTGTAAGGAAGGGATCCAGTTTCAGCTTTCTGCACATGGCTAGCCAGTTTTCCCAGCACCATTTATTAAATAGGGAGTCTTCTTCCCGTTGCTTGTTTTTGTCAGGTTTGTCAAAGATCAGGTGATTATAGATATGTGGTGTTATTTCTGAGACCTCTGTTCTGTTCCATTGGTCTATATATCTGTTTTGGTACAAGTACCATGGTGTTTTTATTACTGTAGCCTTGTAGTACAGTTTGAAGTCAGATAGTGTAATGCCTCCAGCTTTAGTTTTTTCCAATTCTGTGAAAAAAGTCAATAGCTTGATGGGGATAGCATTGAATCTATAAATTACTTTGGGCAGCATGGCCATTTTCATGATATTGAGTCTTCCTATCCATGAGCGTGGAATGTTTTTGCATTTGTTTGTGTCCTCTATTATTTCCTTGAGCAGTGGTTTGTAGTTCTCCTTGAAGAGGTCCTTCACATCCCTTGTAAGTTTGATTTCTAGGTATTTTATTATCTTTGTAGCAGTTGTGAATTGGGGTTCACTTGTGATTTGGCTCTCTGTTTGTCTGTTATTGGTATATAGGAATGCTTGTGATTTTTGCACATTGATTTTGTATCCTGAGACTTTGCTGAAGTTGCTTATCAGCTTAAGGAGATTTTGGACTGAGATGATGGGGTTTTATAAATATACAGTCATGTCATCCGCAAACAGAGACAATTTGACTTCCTCTTTTCCTAATTGAATACCCGTTATTTCTTTCTCTTGCCTGATTGCCCTGGCCAGAATTTCCAACACTATGTTGAATAGGAGTGGTGAGAGAGGGCATCCCTGTCTTGTGCCAGTTTTCAAAGGGAATGCTTCCAGCTTTTGCCCATTCAGTATGATACTGGCTGTGGGTTTGTTATAAATAGCTCTTATTATTTTGAGGTTCGTCCCATCAATAGCTAGTTTATTGAGAGTTTTTAGCATGAATGCCTTTTCTGCATCTATTGAGATAATCATGTGATTTTTGTCATTGGTTCTGTTTATGTGATAGATTACATTTATTGATTTGCATATGTTGAACCAGGCTTGCATCCCAGGAATGACGCCAACTTCGTCATGGTAGATAAGCTTTTTGATGTGCTGCTCAATTTGGTTTCATAAAACAGTATTTTTTTGAGGATTTTTACATTGATGTTCACCAGGGATATTGACCTAAGATTTTCTGTTTTTGTTGTGTCTCTGTCAGGTTTTGGTATCAGGATGATGCTGGCCTCATAAAATGAGTTAGGGAGGATTCCCTTTTATTCTGTTGTTTGGAATAGTTTCAGAAGGGATGGTACCAGCTCCTCTTTGTACCTCTGGTAGAATGCGGCTGTGAATGCATCTGGTCCTGGACTTTTTTTCGTTGGTAGGCTATTAATTACTGCCTCAATTTCAGAGCCTGTTATTGGTCTATTTAGGGATTCAGCTTCTTCCTGGTTTAGTCGTGGGAGGGTGTATGTGTCCAGGAATTTATCCATTTCTTCTAGATTTTCTAGTTTATTTGTGCACAGGTGTTTATAGTATTTTCTGATAGTAGTTTGTATTTCTGTGGGATCAGTGGTGATATCCCCTTTATCATTTTTTATTGCATCTATTTGATTCTTCTCTCTTTCTTTATTAGTCTTGCTAGCGGTCTATTTTGTTGATCTTTTCAAAAACACAGCCCCTGGATTCATTCATTTTTTTGGAGGGTTTTTTGTGTCTCAATCTCCTTCAGTTCTGCTCTGATCTTAGTTATTTCTTGCCTTCTGCTAGCTTTTTGATTTGTTTGCTCTTGCTTCTCCACTTCTTTTAATTGTGATGTTAGGGTGTCGATTTTAGATCTTTCCTGCTTTCTCTTGTGGGCATCTAGTGCTATAAATTTTCCTCTACACACTGCTTTAAATGTGTCCCAGAGATTCTGAGTTCAAGTCCTGGATATCCTTGTTAATTTTCTGTCTGGTTGATCTGTCTAGTGTTGACAGTGGGGTGTTAAAGTCCCCCACTATTGTTGTGTTGCAGTCTAAGTCTCTTTGTAGGTCTCCAAGAACTTGTTTTATGAATCTGCGTGCTCCTGTGTTGGGTGCATATATATTTAGGATAGTTAGCTCTTCTTGTTTCATTGATCCCTTTTCCATTATGTAATGCCCTTCTTTGTCTCTTTTGATCTTTGTTGGCTTAAAGTCTGTGTAAAACCTTTAATTGTAAAATTCCCTGTAACCTTTATTGTAATTCTTAGCTCCGTTCTCCTTCAGAAAAATTAGAGACTTTATCTCTTAATTGTGAACATTTTACGTAACACTTTAAATCAGCATTTCTCAAACATGTTTTGACCAGGGCTCACAGTGGGAAATTTATTTTTTATTTCAAGTTCACATACACACCCCTGAAGTTTATGTGAGTTTCTTCTGGCACAAATATCTCACAGAAGAGCAGTGACTGCTAGACTAGAGACAGTGCACTCTGATCATTTCCATTCTGTTCTACTCATTTAAATGCTAGTGACTCAGTAAATTGATTTCACTACTCTACTGGACTTACAGATGCACAGCTTAGAAATAAACTTCATTAGACAGTCTATGGAATTATTTGATTTTTAGCTGGAGGAAAAAGTAAGGTATGTGATTTTACCCAGGCCCAACTCTATTTGGAAGACTGCAAAAAGGGGCAAACTTTTCATTTTGGAAGAAAAGTATTATAGATAAGATTTAAAAAGCTCAAAAGGGGCTTTTTCCTTGAGTCATGAACAAAATTACAGAGGCAAGATTCTTGGCAAGTTGGTTTTGGAGCAAGGTAAAACATAGAGAAATTAATCCTTTAAAAGAAGTATTCTGACCTTATTTTAGGAAAAAGCTTTTTGTGTGTGTGTGTGTGTGTGTGTTTTTAAAAGGGTGTCTTTACATTCTATCATCTTTGAAGCTGAGAAATATGAGATGTAAGACGCTGATTTTCTGTTTTGGAAAAATCTGGTGGAAATGTTGGTTGGTCTACAGTCAATGAAGAGCATTGCTGGAATACCGATACAAACATCTCTCTTTTGTTACAGAGGTGCCAGTCTCGGAGTTGTGGAAGAATTATTTTATTATTGTGTGCTATGAGATTGGATCTTAGTCTCTGTCTTAACCTGGGTTTATATAATCATGGAACACCAATTAATAGGCACCATGGCTCAAGAACTAATTGTTATCCCACAGAAGTTGATTGCACTGTATTTTTGAAAGCCTTGTAGAAACTGAAATCCAAGGATTGTGTCTTCTTAGCAGCAGACTTCTCAGTTATTAAAAACAAAGATATTCCTAAGCACAGTTTTAATCTTGCACTCATGCCATTACCACAAGAGAATATTTTAAATTACATAATCTTTAAAATGAATTGCTTGTAGTAGCAGTAAAAGTACTAGTATTGGTATAGGAGTTTTGAAAATAGCAACTAAAATTTCATAGTGCTCTACGGTTTCAAAGTACTTTTGTTACAGCCTGATTTCAGCCACGTGATAACCTCATGGCAGGTGCTCCTGCTCTATCTCTCTGTACAGTTGGGGAAATGAGCTCAGAGAAGTGGTGTCCCCAGCGCTGGGTGGATCTCAGAGTCAGGTTTTCCCGTTAAGTCTTAGGCTGTTTTAACAATATAAATCCATTGCGCTCTAAAACTCTTTCTTCCTTTCTACTTTTTCTCTATAGGTCAAATATCGGGAGGAATATGAAAAGTTCAAAGCTCTTTATACGTTACCAAGAAGTGTTGACGATGATCCGAACACAGCACGGTGCCTCCGAGTTGGCAAGCTTAACATTGATGTAAGTACAGCCATGCGCCCCTTAACGACTAGGATACATTCTGAGAAACGTGCTTCTCGTTATGTGATTCCATTGTTGTGCTAACATCATAGAGTGCACTTCCACATACCGAGATGGGATAGCCTATTGCTCCTAGACTACAAACCTGTACAGCATGTTACTGTACTGAATACTGTAGGCAACTGTGACACAGTGGCAAGTATTTGTGTATCTAAACATGGAAAAGGTACAGTAAAAACACAGCATTATAATCTTTTGATTGAAACATTGTTATGCAACACATGAGGGTAACTCCAAAGACCTTACTTCAAATTTAAGTCAAGTAAAATAGCCATGTATTATTAATAGGAACATTTCTTCTCCTCTCCCCCACCCCCGGCCTTTTTTTTTTTAAGACAGGTCTCACTCTGTTGCCCCAGCTGGAGGGCAGTGGTGCAATCACAGCTCACTGCAGCCTCTACCTCTCGGGCTCCGGGAATCATCCCACCTCAGCCTCCTGAGTCACTGAGTCTACAGGCATGCACCACCACACCCAGCTAAGGTTTTAATTTTTTGTAGCGATTGGAATCTCGCTATGTTGCCCACTCTGGTCTCAAACTCCTGGGCTCAAGCGATCCTCCTGCCTCAGTCTCCCACAGTGCTGGGATTGCAGGTGTGAGTCATCGTGCCCAGCCTGAACATTTTCTATTTACCAATGCATATGACACTGACTGTGCACATGTAAAGAAGCTACATATTATTTCAGCTATAATGCTTTATTTTAATTTCCCCTATTAATCTATAGAAAATGTCAGAAAATACCAGTCCCCACCCTGCCCCCAACTGTTTGCTGTGAGTTGGTTAGCCTGACTTCTCATGTATGGCCGTGATGCCTTGGCACAATTTCCTGTATAACTGGCATGTGATTTTAACTTGACAGCGCTTGTACAGATCAGTTTATGAAAAGAACAAGATGAAAATCCACATTGTGCCCGACATGGTAGAGATGGTTACCGCTAAGGATTCTCAGAAGAAAGTCAGCGAGATTGATTACCGCCTGCACCTCCATGAATGGATTTGCCACCCCGACTTGAAAGTCAATGATCACGTCAGGAAAGTCACAGATCAGATCAGTGATGTAAGCCTGTGACTTAAGAAGGACCCCTCCACGGCCCCGCCCCACGGCCCCACCCAGAAGAGCAGCAAACTCACGCATTTCTTTACCTTAGCCTTTTTCCACTATTTCTTCCCTATATGTCCATGTGTCTGACTTGACTTCGGAGCTGTCTCTGGAAGCAGGGCTCTGTGTACCCATGTTTCTGTGGCTCCCCTGAGCCTCTTTGCATAATGCCTTTGCTCCTCATTCCACAAAGGCTTCTGAGTCTAGAATGTACCTGTTTTTAGAGTTTATTATGGTCAATATTTTTTTCTGATCCTCTCTATCAAAACCCTCTAGATTGTGTACAAGGATGACCTCAACTGGCTGAAAGGCATTGGTTGCTACGTCTGGGACACTCCTGAAATCCTCCATGCCAAGCATGCTTATGATCTACGTGATGATGTGAGTTTGCCTTGTTTTGTTCTTTAGTATATTTCCATCTCTCCATAGTCTAGAGTTAAGCAGGGGTTATGTAAAATAGGGACATTGTCACAGGATAGCTCTGGGGGGTGGCTGAGCTGGAGAAAGATGCTAGGAGCAGAGCAACCATCTCTCAAGAAGGCATATGGCATTCTTATTAAACAGTGCAGTCCGGGTACGCCATCGTCTCTGATAGAGAAGGGACCACCGGCTTCTCTTTCTACATTTTAGGCTATTTTGGATATATTAACAAGCATTTAATTGCCATTTTAGGAAAGTGTCATTTGTTAGCGTTTGCAATGCTATAGACAAGCTCTATTTGTAAAGAGAGGATTTTCCAGGCAAATTAAATATTGCAATGAGGATTTCAGTAAGAAAGCTTAAACTTTCCTAGAAGAGTAGTTATCAAGTGTCCTAGAAGACTCTAGAAGCCCCATATAAGTGTTGGTTACACTGTTATAAAATTCAAATGCATCTCGGTCTGTTGAATAAGTGCTGATGAATGTAAATCTCATGAGTTAAAAGCAACCAAACCCTCTATGAAAACCAGCAGTTTCAAGCATAAGGAATGGTCCAACATGGGTTTGTTTTCTTCCTCTCGGCAGATCAAGTATAAAGCTCACATGCTGAAAACAAGGAATGACTATAAGCTTGTCACAGATACACCAGTCTACGTGCAGGCTGTCAAAAGTGGGAAACAGCTAAGTGACGTAAGTGCTCTCTGGGGAAGTTAAGTGGACAGTAATAAAGGCAGGGCCACCACTCAAGCAGAGGTGGCAAAAACCATAGACCAGGCAGTGCCAAGTCTTTTCTAACTAGGAAACCAGAGTTGGTGGGTTTGAAAGCACTGAAGATGCTGCTGGCGATTGTTTCCTGAAACCTGATGCATTCAAGCAGTTTGCTTGGGCGGAGCTGTAGGTGATCTGAGTCTATGAAGTAACTTTGTGCCTTAGCGCTTCCAATGTTGTTTTTGTGCCCTGTGTTATAGCACGTTTTTTTCTATCTATGCCATTTAATTAATTAGAGCCAATTATGGTAGAATAAGAAGCAAGCAGGCTCTGGAGTTAGAGTTGTGGAGTGCAGTCTCACCTCTACCACACATTATCTATAAGGCTTATGAAAAGCACTTAATCCATCTGAGCCCCCCATTCTGATGCATAAAATGGGGACGTAAGGAAGCACCCACTATGACGCCTGACTCAGAGCAGGCAGGGCAGGCACAAAGCTACTCTTTCTTCATTAACTCCACAGGTTGATAAGTCAATATCAAATCCCACCAGTGAGTGCAAACATTGAGACTTATTATTTTGGAACTTCTAGTGGTAAAATGCTCACCCCTCCTCTTCTTATGCCTGGGCCATCTCGTCTCAGTGTGATCACGTGTCCACACGCTGGCTCTGATCCTATTGGACAAGCCACAGTAATATGTCAGATGAGTTCTCCAGGCAAAGGGAAGCAGGCTACCGTTATTTTTTTTAAAGAGGGACCTGGGTTCCCATTCTCTTTGCTTCTAACAATGCTTCTTTCTGTACCAGGCTGTCTACCACTATGACTATGTGCACAGTGTCAGAGGCAAAGTGGCTCCAACTACCAAAACCGTGGATCTGGACCGGGCCCTTCATGCATACAAGCTCCAGAGTTCGGTAAGCAGTGAGAACTTGATAGTGCCCAGCAGAAATCCATTCCATCAGCTCCCCTTGCTTCCTCTTGACCTTACCTTGTATAAATGCTGTTCCATTCACATGAGGTGAAAAAACAAAAACACAGAGCATAATCTGTCTTCCCTCCTAGCTGCCAGGATCCCCCTATGGAGCAATCAAACTACCTACCATACAGGGGCATGTTTTAGCAATATTTACAGGTTACAAAGAAGAAAGTCAATATACCTTCTCTGCTTTCAAAAAGCTGAAAATCAAGATGACAGAGACAAGGCCTTTAACCTCAATAAAAGAGGAACTAGAAATTGTGGCTGGAATTCAGAAGAGAAAGAACCTGGATCCCACCTGCATATTTAACCTGCCTATTCTATGTTACCCAGTGGTGCTGATTTGGTCTCAACTTTTCATGCTATTTCTCATCTTGAATATTAAAAATAATTTTGGGCCAGGTGCAGTGGCTCACGCCTGTAATCCCAGCAATTTGGGAGGCTGAGGTGGGCAGATCACCTGAGGTCAGGAGTTCGAGACCAGCCTGGCCAACATGGTGAAACCCCATCTCTACTAAAAGTACAAAAAATTAGCCAGGCATGGTAGTTCATGACTGTAATCCCAGCTACTTGGGAGGCTGAGGCAGGAGAATCGCTTGAACCCCGGAGGCGGAGGTTGCAGTGAGCCGAGATCGTGCCATTGCACTCCAGCCTGGGCAACAAGAGCAAAACTCCATTTCAAATAATAATAATAAAAATAATAATAATTGTGGCCCGGCATAGTGGCTCATGCCTGTAATCCCAGCACTTTAGGAGGTCATGGCAGGCGGATAGCTTGAGCCTGGAGTTGGAGACCAGCCTGAGCAACATGGTGAAACCCCGTCTATATAAAAATACAAAAATAAATAAATTAGCCAGGTATGCATCTGTGATCCCAGCTACTTTGAGAGGCCCAAAATAAATTATTTTATTTATTTGGGATAAATCCAAAATAAATTATTTATCCCGAAAATAAATTAGAGTGGCATGCATCTGTGATCCCAGCTACTTGGAAAGTTGAGGTGAAAAGATTACCTGAGCCCAGGGAGGTCAAGGATGCAGTGAGCTGTGATGGTGCCGCTGCACTACAGCCTGGGTGACAGTGTGAGACCCTGTCTAGAAAATAAAAATAATTTGGTTTTTCGTATTTTAAATGTAATTCTTTTTTTTTTTTTTTTTTTTTTTGAGACAGAGTCTCGCTCTGTCGCCTGGGCTGGAGTGCAGTGACCGGATCTCAGCTCACTGCAAGCTCCGCCTCCCAGGTTTACACCATTCTCCTGCCTCAGCCTCCCGAGTAGCTGGGACTACAGGCGCCTGCCACCTCGCCCGGCTAGTTTTTTTTGTATTTTTTAGTAGAGATGGGGTTTCACCGTGTTAGCCAGGATGGTCTCGATCTCCTGACCTCGTGATCCGGCCTCCCAAAGTGCTGGGATTACAGGCTTGAGCCACTGCGCCCGGCCTTAAATGTAATTCTTAATCCTAAACTCCAAGAGACAGAGTATTTAAGGTCACAGACAGACACTCCTCCCTGTCCTCCCTTTCTGCCATGAACATGTGCATCCTGACCTCTTCATGGCCTGATGTCAACATACTGTGTTTGGAGGAGGCAGGAGAGAGTAATACAAACATGTGCCTGGCTATATCTTGGTGATGGCTTGCATATCATCATCACCTGAGGACGGAGTAATGGCAGAGGTGACACTTGGTTACCTGTCTTCTCTGCATTTCCCAAATTCTTGCTAGATGCCATATAGCCAACTGGGCATATGTTCAGAAGCATAGAGGAATTACTTTTTTATTTATTTATTTTTGTTTTTTGGAGACAGGGTCTCCTCTGTCTCCCAGGCTGGAGTGCAATGGTGCAATCACAGCTCACTGCAATCTCAAACTCCTGGGCTCAAGTGATCCTCTCACCTTAGCTTCTTAAGTAGCTGGGACTACAGGTACATGCCACCATGCCTAGCTAATTTTTTAATTTTTTGGAGAGGTGAGATCTTGCTATGTTGTCCAGACTGATCTCAACTCCTGACCTTAAGCAATCCTCCTGCCTTGGCCTCCCAAAGTGTTGAGATTACAGATGTCAGGTACCACACCTAGCCAGGAACTACTTTCAATAAACCATTTCACTCATCGTTCTATTTTTCCAAAACAATAAGTGAAGAGTAATCTGACTCATTTTATGACTCTTAGAATGTATTTAATTCTTTCCTGAAATCAATTCGGTGAGCATAAGTATATTAAGTATCTAGTCAAAAACCTAACATGAGCGATATGTGATTTGTTAAGCTCAAATCAGTTACTTGATGCCAGATGTCATTTAACCTGCTCTTCCTCATTCCGGCAGAATCTATACAAAACCAGCCTGCGCACCCTGCCCACTGGATATAGACTTCCAGGTGACACTCCTCACTTCAAACACATCAAGGACACCCGTTACATGAGCAGTTATGTGAGTAGTCTCCTCCTCATTGAGATGGGTCTGAAGGTGGGGTGGCAGGAGACTCATATTAATTAATAGCCTGTCCTAATCCTCCAGTCACACCCTAAAGGTTCAACCTGATAGAATGATGGGAGCTGGAGAGGAGAGACAGCACATTTTTGAGGGGTGCTGTGGAATTGACCACTTCTGCAATTCAGCAGTGCCTGGGTAGCCCTGTGGGTTAGAACAGGATGTTCGTGGGAGCCTTGGCTGAGGGCCCATGGCTGTCATGATGCCTCTACTTCTGCTGGCCTTAATTTGCACAGATGCACCCTGAATTATCCCAAGCCATTTACTGGAAATGCAACTTCACACACGCACTACTGAGGTGTGGTGGTAGTATTGTCTTCCTTCTGCTATGTTTCACTGCAGAAGATATAACATCTTTGGAAGTATATTATATATATGTGTGTGTGTGTGTATGTGTGTATATCTATATCTATATCTATATAGATATGATAGATTTAATAATCTAACACCTAATTGTATTTTCTAATTTTCTAGCCACATTGGGGCTAAAAATATAGGTTTTCTTTGGCATTTTGCACACCTCCCTACAAACAGATTTCACCTAGGCGAGGTCGAATTTTATTCTTTTCTGGGCCTGGTTTTATTTTACAAGACATAATTTTCAAGGCTTGGATTAATATTGAAATGTTGTCAATGACTTTTCCTCATACTTAATCCTTAAAAAGAGCAATTTTTCAAATAAAGATGACATCTCTTTTCTATTTGCAGAAATGTAATGTTGCTTCTTGTTTACCCATCACTGATCTCATTCCAACTTTGCTTTTGCAGTTCAAGTACAAAGAAGCCTATGAACACACCAAGGCATATGGGTATACACTTGGTCCCAAAGATGTTCCATTTGTGCACGTCCGGAGAGTCAACAATGTTACCAGCGAGGTACCTGAATGCTGATTCTCCAAGAGACATACTGAGTTTTAATAGCCATGGCTTTGTTTGAAATGCATTAAGAATTAACTGTATTTCAGTTGTAAATCTACATACCAGCAAAAACGAAAAAGGTCCTTATTGTCACATTTTGATACTGATACTTCTTGGCAGTGGTTTTTTTGTATCTGGTAATGCCTTGGAGAGACTCGGCTCCATAGATTATGATGCAAAACTTTTCTAAAGAAATAACTTCTTCTTTTGACATTTATATTCAAAAATCTTTAATAAGGTTGCATTTTAATCTGACTCATGATGCTGGTTTTCTACACCAACTATTGGTTTGCATATCTGATCCTACTATGCAGCCGTCTGATAGAAAGTGGAAGGCTTTGTGCTCAGAATTCTTCACCGAAATGAAGTAACTCTCATTTTCTCCTTTTTTCCTAATCTCAATCATTTTCTATATCCTTGATATTTCCTCCCCTCTTCCTTATTAAAATATTTTATTCTTGATTAGTCAGTAGATGCTCTCGTCATCCCTTACTAAATACCTGTAATGATATTTCCTCCAATGTAGAGACTGTATCGGGAATTGTACCACAAACTGAAAGACAAGATCCATACAACTCCCGATACCCCTGAGATCCGCCAAGTCAAGAAGACACAAGAGGCTGTCAGTGAGGTGGGTATTTTCTTAGGAAAGACAGGGAGTAGAGGCAGGGATGAATGTCAATCATTCGGTCTCTAATGCGTGTGTTTTTGGGTATTTTTTTTCTTTAGTTGATCTACAAATCAGACTTCTTCAAGATGCAGGGCCACATGATCTCTCTGCCATACACACCCCAAGTGATCCATTGCCGCTACGTAGGAGACATTACCAGTGATGTAAGCATCTTGTAGGGGTCTTTCTGGAGTAGTCTTAACAAGAGGCAGGCTTGCTTTCAGCAGTTAAAACAACCAGTGGTCTTGGAACAGCCTTTTCTGACAAGCACTTCTAAACAAAGAGTACAAGTTGGAGGTAAGACAATGTGGGAGGAGGATGCCACAATTCTCCAGCTACGGAAACAGTAATAAGAGGACCACTTGGGGAAGACAGAATTGCCATTACTCTTGATCACTCAGTGACCACCATTCTACATTCAACACGGAATCATTCCAACTCCTCACTCCCTAACTCCCTATGTGGCCTCCGTACCAGGTCATGTTGAGTATTTTCCTCTCACTCATCCCTACTCTGACTCCGTTAGCAACTTCTTGCTGCCACTTTTTTCATTCTCCTTGTATGTTCTCTCCTCGTAAAAGATCAATCCATTCAATCTGTTCTTTTCTCCAATCAATATTACAGTAATAAAATAATAGCAGTGTTCTCTCCTCACCTCAGGGCTAGAGACTTAAATGAAAAAACCCATGACTTATTTGGGTGCAAGTCAACTAAGAGTACAAGGCAGATGAACCAGCCAGGCATGGTGGCTCATGCGCGTAATCCCAGCACTTTGGGAGGCTGAGGTGGGCAGATCACCTGAGGTCAGGAGTTCAAGACCAGCCTGGCCAACATGGTGAAACCCCGTCTCTACTGCAAATACAAAAATTAGCTGGGCATGATGATGTACATCTGTAATCCCAGCTACTAGGGAGGCTGAGGCAAGAGAACTGCTTGAACCCGGGAGGCAGAGGTTGCAGTGAGCCAAGATCTTGGCATTGCACTCCAGCCTGTGCAACAAGAATGAAACTCTATCTCAAAAAAAAAAAAGTAGATGAACCAAAACGAAAGATATAGTAATGAAGAAGTGTTGCTACTCCATCTTTTGTGTTTCCTGATTTACATTTGCTTATGACCAGCTGTATTTCTGTGTTTGCCTCTCAGATTAAATACAAAGAGGACCTGCAGGTCCTGAAGGGATTTGGCTGCTTCCTATATGACACTCCTGACATGGTCCGCTCCCGGCACCTGCGGAAGCTCTGGGTGAGTGCACATCATCACAACGCATAATTATTCTTGCATAGCTGGATGCCCCCATCACCAGCCTCCAGGGCTAGGCAGAAGGGATCTTAGCCTGCAGCTACTTTTAAGGGGAAATTTACCATTAATTCACTTGAGCCAGTTATCACCTGCTTAATGTGATCTGTGCCTCCTGTGGAAGGTGTTGAGCTTCCTTAAATGACAATTGTTTTTGCTTCTGCCTGGGAAGACATCCAGGACACATGAAAGCCCTGCTCAGCTTACACATGCCAGCCATTTGAAAGACAACATGACATGAATCCCGTAAGTGATTAATCAACTTGTATTTCTCTCTTTTTTTTTTTTTAAGTCTAATTATCTGTACACTGATAAGGCAAGGAAGATGCGAGACAAATACAAAGTGGTGCTTGACACTCCAGAATACAGAAAAGTGCAAGAACTGAAGACACATCTGAGTGAGGTAAGGACCCTTTACTTGTCACTAAAGTCAACCAAATTGACCAGTACAAACTGAATTACTCCACAAGGTTCTTAGTTCCTCTAGTGATCGCTGTTCAGGCAACTGTGGCAGGTAAAATATTTCCCCTCTTCACTGTGGAATGGCTACTATGTCAAGCAAGTCAACCAGCTGCACTTTACCTCAGTTTACTTATTTTGCCCCCTTTTGGTAAGATAAGCATATTCATACTTGCTCTTCCTATGTCTAGGGCTGATGACGGTTTTTGCATGATTTTATAGATTAGAAAGACCTTCTTTTTTCTTTTCTTGTTTTTGAGATGGAGTTTCGCTTTTGTTGCCCAGGCTGAAGTGCAATGGCGTGATCTCAGCTCACTGCAACCTCCGTCTCCTAGGTTCATGCAGTTCTCCTGCCTCAGTCTCCAGAGTAGCTGGAATTACAGGCATGCACCACCACGCCTGACTAATTTTGTGCTTTTAGTAGAGATGGGGTTTCTTCATGTTGGCCAGGATTGTCTCGGACTCCCGGCCTCAGGTGATCCACCCGCCTTGGCCTTCTAAAGTGCTGGAATTACAGGCATGAACCACCACGCCTGGCCTAGAAAGGCCTTCTTACTTATTACTTTTGTTGTCTCTAAACTTAACTTATTTCAAAATTTTCTTTAATTCCTGCTATCAGGAGCCCTGAACATGGCAGTACCATGGGAGAAGTCTTCAATGGCTCCCTGCTCTGCTGCCCACTCAGTAAAAAACAGACTACTTAGTTTCATGTTCATTTGGCATTGAGGCTCCTGATATATTGCAGTTATTTGTGAATAGATCTGATTCTCTCACCTAGAGTGTTGGTTCCTTGATGATTGCACCCCATGTTATTTATGTGTGTCCCATAGTGCCCTGGCCATAACAGATGTGCATGTTTGCCAAAGGGCATTTCACAAGTGTAAATGGTTGCTCTTCTTATAGGTCAGTTGACCATTCTCATTCTACTGTCACTCTGGTATTGTAGCTCCATTCAACAGTTTGTGCATTCACCATTCTGTATTGTGGCTTCACCCAGCTGAGCATTGGCTTCCAGGCCATTTCATCCTTCTCAGTAGCTCTGATGGCTGCTGATTAGGAATCTTATGCTCTTAGCGATGCCCTGAAATACCAAATGTCACCCTCGGTGGAGGGGATATGCAGCTTCCTATACTCAGTGAGCCAGAGACAGAGGATGACTAACTCTTCAGCTTTTGCAAATGCAACATTGAGCCCATTTGCTTTCCTAAAAGCTTCACTGTGTTATTTCAGCCAGTGCTCGCACTCAGACTGGAATGCTGATGTTATTTTTATCCAAGTAAAGTTGTGCTTTTCCACTCTGGCTCAGTATGAGAATCACCTGTAAAATATTTAAAAACCACCCAGAGAGGGCCCTGACCCCTAGTTCCACAGCAGACTCTGATTCTCGGCATCTGTATACTTTTAGATGCTCTACAGAGATTCTATTTAATAATATGCAACCTGTGTTGAAAACCACTGCACCACATCTCTCCTATATGATTATGATTATGATTTATAATCATAATCATAATAAAATGGTAACTTACAGTGCTTCAGAGTAAAGATAACTCTGAAATACCTTTACTTTTTTTGGCTTTCTGGGTTCAGAATTATCTATAACTTTAGTTTCTCCTCTTCTCAATTCCCAGGGGGATTTTGTGCAAATTGCGCATCAGCACTGAGAAAGAAGAATGGATATTTTTCAGTAGAGCAGTTTGCACCACATTTGCCTCTCCATAAGAATGACCCAGACTTGATAAAATACTGATCCAAGCCACTCCCCTGAATTCAGAAGGGTTGGGAGAGAGCCTACGAATCCGTTTTTAATAAGAACCATGGTGGGAGTTAATATCAGGAAAGTTTAGAAAACACTGAGTTAGTAAAAAGTGTGATGGCCACAAGAAGTTACTGATTTTTGAGTTGTCTTTCAATTGTATAGATTGACATATACACATTTATAGTACTAGGAAGCAGGCATGTTGTCCCAAGAAGCATAAGCGATGCATACCTAAGTACAGGGGAAATAAAATATGCAGAGAAATGTATAATTCTAGAAATGGCATAGAAGCCAAGCACAGTGGTACATACCTATTGTCCTAGCTACTTGGGAGGCTGAGACCAGAGCTACAGTGCAGGAGTTTGAGGCCAGCCTGGGCAATATAGTGAGACCCTGTCTCTAAAAATAAATATATAAATAAAATTTAAAAATAAGAAAAAATGGCTTGGGAGAATTGGGTTTTAGTCCCAGATTTACTTCCAGTTAGCTATATGACCTTATGTAATTCACAACTTTAGCACCCTAATTTCCTAAACTGAAGAATTGGACTAAATGATTATTTGAGCTCATTTTAACCATAAAATTATATGAGTTGTTGATTTACTTTACTCAAAATTTAGCTTGTAAGAAACATTAAGTTTTCATTTAGTTTACCTCTGTCCTCTCAATAGTAACATGAAAAAAACAGCCCCAAACACACGAGTTACACTTTGTTTTAACTTGCAGTGGCATATAATTCAGATTTAAAGAAATTGATGTGTGTGTGTGTGTGTGTGTGTGTGTATTTCTTACATTTTATCTGTTTAACTGGTATTTATATCCATGATTAGAATTTATTTGGTTTCCATTTGTTCTTTCTCATTTGCCTCATTATATTAAATTCCTTCAACACTTATTAGGGAACTATTATTTTTTAGGCCCTTTGTCTGAGCTCTAGTTGATGAAAGGATCGTACCACTGAACTGCTGTGCCCTAGTCTTGGAGAAGAAACAGGCATCAGTGTGATAAATGGTCTTATATAGGAATAGTCAAGACAGCATGGACTCTTGGAGTTTTCCAGGCAAATTAGAGGGAGAAGAACATTCAAGGCAGGAAGGACAGTCTGTGAAAGCAGCCATACTGAGTTCTTGTAACTGGGAGTAGTTTACATAGCACATGGGGGGTGTGGCAGGACACTGGGAAATGAAGCTATTACAGAAATATGGGTTGAAGCCAGGTTATAAAGACTTGTAGGTGTTATGTAAATGCCCTTGGACCTTATGAAAAATCATTGAAGAATTATTTCTATGAAGAATAGATTTGAGCATTAAAAAAATATGTGTCTCAGACTTTTGAAAGATGGGTGAATCATGTGGAGTGGTCCAGTAGAGGAATTGAGCAGGTGGTCTCGACATGTAGAAAATAAGATGGAAGGCTGAACTAGAGCAGTAGTGTTGGCAAAGAATCAGATTTCAAAATATCTCCTCACAAAGTGAGGAGCCCAGGATTCATGACCATTTTGATGTAGGAATAAGGGAGGAGCCTAGGATGACTCCCCGCAGTTTCTGGCCTGAGTAACTGGGATATCAACGAGTCATTTAGCAAAACAGAGAAAACAGGAGAAGCAATTCGAGATAGAGATAGAGGCAATATAAAGAATTATACATTGAACATGGTAAATCACCCAAATCCAGAAAGTTGCAGAAAACTTGGGTCTGGAGCTCAGGAAAGACACTGGATATGTAGATTTGGAAGTCATCAATCTCAAAGTGATGTTTGAGATCACAGGTACAGATGAGATCACCCCAGGAGAATGTCTTGGGTGAAAGGGGCCAATCTTTCACCCCAGCTAACAGCAGCCTTTGCATGAGAGCAGAACCACAGAGGGAGGCTGATGAGGAGGCCTAAAAGACAGGAGGCCACCTAGGGAAGAATGGTGGAATGGAAGCCAGAGAAAAGAGTTTTCAGGAATGAAACACTGAGCAGCTTCAGTTGCTACAGAGAAGTGTTCATGGCAATCATGAAGTTCTTGGTAGTCTCAATGAGTGTGACTTCACTGGTGTGAGTAGGTGGGAGCCAAACTATGGTCTTGAGGAATTAATCAAAAGAGAGGCAAAGAAGAAACACAGGCAACTTGGCTGAGAAAAGAAGAATGAAGGCCATTGGCTAGAGGCTGGAAAAGGCTTAATTAATGACAGGAGGTCTTGAGTCTGTTTGCAGGTGAAGACAGGGTTGGGAAAACAAGAAGGATGGAAGATACAGAGGAGAAGGGGACAATTGCTGAAATAGTGTACTAGAAGGGACAACTGCAAGTGGGACCAAGAACACAGCAGGAGGCTTGAATTTTGGACAGGCTAGAGAATGTCTCTTGTTTTGACACAGGGGAAAAAAGAAAAGGAGGGTGCAGGAGGTAAATAAAAGGTTGGTTTATTGGGAAGAAACTGCAATAATTGCAGTGGGAGGGCTCCTACCTTTTCTATGTAAAAGCAGTGAAGGCATCTGCAGAGAACATAACATGCCCATGAAACAGAAATGATGGTGATGACTTGGTTTATGTCTAGCTGGTCTACAGAGCTGCAGGCAAGAAGCAGAAGTCAATCTTTACTTCAGTTCCTGATACTCCTGATCTTTTAAGAGCCAAGCGAGGGCAGAAGCTTCAGAGTCAGGTAAGCTCAGAGGTTCATAAACCTGCCACTCAGGCATCACAGGGGGTGATTATATGTGCCTGGCCTCACCTGGCCAGTGGCAGACTCACACACTTGGTTGTCCTGGCTGCAACCTCATGCCCACTAACACTGCACTTGAAGAAGCAGTTCTCTTTGGGGCCATGATCATTATAGTTGTGTTTTACTCAGGTAAGGGATGCCATATCTTCTTTCCTAAGTGTTATAAAACTTGTGAAGTCTGTGGACTCAAACTAATGAAAATCATTGCTTGATCATTCTGTAGAATCTTCCTGTTATCCACAGACAAACGAAGCTATATTTCATGCATTCAAGCAAAAATGAGGGGAAAATATGTTGAGGGGTCTATCAGAATCCTCTCACTCTTCTGTTAGCATTCTTTATCACATGGCTTTGCTTGGATCATGCTCAGCAGTAGGCATATTAGATAACTGGAGTATGTATATGTGTTTTCAAATATGAGACAGAGAGAAACAAATGAACAGAAGCACATATAACAAAAAAACAAGCAAGCAAACATCAGGACAGTAAGCAGATACCACCTTCCCGCTGAATGGTTAGAAATGAATGAAGTGGACTGAGTGCTAAATACTAAATGCTTTATCTCTATGACACCTCACTTTCTTCTCTTATTCAGTATCTGTATGTTGAACTTGCCACCAAAGAGAGACCCCATCATCACGCTGGAAACCAGACCACAGCCTTGAAGCACGCTAAAGACGTGAAGGACATGGTCAGCGAGGTAAGATAGGAATTCAGCACTGAGGCACTGGGTAAAAGGAAAAATACTTTGTTAAAACCTTCCCCTGCTACCTCTGATCAGAGAGTTCATTACTATAAATGGTGCTCAGCATCATCAAAACACAAAAGGCAGAGCTATTCTCTTAAAGTGTGTAACACATTGTGCCCCTCCACAAGACCTGTGGCTTGGTTGGGAATTGGGAAGATATTTAAACTTGTCTCTCTCTTCTGTATTTATTTCTCAGAAAAAGTACAAGATTCAATATGAAAAGATGAAGGACAAGTACACTCCAGTTCCAGATACGCCAATCCTCATCAGAGCCAAGAGGGCTTACTGGAATGCCAGTGATGTATGCATCCTTTCCTTTTTTCTTCTGTTGTGATAAGGAGAGCTGAGGTTGAAGTACCTAAGAAACATAACATATTTCAGCCATATCCATAGTTCTAAGTCATGGCCCAGGAAAAAAACACACTTTTTTTTAAGGAGGGAAAAAAAAAATGGCCCAAAGAATACCAGTCAGGCAAAATAGCTGAGAGATACCAGAAGCCTCTTCTTCTCAATTCTCTCCTGAGTAAAAATATGACCCTTTCTTGTAATTCTTCAGTAGCATTTTCTGGGGATACTTGAGAGTTAATTTACTTATCCATAAAATTATGGTCTTGGAGTCAGGCAGACATGGATTCAAATCCTGATGCTATTACTTGCCTGCTGTACGATTCTATATCATTTGTCTAATTTTTCCGAGTCTCTTTTCATATATGTGGAATGACAATGAAAATTGTGATAATTAAGTAAAACCAAACAAGATAATGTATATGTGTCTAGCATGCTGCTGGGCTCCTAGTTGACACTCAGAAAATGTTTGTTCCCTTTCTTCTCTTAATTGCATATAGATCATGTGAATGATACATGACACAGTGGTTAAAATTAGGGAGGACAGATGTTCATTTTCCATATCACACAATTGAGGGCAAGGCTGCCTTTTAATGGTAATAATCAGTTAATGAAGATGTGAAATAGTGACTCCAAGGTAAATAGCCAGTCCTTACAGGTTTTGTGTCTCAGGGCCCAACCAGGAATTCACTGTACCCATTACCAGAGGCACACTCCAGAGGACTAGACATGTTGGGACTTAAACTAAGCCAAAAATCAAGCCAACTTCATAACCCCCTCAACTTAGCAACATAACTCTAGGATTTCAAGGCATCTTAAGGTAATTGCAGTACGCCCTAAGCAGAAAAGAGAAGGTACAGCAAATGTGAACAATATCTCAGTTCCATAATTTGGTTAGGAATTTTTATTTGGAGCAGAGAAGAGCCTACTAGTTAGAAAAAGGCAATGCCAGTTAGTGATTAAAATATAAGCTGGGGCCGGGCACGGTGGCTCACGTCTGTAATCCCAGCACTTTGGGAGGCTGAGGTGGGCGGATCACGAGGTCAGGAGATCGAGACCATCCTGGCTAACGCGGTGAAACCCCGTCTCTACTAAAAATACAAATAATTAGCCAGGCATGGTGGAGGGTGCCTGTAGTCCCAGCTACTCGGGAGGCTGAGGTAGGAGAATGGCATGAACCCAGGAGGCAGAGCTTGCAGTGAGCCGAGATTGGGCCACTGCACTCCAGCCTGGGCGACAGACCAAGACTCCATCTCAAAAAAAAAAAAAAAAAAGTGTGTGTGTATATATATGTATGTGTGTGTGTATATATATGTGTATACACACACACACACACACACACATATACATACATACATACTGGGAAAAAATCATATACTCCCCTCAAAATCTACCTTCTAGGATATTTTTAGTTTTCTTGTGACATCCTCCATCATTATCACTTCAAAGTTACTGTTGAATATTTATTTGAACCAAGCTGAATTAATATCTTACAGCAGTGACCACACATGGAAATTGGCCCTGGGATTCATCATGCCCCACTGGACAGTGCCATCCCTAGGGCTGTATCAGTAGAAATTCTGATAACTCTGATCTTTACAATAGTCTAATGTAACAAGGGTAGTATCTGGCATTTAATTCAGTGAATTAACCGTGGCTAGCCCCACAAGTAGATTTAAGCAATCTTATGATCCATCTAAAAAACAAAATTACAAAGTCAAAGAAAAGACACCTTTCATTGTGTGTTTGCTCAGCTACCCATAAAGAAAAGAACTGTTTGACGTTGAAAATAGGTTGTGCAGAGAAGCACCCATCTTGTGTAGATTAGATGAATCTTCTATGATGTTCTCAGTTTAGAATCAGAGCTGTTTTCTCTAGAAATATCACAAAGATAAAGATTATAATGAAATAAAGTTTTAAGACTGCTTAGTGGAGAAGGCATTTTAATACCAGGAGTTAGAAGCTAGACCTTTTTCCCTTTTCCAGGTACATTAGCATATCTTGGACTCAACAATATTATGTTTGTTTGGGTTTTTTTTCTCCCTCTCAAATGAGCTTTTGGTTTATGTTTTACATTTTAAAAAACCTTTTATTTTAAGAAGTCTTAGATTAACCAAAAAGTGGCAAAGATAGTACAGAGTTCTCACATGCCCCACATCCAGGGGAACACCCCTATTCTCCTGTTGCCAACACCTGTATCACCGTCGTAGATTTGCCATGACCAATGAACCAAGATTGATACTTTATGATCAGTTAAATTCCATAGTTGCTTTGGATTTCATCAGTTTTCCCTAATGTTCTTTTTCTCTTCCAGGGTCTGAAAAAAGCTTTTAAATTTTTCCTAAATGTATTCATGGGAAAACCAAAGAGAGAAGACAAGAGAGTTCAAGCGTAAAAGAGCTCAGTTATTTAACTTGGTAGTTTTTTGTAATTCATGTGCTTTTTCTTTCTAGCTACGCTACAAAGAAACATTTCAAAAGACCAAAGGAAAATACCACACAGTGAAAGATGCCCTAGACATTGTCTATCATCGCAAAGTCACAGATGACATCAGTAAAGTATGTCCCTAAATATTTCTACTTGTGTTGGGCTCTATAACTCACCATATAGATACATATATTTTTTAGCAATCTCCCTCTTCTAAAGTTCTCCAGAGAGAAGAAGCCATATTTACATTAACTTTGGGTAAGACTTACAGCTGTCTTTGTGTTTTTCATAACAGATAAAATACAAGGAGAACTACATGAGCCAGCTGGGTATCTGGAGGTCCATTCCTGATCGTCCGGAGCATTTCCACCACCGAGCAGTCACTGACGCAGTCAGTGATGTGAGTGTTGACATCTTCTGTTTTCACATATAAATTCATATTCCCATTTAAGCTCTGAAATCAAACACTTCATAAAAACTGAAGAAACACTTGGCTAGATTTTAGATTTTGTGTGTGGATGTTTAAATCATAAAACTCAATTGCTAAGTGAGTGAATTTCAACTTGGGAGAAGGAAATGTATATTCAAATTTATAAACCTATTTTTCTCCTAAACGTATGATACCATATTATAGTACTGGAAGTGATATATATCATCTAGGAAATAGCCTATTTTTGATCCATTGAAGTGACAACTTCATGAAGCAATTAAGACACATAACAGTGCTCACTTAGAAAGTTCAACTCTGTGTATGAAAATATAGCTGCCAAGTTAAAGATATACTCTCTAGGAAAGTATGCCTGTTAAATTTGAATTGCTTTAATTAGTATTAAAAATGGAAAACTTCCATATGTTATAGAACAATATACCAGCGGTCAGTATTACTGGAAACTTCTTTTAAATAATTGTTTTAATACTTTATTATTTCATATACCTCAAGGGGTGGGGCTTCTGTTTGTTCCTCTTGTATAGATACTAACTTACTGCTGTTTGGAGATGGCTTCTTAGAACTCTTTGATGTTCTTCTTCTCCCAGGTAAAATATAAGGAAGACTTGACTTGGCTTAAAGGCATTGGTTGCTATGCTTATGATACCCCTGATTTCACTCTGGCTGAAAAGAACAAGACTCTCTACAGCAAGGTATATATATTCAAGGAGAATTGGCCACATCCATTTGACACATACCTGTACCCACAGAGAGAATTAGCACTGAGGAGATCGTCCTTCACGTTTCCATCCGTATCATGGCTTCTAGACCTTATAGTTTGAGTACATGCTGAATTGTTCACTCCTAGGAAACTCTTGGGTATTAACCTCATTGACTGAAGGCATTTATTTGAATTTGATGAAAAGTCATCTGAGTTCAGCCCCTCATGATTCTTCTAGAACTCTCTCCTTATTAATATGTCTCTGGGTAGTTTCTCCTATTAAAGCTGATATGATAGCCAATATAAAATGGGGTTATCTTAATCCACAAATAATGTATGATGTGAGGCAAACCATCTAGTTTTTATGGCCTCATTTTCCTATTTACAAAATAAAGCAATTCAATTCACTTGCATTTGAGTTGTACGAGATGATCCAGTAAACTTTTTCCTGAAAAATGCCAGGTAGTAAATAAAACGTCTAAGAAGATGTTGTGGGCCAAATTCATTCTAGGGCACATTCTTCTTTGTTTGTTACAACACCGTGGAATGGTGAAACCCATTCTAATTCATGAAGCTGTTTAAAAACAGGTGGCATGTTTAAAAACAGGGTCATACCCCACACCTGCTCTTAGAAGATTATGTTTATCTGATTAATTGCTGGAAAACTATCTTCAAATTAATGTACTAAAAACCTTCAAGTGCACATGAAAATACTTTCAAAGTTAAATAATAATTATAATATTTAGATTTTTGCCCAGTATGGAAAATAAGTCTATTCAGTATTCATTCAATGGAAGCGTTTTCTAGTGTCCACTTTTGGGCCAGTTTTCAAGACATCTAGGCAGTTCTACCCTTCATTGCCTTGGAGGCAGAATAAACAATCAGTAAATATGTGTTAGCTTGGCTGGGTTCTGTGGCTCACGCATGTAATCCTAGCACTTTGGGAAGCCAAGGCAGGTGGATAGCCTGAGCCCAGGAGTTCGAGACCAGCCTGGGCAACATGACAAAACCCCATTGCTACAAAATATACATAAATTAACCAGGCGTAGTGGTGTACCACCTGTAGTCCCACCTACTTGGGAGGCTGAGATGGGAACATCGATTGAGCCTGGGAGGCGAAGGTTGCAATGAGCTATGACTATGCCCTGCACTCCAGCCTGGGCAAAAGAGTGAAACCCTGTCTCAAAACAAACCAACAAACGAATATATGTTAGCTCTGAATATGAATTAATTATCACAATTATATGATATGATAAACAGCATGTCTCATTCTTAAGATAATCATAGCCTGCTGTCAAGTAACTATGTTCTGTTTTTTCTAGTATAAGTATAAAGAAGTATTTGAAAGGACGAAGTCAGACTTCAAGTATGTTGCCGACTGTCCAATCAATAGGCATTTCAAGTATGCAACTCAATTGATGAATGAGGTATGTATGAATAAACTGCTCCAATTAAGCCTATTCAATTCCCTAAAGGAAGTCTTAGAGTTTTTTTTTAATTAAAGCCCAATACACAGAATGACAGGAAAGCCATCCTAAGTTTTCATTTTAACTAAAGATTTGGAAAGGACTCTATAATGTCACCATCCAGCAAGCTCTGCCAAACTATAAATAAAAACAAGTGAAGGGACCGTTCAGTGGTGGGAGAGTCCTGCGAACATCAGCACCTCTGCACAAATGCAGGGCAGCACAGCCCGCGGGTGACAATACCAGGGAGGTAAAGGATTTTCTGGACTGTCGGCGGAACTCCCTTATACAGAATATTGTGTAGATTTGGGAGACGCAGAAGTTCAAGGTTAATTTAGTATCCTCTACTAAGGCACCAACATGTCAGTGGTTAGAAGAGCTATGCTAAAGGAATAGTTGTGATTCATGCTTCAAAGATATTGCCATTGTTACTCCCACATATATTGGTGCACAGAAGTATCCATTTGCACCCCAATTTTTTCTTTCTATTTTATCCAGCCTTTCCTGTAACCATCTTTTTGATAATTTAAATTTAGCTCAAGGTGGCTAAAATAAACAAGCTGTGAATTTTTTTAGTTTGGATGGTTTTATAACATTGGGATGGCTTTGTAGTTAAAGTTGTATTTAATTTCCTATTTTCAGATTTTTCACAGGTTTCCATAAGTTCAAAAATTACATGAGAAAATTAGTACAATGTATCTAAAAATGAAAATGTAGCCAATGGTCTATTTATTTAAATGTATGACTTTTTTGTTGTTTGTTGTCTTTACATTTGATTGTTCACTTTCAGTAGATTTCCGGACTGGACAACCCTGAAGAATTACTGCCAGTAGCTTCCTATGAATATAATCTTGATATATTTTGTTTCTGTTTTTCTATTTCATGAAGAATTTCCAGGTCTCCTTTATAATCCAATACATTAATAGCATTAGAAGACTATTACAAATTTCCCATGGATGTTTTAGCATCAGTTATGCTTTGAGATTCTCACAGCCTTAGATAGTAAACCTGTAGCTTATCAGTACCATATTTTAAATATACTGTTAAATGCCATAAAACCTAACGCTGCTAATGGCATCATATATAAAGACAGAAAAAGGGCACAAGGAACTCTAATTTCAGTGTCATAAATGTAACCTATCCCACACTCCAGCCTTCTTCAGGTAATCTTCCTCCACTTGACTCTCTTTGCTTCCCTGTTTTTATTGACCTGGGTATGTTGGGAGCCCGCCACTAGAGATGACATGTTCTGGCCCTCTGCAGTGTTTACCTTGAGACATTTCTGTGTAGCCTTGAAGTTGTACTCTTGCTATAATATGCTATGATGTTTGAGCAGAAAAAATACAGAGCTGATTATGAGCAGCGGAAAGATAAATACCACCTGGTAGTGGATGAGCCTAGACATCTGCTGGCTAAGACCGCAGGCGACCAGATCAGTCAGGTACTGTGATGGGGCTGGCCGGTGGCCCAGGCAGGACTGTGCTCCTGGTTTCTCATGAGATGTCGTCCCGTCTGCTGCAAGGATGTCATAGGTTCTGCCTATGATATTGGGCTGTTCTGTTTCAAAGTATCTGTCTAGCCACCCAAAGAGCCTATCAGCTATTTGAGTGCGCCAGTCCATGCTCTGTGTTCTCACTTGTGCTGTGGTGAAGATGAAAGGAAAAGCTGGGTCCTCCCATCCTTTACTCTTCTAGAGAACCTGTTTGAAAACTGCAACTGTAAATTGCAGATTGAGTTGCAAAAGCAAAAAACAAGTGAACAAACAACAGCAACAACAAAAAAACAAAAATTAATGGAAGGAAAGAAGACATAACTCCTTACTATGTATCTTTCTATTCCAAACATGTTGTCTTTTCTATAAAGCTATTTTGGTGGTAACATAAGTGAAACTAGCTGTATCATACCCTATTCACAAGGACTATGAATGGTCAACCACAAGCATTGCAGTCATTCTGCTTGGCATGATGACATATTTGATGTCTTCACCCACACATATGTGAGTACATAAAGTGTGTATGCCTACATCTCTTCACTCAGAGGTGACTGGGATATAGAGCCGTGTTCTTTTCTGTCTTCATAAGTCTCTTTTGTGCTTCACTGCTCTTTGCATGGACAGAGAAAATATAAATCTAGTGCCAAGATGTTTCTGCAACATGGATGTAATGAAATTCTGCGTCCAGATATGTTGACTGCTCTCTACAATTCACATATGTGGAGCCAGGTAATGTCTGATGGGATGTGAAGAAGGAGGTTTAGAAGTCTTGGATGCATTCCCTTGTATGCTTTCATTGATTTCCTCTCCCACTCCCTGCCCATGCTGGCTTCACATGGTAAAGCTACGTAAATATTCATTCCTTGTAAATGACCTCTGAATGTGGCCAAAGGTGATGGGACAGTGGTCATCTGTACATCATTTGACACTTTCAGAACTCTTAATAAAATTAACTGATTCTTTCAAGTGTTATTTCCAAATTGGTATAACATTAATTTATACTTTTCGGTATTTGCCTCAAAGAAATAGATTCCTCAGAGATTGAAGATAGTAAGTAGATTAAACAGCATGTAAAAGGTCTGAATATTTAATGTTTTCATCTAATGTGTCCCTTGTTCAATTATCACTACAACTGTTGCGGGGAGATGAGGATTACCGTGCAGCTCTATGAATATTGTATATGTTCATGGCGCCTCTTGACTTTGATGCTGAATTGCTAGGTTATTTCCAGCACATCTGATCCCACACACACTGGTTAACAGTGTCTCTGATAATAATGCCTTTTTAGGAGGCCAACTGAAGCATGCACTTTCCAGCACATGCTGAAAGGTAAATTTGATGCAGCAATAAACTGATAATTGGTAACTACCAGAATGTTAGTAAAATACCATTTTTCCCAGACATAAAAAAAGTTAATTGAGCTTTTCTATTAGCAACTTGTTTTGTCATTTTAGTTTACCATGAAATCAATATGTGAAATGAGGAGGTTAAGCTATCCCTGTAAATATCCTGTTTGCCTGAACTTCCTCCTTTGTCCTTATATGATCCTCAAATAGTTGTGCATGAAATTTTATGGTGCTCTCTGTATCTGTCCTGCTTAAAACAGCTTCTGTGCATGAAAATAATTATGACTTGAAAATTGCAAAAACAAATGAATTTTTTAGAATGATAAATACTTCAAGCCATATATACTCATTCTTTATTTTACATCCCTGTTTCATCTTTGATATGGAAAAATGCCTTTGGAGATTGTACATGTTCAATACAATATATTGTGAGTAAAACAATATTTATCAGACTCCAGAGAACAGGTTCTAGTCCTGCTCTGAGATTCGGTCTAAATGTGCCCTTGGGTCAGTCTTGGAACCTCTGGGGGCCTCCGAGTACATGTGTATAAAACATATTGGAACTTAGGAGGCTGAGGCAGGAGAATTGCTTGAACCCGGGAGGTGGAGGTTGCAGCGAGCCGAGATCGCACCACTGCACTCCAGCCTGGGTGACAGAGCAAGACTCTACTCGGAGAAAAAAAAAAAAAAAGGAAATTAGTAGTAGTACTATCTGCTCACTCCATTACACTTTTGCTATCAGACACAAATTTATAGTAAACATTTCCAGTTAGGAATTAAAGAGAAAGCTAGATACCATCTCCTACTCTGGTGTTTCAAGAGCTAACTCTTCTCTTCCACAATTTAGATCAAATACAGGAAAAACTATGAAAAATCAAAGGACAAATTTACCTCAATTGTGGATACTCCAGAACACCTGCGTACTACAAAAGTCAACAAACAAATCAGCGATGTAAGTGCAAGTGACACTGAATACCTTCTCAAACTCAGGGGGCATCTGCAGACACTAAGGGGCATTTTAAATTGTCACAAAGTCTGGGATACTCTCCATTTAGTGGGAGGATAGTGCTGGGATAGTCTGGGATAGTCTGGGATGGTCTGCAATTTAGTGGGAGGGAGGCAGTGGTGTGAGATGCCCTGTTATGCACAGGATTCTCCTCCCCACTAAAGAATTTTTGTGCCCAGGCACGGTGGCTCATGCCTGTAATCCCAGCACTCTGGGAAGCTGAGGCAGGTGGATCACTTGAGGCCAGGAGTTTGAGACCAGCCTGGCCAATATGGCCAAACCCCATCTCTACTAAAAATATAAAAATTAGCCAGATGTGGTGGTGCACGCCTGTGGTCCCAGCTACTCAGGAGGCTGAGGCGTGATAATTGCTTGAGCCCGGGAGATGGAGGTTGCAATAAGCCAAGATCACGCCACTGCACTCCAGCCTGGGTGGCAGAGTAAGACTCTGTCTCAAAAAAAAAAAAAAAAAAAAAAAGGCATTGTTGTGACCAAACTGGCAGACATAACAGCTGGAAACAATGAGGTCTTAGCAGAGAGCAGGAAAGTACCTGTCAAATTCACAGAATTCTCTTTCCTTTATAACCACTCAGAAAAACACTTTGCATTTATATTTTGATATTATACATTGAGAACCATGACATGATTCTTTCTGCTTTTTGATCTCTTTCAGATCCTTTATAAATTGGAATACAACAAGGCCAAACCCAGAGGCTACACCACAATCCACGACACGCCCATGTTGCTGCATGTCCGCAAAGTTAAAGATGAAGTCAGTGATGTAAGTACTAGAATGGCTTAGCAGTCCCTCTCATCTTGGCCTCCTTCTAATGTGATGTAACAAACCCTGGTTTACATACAGTGATACATTACATAGATAACCCAGTTATCTATTTCTGTGTAACAACCACCCTAAAACTTAGTGGCTTAAAATAACAGTCATCTCTTTTGCTCATGATTCCGTAAGTTGACTGGACACAGTTGAGTAGCCCTATTCCCCATGTTGCTGGCAGACACCTGGGGCTCAGTCAAGCCAGGACATCCAGGTGGCTCACCCCCATGGCTGGCCATTGGTGATGGCTGTGGGCTGGGAGCTGGGCTATTGTGTAGATGAGACAGGAACTCCTTCATGTGACCTCTCCACATGCCTTGGACTTCTCCCCAGATGGCTCTCCACTTGGCTTAAACATATCCTGAGGTACTGATTTTTTAAAAATGAATTTCCATGACTTTCTCCTAAAGATACTGATTAGTAAACTGGTAAAGAAGGTCTATGGTGAAGCCAGGAAAATTCTGATTCCTATGATCACGTTAGTAAACCCCACTACGGCTCCCTTGGAACAGTTTACTTTGGTCTTAATCACATTAAAACCTAGGATCCTTCCCCAACGATTAATGAGAAAGCCCAGATTGAGGCCCTGGGCCCTGAAATTTAAGAAGAGCAAAAGTGGATGAAGCTGTAAGTCCCAGGCCCAGGATGGAAAAACTGCCTGTTGGGCCTGCAGAGGCTACGCCTTCCCCATGCCTCTCCCTTCTATCCAAACCCACATATACCAAAACTTGCTAGGTATGTCTCTAGCAATGACAATATATGGTTCCATATATTTTTAAAAGGTAGAATGATTGCTGTATCCATCAGTTCATTCATTTATCAAATATTTAGTGTCTATGTCCCTGACACTAGGAATGAGATGATGGATGACAAACAGTCTTTGCCCTTAAGGAGTTCTTTTTAATGGAAAGAATAGGCAGATTAAAAACAAAATTATAACATGACATGATAATAGCTAGAACTGCAGGAGCATAGAAGGACAGCAAGACTAATTCTGTCTGGGTGAGCTGGTGGGGAAAGGCTTCTCTTCCATCAGCAGTTATCAAGATGTTCTGAACACAGGATTTACTGATTTGGGGAAAGGAAAACCTGAATGAATAGCTGTCCAACCGGTCCTTTCAGCCCAAGCACAGAAACATGAATTATATGGCAGGCTGGGCACGGTGGCTCGCACATGTAATCCCAGCACTTTGAAAGGCTGAGGTGGGCGGATCACCCGAGGTCAGGAGTTCAAGACCAGCCTGGCCAACATGGGGAAACCCCATCTCTACTAAAATGCAAAATTAGCTGGGCGAGGTGGCACATGCCTGTGGTCCTAGCTACTCAGGAGGCTGAGGCAGGAATATTGCTTGAAACTGGGAGGCAGAGGTTGCAGAGATCGCACCATTGTACTCCAGCCTGGACGACAGAGAGAGAGACTGTTAAAAAAAAAAAAAAAAAAAAAAATTATATGGCGACACTGATGACCACAGTCAGTGTGCCCTCATTTGAGATAGGAAGGTGCATCTCTGCATGGCTGTATCCTTGCTCCTCAGCAGATTTTTAAAATTCCATCTTAAGGAGCACTATGTACTATAGTCATGCATGGATTTAATTTCTTGTTTTTTAAGATGCTCAGTATGCTGCTATAAAAAAATTAATCTTGTCACTGTGTTTCCTCCCACAGCTGAAATACAAAGAAGTATACCAAAGAAATAAATCCAACTGCACCATTGAGCCAGATGCTGTTCATATCAAAGCAGCCAAGGACGCCTACAAAGTCAACACCAATGTAAGTTCCAGAAACTTCCCCAAGCATGGTGGGGGATTTGCCAGCTTCTGTAGGACACATGGCCTCTTTTTACATCTCTTCAGGCAGTTGAGCTCTAGTGATTGATTGCAAAGCAAGAGTCAGGCCCCAGGAGCATGAACAATGATGCTAAAATATAAATGCTGCATTGGTCCTCACAAAGGAGCATGGGGAAGAGCAAGAGAGGCCTCATCCCATGCCATGGATGCTGCACCCACTCCGTTCTTGTGGTGGGTGGCTGAGAAATGGGACATTTAATTCTGAAACATAGGTTGCATTTTTGGAAAGTGCCTGAACAGTTTTCATTCTCTTCCCCTGTGCTCTCCTCCTGCCTCAAACTCTACAGTCTGCTTCTTCTGATGAAAAAACATTGAGCCATTTGGTGCCATCAGGCATTGGCCTAGACCTTCTTCCTGCTCAGATGTTCCCTGCATTGACTCTCTTCTTGGGTGCGGCATCTTAAGGCCTCAACTACAGAAATAATTTTGTGCATTTAGATGAGCACTGACTTCTTAAAAATATATTAAATGGTTATACAATGAAACCATTAAAACCCAATTAGTACCCACTAGTGCCAGAGGGGACATATATTTATGAGGGCTAGCAAACTGTAATGCCTGTAGGAGCTGGCAAAGAGCTTGTAGGTATCCTGAGGATGGATTGAGGGTAGAGGGATAGAAGGATAGATGTGAGATAAAGCAAATGCAGTAAAATGTACCTTGCAAAATCCAGGTTGTATGGGTATTCTCTGTAATATTCTTGCAACTTTTTTGTATATTTGAAATTTTTCCAAATAAAATGAGGGGAAAAAAAACCTTATCAAATAGTATACATAAAAGCATGTGCATTATATTGTGCATAAATTATACCTCAATTTTAAAAAGAGAGAATGAGGAAAGAAATGTGCCTAATAGTGCAGGCGTCTCCCATAGACACTCAAATTAAATTACATACACTTCTGTAGCTGAGATTTGGCCCAATGCAGCCAGTTCCCAGCCCTGAAGAGTCTAGGAAGCGTGCAAGCACCTCTGAGGCCAGAGTACCTGGGTTTAAATTCCAGCTCCACCAATTGCTAATAGTCCCACCTTGGAAAGTTTACTTAACCTTTCCATCCGGTTCTTCAGCTGTCTATTTCATGCAGTTGTTATGAAGATTTGGTGAATTAATTTTATACAATTTTATAAGTCATTTAATTAGTTCTGTAATTTGTAAAGAACTTAGAAAAGTGCCTGGCACACAATAAATATCTAGTGTTTGATAATTTTTGTTAAAAATTAAAACTGAATTTAGTTAGAAATTAAAAGTACTCGATTCTGAAGATGATTGGGCTGGACTGGCAGAGCTAGAGAGACTAAAGAATCCTTTCACCTGGAGGCCTTTAAAAATTTTAGCCTCTATTTCGGGACCACAAGCTCCCAACAGATGACCTCTGAGTGGATGACTAGCTGCATAAATTGTACAGAAATTTTAATTGGGGTTCCCTCTTGCATTAGGAATCATGATTTGAGATGTTTTAAAATGCAAGAGCCCCTCTGTGCCGTGTGTGTTTATGAATTTAGCCTACTGAATGAAGTGATTTCTTTCTTCTGTTAAAAACAGCTGGACTATAAGAAACAGTATGAGGCCACCAAGGCCCACTGGAAGTGGACCCCTGACCGACCGGACTTCCTCCAGGCCGCCAAGTCATCCCTGCAGCAGAGTGACGTAAGTCGGGACAGACATAGATGATCGTAACTGCATACTGCACCTGAGAAATACAATGAATCATTATTTATAATAACCACTGTCATGGGTGTTAACCCTTGCTCGTTTGAGATCCAAGAAGGAGCAGAGGATGGTTGGGGGAGCGATAGGCGAGCTCAGTACCCAAACCTGCCCATGGAGCCTATTCTCCTTTGGCTGGGCCTGGACACAAATGGCTGAGTTCTGACTGAGGCTGGGGAGAGTCTGGCGGAAGACTGAGGATGGAGGGGCTTGGTCCTGGCAGCTGGGCTGAAAAGGAGGAGTCCAAAATGCAGTGAGGGACCAAGAAGCCCTTCCGTCATTCTGGTAGCAAGTCTTCGTTCTCTCCTTAAGAGGACTCCCTGTGGGTTTAATCAAATGCCCAGCTTCCTCCTGTGCTGTGACCCTTCCCTTTTCTTCTGCCTTTCTTCTGTAACAGTTTGAATATAAGCTGGACCGGGAGTTCCTCAAGGGTTGCAAGCTTTCTGTCACTGATGACAAAAACACGGTGCTGGCCCTCAGGAATACTTTAATAGAAAGTGATGTAAGTATCTAGTTCCTTCCATGATGCCTAATCTCACTCAGGGCCATCTTCCATGGTACAGTCCCCAGGGACACCAGGGAAGGATGGAGAAGAGCTGCTTCCATCAGGGCTCAGGTATGGGTCCTGAATTATGGCCTATCCTGTGATGGTCACCAGCAGTCAAGCAGGGCAGCAGCAGTGCAAGGGCCATTAAATCCAGGTGACAATCCTTGATTTATACTGCACCAGCAGAGAGTTCACACAGCAGGAATTAGGACCCTGAAGGCCTGGCTGGACTCTTGATGGAAACACCATGATTTGTTTTCTATGGGATCATATTTTCCCTCCACTACAGTTTCCTCCTCTGTAAAGAAGGAATAATAATGCGTCCCAGGGCTTCTGGGAGGGACAAATGGCATATCTGAGAATGCTGTGAACGTAACTCTGACTATGTAAAGATTCATCACGAGATCCATTTTGATTGTTATTAAAACCACAACTTGCTAGAGATAAGGAAAAAACCCTTTTGAATATTTCCCAAGATTTGCAAGTATCACATCTTTTATTGAGTTTAGTATTGTCAACGATGCTGTTCTAGTGGTTTGGGGGTGTAATAAAAATATGTAGGATATCCAGTGGAGCTAAAGAAATGCCCTTTTTCCTGCCCCTGCAGCTGAAATACAAAGAGAAACATGTCAAGGAAAGAGGAACCTGCCATGCCGTACCTGACACGCCTCAGATCCTGCTGGCGAAGACTGTCAGCCACCTGGTGTCTGAGGTAACCCCCCAGCCGCCCATGAGTTCTGCCTCCCTCTTGGGAGAACACCCCAGGCAGATGCCTTAACGAGCTCTCTATGGATTCCTCCAGAACAAGTACAAGGACCATGTCAAGAAGCACTTGGCACAGGGCTCATACACAACACTACCAGAGACCCGGGACACTGTTCACGTCAAGGAAGTGACCAAGCACGTCAGTGATGTGAGTGACCAACCACCGCTCTCTTGGCAGCAACAATGCCACTTGACTGTAGAGTCTGGTGAAACAGTGTCAGCTGCCTTTGGCTTCCTTAATGTAGCTTCACTCTATCAGTATCTACATGTGAACCTTAAACTCTGATTTTTAAAATGACCCAGTATTTATTGGCTTTCCAATTCTGGCAATTATGGCAAATGTGGGTTTTGCTATAGGACGTGTAATGTAGCATATCAGATGTTACTAACCTATCAATAACAGAAGGAAACATTGCTGATTCAGAGTGGCCTCTTCTATTATTAAACTCCTACCCAATTTTAGAAAGGTAAAACTACCTCTTTGGGCCTTAGTAATCTCTGCCTGCTCTATCTTTATCAATAATGCTGTAGTAACCTCAGTATTATAGGAGTCCCATATGGTCCCATATATTTTTAAAAGGTAGAAATGGTAAATAAAAGAGCTTAATTTGCCTGTACCCAGGTTCTCTAAAGATTGTCAGGTGGTTCTAGTGTTGGGTTGCAGAACACAAATGACAGAGAAGAACTAGAATATGGGTCTTATCTAAGTCCCAGACTGATGCCAAAATGGGGAGCAGGGATTTTCCTGGAGATTTCACAGTTCTTCAGGTAAACCAACTCTGTTCCCAGCTTCCTCTGCTCATAGAAGTAATTCTGGCTCTATTTAGACAAATTACAAAAAGAAGTTTGTCAAGGAGAAAGGAAAATCCAACTACTCCATCATGCTGGAGCCACCAGAGGTGAAACATGCTATGGAAGTGGCCAAGAAGCAAAGTGATGTAAGTTTTCCCTGTCAACATTCTCGGGGGCCCATTTGAAGCAGCGGAACCCAAATTGGTGCATTCTCTTGTTCCAGTGTGTGGTCACTCTAATTCCTCTGTGGTAGTTTCAAAAAGTTAGTAGTGAGAATTGGTTTGGGTTTAAGGAAAAAAGCTGATTGTGCTTAATGGGGACTTTTAGAAAGAGCGTATCTCAGCTGGGCGCAGTGGCTCACACCTATAATCCCAGCACTTTGGGAGCCCAAGACAGGCAGATCATGAGATCGGGAGTTCGAGACCAGCCTGGTCAATATGGTGAAACCCCGTCTCTACTAAAAATACAAAAATCAGCCAGGCATGGTGGTGCACACCTGTAGTCCCCAGCTACTTGGGAGGCTGAGGTAGAAGAATCACTTGAACCTGAGAGACAGAGGCTGCAGTGAGCTGAGACTGTACCACTGCACTGAAGCCTGGGCAACAGAGCGAGATTCCATCTCAAAAAAAAAAAAAAAAAAAAAAAAAAAAAAAAAAAAAAAGCATATCTCTTGAGTAAACATTTTCTTCCCCAATAAAGGTCGCTTACAGAAAAGATGCTAAAGAGAACCTGCATTACACCACAGTGGCCGATCGACCAGATATCAAGAAGGCCACACAGGCAGCCAAACAGGCCAGTGAGGTAAGGGTGTCATTAAAATGTCCCCAGTCCCCAACAGCCACTGCCAAGGCATGCCAGGCAACCATCACCTATTGCCCATTTTGGTTTTCTAATTCAGGTGGAGTACAGAGCAAAGCACCGCAAGGAGGGCAGCCACGGCTTAAGCATGCTCGGTCGCCCAGACATAGAAATGGCCAAGAAGGCAGCCAAGCTGAGCAGCCAGGTAATGCAGATGGGTGCACTGGTGGCTCTCATGTGAGGAAATTATAAAAGACCTTGCAGGAAGAAGTGATTTCCACATTGACAATGCAAAGGGATGCTGGGTCTGTAATAGTACTGCAAAGCTTCCAAGAGTTATAAAACATGCACTGAGGGCCTTTTCTTGTTTCCCTCTAAGCAGTCTAGACCTTTCTTGTTCTCCACTTTTCCATTTATGGGCATTTGTCTAGGTGTCTGTGTGTGCTTAACTATCTTTCTGTGACAAAAACATCAGCTCATGAGGTCCTACTGGAACCTCTCCCCAGGCCTTAAGAGTTTCATCCTCGGGGTCTGATTCATACTTGAGTCACCAGGGGTAGATTTAACATGAAGAGTCATGAAATTCGAACTTCTAGAATCCAACCAGATGAAAATATTCATTTTTTTTCATTAAACATACATATATTAACAGCCTGGGCTAGGAAGTAGGGATGAGCAGATGTCTTCAGATTACTTGTCCGTGGATAAATCATTAAAATTTTGTTTGGCAAGTAAGTGTTTGATCAGGGTATGCACAGGGTGCTGATGGAGAATGCCACATTCTTGCAGATTTCATATTATTGAGAAGCAAATGGACTCAGAAATGTATTGCCCAAACCCAGTTACCACATGACTTATTTTCTCTTGTTAGACCAATTATCTAGAATTCCCCAAGTTATGACAGGTTTTCAAACTTTAGCTCAGAGATCCCATCATCTACCACCAGATTTGTCAGAGTGCAAGTTTGATCCTATAGGACTTTAGCTTAAGAATATCTTATTTCTCCTCCAATTTACAGATCCTACCTTCTTTTTCCTTGTCTGTTCTCTCAGGTATCTGTTTGAAGAAATAGGTTTGGGATATACATTTGGTTGTTGTGAGTGACTGACTTTCAGCAATAGCAAACACGGGATTCCAATCTTTTGGAAGATATAATGCAGTAATGTCAAGTGACAGAACAAGTTAGAATTATGAAAACACAAAAGGGTCAGATGACTGATGAAAAGCAAATATTATTTTTTAAAAGTTTTTAAACTTAAAATTCCTATGTAACATATTTTATTGTAAATTAATGGAATTGTATAAGTATCTGAAACTAAGATAGGGGATCACCAACAAAAAAACAGCGGAATCTCTAAGAGTAATGAGATATAACTAGAACTTACTAATGCAAAAAATGTTTTTAAATGTACAAGGTCATATCATTATCATTTAAAAACAAAGAAATGACTGTGATGTTGAAATTTTGAAAACTTTATTGTTTTTGAAAATCAAGAGGCTCCTGTTTCTAATCCTAAGTGAATCCTATGGTATGGAGAATGGGACATTCACTTCGTGTGAAAGCTGGTCTCCGAAATGACAGCTTCATGGTGTGGCCCTGGGCCCAAGGGAGCTTCAGCTGTGTGTGGGCTCTCCCTGTTCTGACTTTGCTGTCTTGCTGCGTACTCTAGGCGGAATACCTCAAAGGCCAAAGGAGAGGGCACGGCGCTGCATCTTATGACACCCCTATGATGAGGCATCTTAAGAAAATTAATGTACTCATCAGTGATGTAAGAAAGACTGAGACCAGCAAGTCATTATTTGTCTTCCTCTGATTCTTGTCTACTTTCTTGGCATTGGTCAGGGGACTGACCAGGTTGCACTCTTTTCTGTTGATTTTGTGTTGGAACATGTAGATTGCTGTGGAAATTTGTTGAAGGATATACTTTTGCACACATCTTTCTTTTCCTGCATGAAACTTTCCATCTGGAACTTGCCATTTGGAATAGGAAGGTAGACTAGACTCAGAGATGGCCTCCCAGTGTATGTGTATGTTAGGTTGCTGACACTGATCAAATTAAATGATGAAATTAAAACAGAGAATCGAATCTCATCTTCAACCAAAGAAACCTCTGCTTCTTCTGAAGTTATTTGCCATTTTTGATTTTTAATATACTGAAGATTTGTGTTTAATATAGTTTCTCAGTTCAGGCCTGCTATGAATCAACAGTATACACTTTTAATAGCTTTTCTAATTCTCGGGACTGTTTTTCTGTCTTTAGATGTACCAGTATACATCTCAATTCACTAAAAAGGAGCTAAAAAATTAGATCTTAAACTTTAAATACAATTAAACTCCTAAAAATATAATTAATTCAAAATCACTTTCCTATACTACATCCATAATAGGCCCAATTTCTGAGCCTGATGGGATTATAAACCCCAGAGGCTGCCACTTACCGATACATGGCATTGCAGAGTTGCCTCTTAGCTTCCATGATTAACAGGAAAAAGCTTCACCATTCCCTAATGCCAAGTGTATGTAGTTTTACTACATTACTCCCTAGTCAAACACCATCCCAAGAATTCCTAGAGTCCTAAGCCTAGTACATGTCTTTAACCTTTCAAACTATACAGTTTTAAGAAGATCCAGTCAAAAAGGAAGGCCAAAGGTGCTGAACTCAGGTTCGTATTAGTAGTTGTACTAAACTGCATTTGTTTAGAGGACTTCCTGTGGAGAAGGGAGTCATAACTTTTTTTCAGTTAAAAAAGTCGAAGTTAACTTGAAATTAACAGAAGAAAAAGAAACTGAAGTGGAACCAATGGGATTGCTGCTTGAAAAATACTTCTTCAGAAACAAGTATCTTCTAAAAGATAGGACTTTTAGCGTGCTTCTAAAAGCAGCAGATTTTCTTCTCATTTGAGATGGGCTTTTGCTTCTTTTCTTCCCTACTCTGACTCTGCGTATCTGGTTTACTTTGCTTTTCTGTGTTTCTCAGCTCTTGGGAACATCTCCTAGTTTTATGGACTTCTATATCTCTTAGGAAAAGTTGCCTTTGGTCCAGACATCAGCTCACACCTCAGACTTTCCTTAGCAGGCCTTCACTTCTTTATGTGGAGAGGGAAACTTTTTCAGAGAAGAGCCATTGTAGCATTTGTTGACATTTCTTTTTCCTTTACTTTGTGTGTCTGTCTCAGTGTGCCTGCATCATGCTGAACTGTTCTGCATGCTTATTTTTTCTTTGCATTTCCACTGAGGGTTTATTCAAAGTAAAGGAGTCTCAGCATTGTGAATGCATTTTCTCTGATGTGGCAGATTTCATTGTTGTTTTGTGTCTGTTGTGCTGGATGTGTCAAGTTGGGGGAGGTGAAGAGCAGTGATGAAGCATGAGGGGTACTGGTGTGAGTCTTTGATCTTAATAACAGAAACTCTAGGATTCCCTAAGGATTAAATATTGCCCTTTTGGTTGGCTAACATCTAGAAAAAGCTCAGTTTTCATTCCTCCTAGAGTGAATAACTAGTGGAACTCTACTTCTGGCCTTAATTCTACAATACTGTTGACAAAAGCATCATTTGTTTTTCAATTAGGAGATGTTTCTGTCACTTTCCATTCTGTTGAATTCTCCTATAAATAAATCCTCTTATTTATTTTGTGAGACAGGGTCTTGCTCTGTCACCCAGGCTGGAGTGCAGTGGTGTGATCCTGACTCACTGCAGCCTCCACTTCCCACGCTCAAGTGATCCTCCCGCTTCAGCCTCCTGAGTAGTTGGGACTACAGGGGTGCACCACAATACCCAGCTAATTTTTGTATTTTTAGTGGAGATGGGGTTTCAGCATGTTGCCCAGGCTGGTCTCAAACTCCTGGGCTCAAGCAGTTTGCCCACCTTGGCCTCCTAAAGTGCTGAGATTACAGGCATGAGCCACCGCACCCAGCTATCATCCTCTTTAGATATTTTACCTAGACATAATGACTGTCTCTTCCTTTCATTCAATCAAATCACATTTATTGAGCAACTATTAGTGCAAGGCATTGTGCTTATTTTTTAAATTGGAGTTATTTAGCCCTTTGCCTACCTAAACTTATTTTTATGTATACTAAAAGTTTATTTAATCTTATTTTTTCTCATTATTCTAAAGTATCTCACTTTTTTCCTACTTCTAGTCTGAAATCACACTTGAAACCAGTAATCCCCAAACTCTAATACTTGTTTACTCAGGAGTTATACCATTTTTGGCCAAGCTTAATAATTTTTAAATGCTATAGCCAAAGTACCATTTTAAAATAACAATAAATTCTCCTAATTTAACAGATTCCTTATTTTTCAACCTTCTTGATCATTTACAGCCCCTCTCTGGATTTCTTATAGACTTAAATTGCTGTTGGTTTTGCTAGTTAGGAGTCCTAAAATGCTCCAAATCAGGTACATTAAATCATATCTCTGAATTTAGCCTGAAGACTTTTCCATTTTTTTTTTTGTTTTGCATTAGAAAGAGGTGATTATTTTTTATACCTTGGAATAATATAAAAGTGAGTAAGGCCAGTGATGGTATATTTGAATGCCTGTTGTCTTGTCATTCTTAATTATTAATAGTGTCTTCTTTACTCTAAATGTCCCAGTTTGGATAATAGATTATATGATCATTCTATGTATAACGCATATTCTTTGGCATTTCTGTTTCTACCATTCCCCAATTCCCAAATTGATTGATGCCAGGAATAATTTGGATGTTTGCATTTGCTGTTAGGTTAAATACCGAGAAAACTTCGATAAAGAAAAGGGCAAGACACCAAAATACAATCCAAAAGACAGCCAGCTCTACAAAGTCATGAAAGATGCTAATAATCTTGCAAGTGAGGTATGTTTCTAAAATTGTGGTAAAATATATAACATGGTATTTGCCATTTTAACTGTTTTTAAGTGTGCAATTCAGTAGCATTTATAACACTCACAATATTATCCAACTACTGTCACTATTTCCAAAATGTTTTCATACCAACAGAAACTCTATAACCATTAAGCAAAAACTCTCCATTCCCTCCTCCCGTCAGCTCCTGGGAACCTCTAATCTACTTTTTGTCTCTATGCATTTTCCTATTTTAGAGAGCGCATATAAATGGAATCAAACAGTATTTGTCCTTTTGTGTCTGGCTTATTTTACTTAGCATAATATGTTCAAGGTCCATCCATGTTCTAGGATATATCAGAACTTCATGCCTTTTTATGGCTAAATAATATTCCATTGTATGTATATGCCACATTTTGTTTATCCATGCATCTGCTGACAGACACTTGGGTTGTTTCTGCCTTCTGGCTACTATGAATGAGGTATGGTTTTTCATCACCATCTCCAGCATTTGTTTGATGATGGGCTATCTCACTTTGATTTTCATTAGTGCTGTTCCATGTCCTATTTATGTGATTTCCTTTCTTCCGCCCTTAACACATAGGTTAAATATAAGGCTGACCTGAAGAAACTTCACAAACCTGTGACTGACATGAAGGAGTCTCTGATCATGAATCATGTCCTGAATACAAGCCAACTTGCCAGTTCTGTAAGCTCAGTCATCTGCTCCAGAAACAGCTCGTTTTACCCATTTGGAACTAAATTCTTTCTCTGAGCCCACATGCATCTTCTTCTTTGCTACGGATACACTAGATTACAAAACTGTTCTCATTTGAGTGTATTCTTCCAAATGACAACATTAATCTACCAATTCTCCATTGTCTATAACACCTCTCAGAATGCAAAAATGCTTCTTTGTTTTAGAATATTTAAACTTTGCCCTCCAAGTAATCATTCCCTTTTCCCTAAGGACATAGAAATACCCTCTGGAATAGTTTCTTTCACTTTTAACTTTTTACTTATAACACCTACTTTGAACAAGCCACACAACCTAAGTGTTTACATCTTAATTGACAATACTGAACTTGGATCCTCATTTTTAAAACTTTTTCTTAACCTCCTGTTCAGTGTTTGCCATTTTTAGTTTGATCTTGACAATGGTGCTGTGTAAATGTCTAATCTAAAGAGGAAAAATAGGAATGCTGAGCAGCTTCTCCATCAATGTGTCTTTTTTGCCACCTTCCCCTCAGTACCAGTACAAGAAGAAGTATGAGAAGAGTAAAGGCCACTACCACACCATACCCGATAATCTGGAGCAGCTTCACCTAAAAGAGGCCACAGAATTACAGAGTATAGTAAGTGGTTCAAGACCAATTTTTCCTCTGGCGCACATTCATCCACAGTACAATGTGAAAAAAAATTTCATAGATTCCCTCCATGGTTTGAGAAAATGCACAAAGATATAAGGGGTTTTGAGTTTGGTAACTTTTTGAAACAAATTCTTATGTTATAAATTACAACAACATCTACACATAGTTGAGAAATATACATGCAATTATGTGCTACTGACAGGGGCTGGAAGCATAAAGAGTGTGTTATGAGGGGACAAACCCCTCATGGTAACTCCAATGTGCCCCATTGGTTTGTGCCCCAGGTTAGGGAACACTACAGTAGATTATAGGGAGTCAGGAAGATTTCAGACAGAGAAGTGATATGATCAGGTCTACTACTGAAAGCATTTCTGGGAATTTACAAAATTACTAAATTTGTAAGACAGTCATATACCGGCCGGGCGCAGTGGCTCAAGCCTGTAATTCCACCACTTTGGGAGGCCGAGACGGGCGGATCACGAGGTCAGGAGATGGAGACCGTCCTGGCTAACATGGTGAAACCCCGTCTCTACTAAAAAATACAAAAAACTAGCCAGGCGAGGTGGCAGGTGCCTGTAGTCCCAGCTACTCAGGAGGCTGAGGCAGGAGAATGGCGTGAACCCGGGAGGCGGAGCTTGCAGTGAGCTGAGATCCAGCCACTGCACTCCAGCCTGGGCAACAGAGCGAGACTCTGTCTCAAAAAAAAAAAAAAAAAAAAAAGATAGTCATATACCACATGATGTTTTTGGTCAACGGCAGACCACTTGTATGACAGTGATCCCATAAGATTATAATGGAGCTACCCTATGCAGGTGTACCATTTTAAAATCTTTAATACCATATTTTTACTGTACCTTTTCTATGTTTAGAGATATCAAGACACACAAATACTCTTGTGTTACAAGTACCTACAGATTATCAGTAAAGTAATATGCTATACCGGTTTCTAGCCTAGGAGCAATAGGCTATACCATATAGCCTAGGTGTGTAGTAGGCTACACCATCTAGGTTTGTGTAAGTGCACTCTGTGATGTTCACACAATGATGAAATTGCATAACAAAGTCTTTCTCATAACATATCCCAGTTGTTAAGCAATTCATGACTATAACTGAAGATTCTCAGAGGAAAGAACTTGCTATCAAATGACCTCCTATATCACAAATTCAGCATTATTTAGGTCCTCTGTTGGGCATTAACCATGAGGGCTAACTACTAGAAATGTCCTCATGTCTTCTGTGGAGCAGTATGTGACCCCAGGCCTTTATTCCAACATCTTGTTACAACCCAAGAGCTCAGAGATTGAGCACTGCCATCAAGGTGCTGCGTGCATGAGGGCGTTCACCTGTCTTTCCAGTTCTCCTCTGTCACATACAAACATTGTGGCTCCCCCAGTTCCTAACCACATGTCATGAGGATGAGGAAATTGTATTTAAACAACAGTCTTGAGGATCTTTTGAGAATGCCAGGTTTTTTAACAAGTGGGTCAATATGTAAAGTAGTTTTCATTTTTATACCAATTGATTGGCTACATTAAATATATGGCCAGTCAGGACCCACATAGAGTTGTTTACTTATAAATAAAACTCCATGTGTTATCCATTCAATCTAGACCCCAGGTCTCTGAAAAAAGTTCTTGTGAAAGAAAAACTTAGGATTTTTATCAGACATGTTGATTAATGCTAATAGCATTAATAATTTTAAAGTGTTTACAGCTACCCATCAATTATAGACCAACCTCATCTATGGGTGATTTTCCCCATGCGTTTTCTTGCATCGGCATTTCTCTCAGATGATTCTTGTCAATGATTCTTTTCTCCTTAAATTGAATCCCAATCCTAATTATGCCTTGCAGACAGTAATGGTACCCATCCCCTCAACACCCAGACAACAACAAAAATGTACTGGATCTGAAACATAACAGGAAACTGTTTTGAGTGGCAATGAGATGCCATCCAATGGACAGAATGTATCAATTAAAAAATACTATCCTTAAACTGCTGTCTAGGAATTGACCACAGGAGAAATATCTAACATGGCTTTCTATCACCAGGTGAAATACAAAGAAAAGTATGAAAAGGAACGAGGAAAACCCATGCTGGACTTTGAAACACCAACGTACATCACTGCCAAAGAGTCTCAGCAGATGCAGAGTGGGGTAAGTCAAAAAAACACCACCACACAACAACGATCCATCACACTGCTGAACACAAGCTCTGCCCACGACATAGCCAGTTTCCTGTCATCCAAAAGTGGCAGCTGATAAAACTTTTTATCATGTGATCACTAAAGTCTTCTCCATCTCAGAAATCCTATGGTTCAGTTATGTTTTTAAAAATGCTCTAGGAAGTAGATATTTACCATACGTGTCTTATTTCAACAACCATTTCTGTAAAATTAGAACATGGAAAACTATTCCCAACACAAACCAATTATACTGAATGTAATTTGGATTTTCCTTTATGAATGAAATGTTCCCTCCACACAGACACCCCTTTGGCTTTGAAATGCTCTACTCTTAGTAGAATGCCCCAAACCAAACAGAAGGGTATTTGTGATCAAGATGTTTATCAAGACCCCAGATAATCAAAAGTTAAGATGCCATATTCCTTATTCTAGAATTGTAAGCAGAAGCATTAAATTTTTTTGTCATTTTTAATCAAGAGTAGAGAATGGAATCTTAAATCTTAGTCTGTTTTCAGTGGGAAATGGGCTTATTTGGAATTTCCATTTGCCTCTCTTCCTTCAACTATAAAGAGAAATTGTTTTAAATAAAAGTAGCAGTTTGTGGAGCTTTCTGGTGATAGAATGCCAGGTCATAAAAACTTTAAAATGGTTTCAAACAATTGGTGGATCTGAGTAAAGGATCTATAGGAGTTTCTTATACTGTTCTTGTGACTTTCCTGTAAATTTAAAATTCCATTAAAATAACAAAATTACAAAAGTAGAGTTCCAACATCTATTCCAAGCCCCTCTGTGAGTCAGTCAAGTCTGGAGACTGGAGAGAAGATGGGGCAAGGAGGCAGAGTGGACACAAATGTAGAATTCCTCTGTGCCTTACTGCCCACCTAGGCTGTTCAGTGATTTAAAAAAAAAAAAGCCGGTCAAAACTCTGAGTGTGGTGGCATACACCTGTAGTCCCAGCTACTCAGGAGGCTGAGGCAGGAGGATCACTTCAGCTCAGGAGTTTGAGGCCAGCCTGTGCAACATAGCAAGAACCCATATCAAAAAAAACAGGTCATGATTAGGAAAAAAAGCAAGTTAGCATTTGGTAGCCTTAGGCTCTCCTTCCTCTGCCATTTTTTTCCCCTTGCATCACTGACTTCTAATTCGGAAATAAAATCTTTTGTCACCTTAAGAAAGATGTGGGAAAGTTCAGAAGAGACAACAGAGGATTCAGAGTCTTGATGGTGCATCCATCCTTTCACTCTGCGAAGGGCCTGCCCCAGTCACAACGTTAGACTGATGAGTGAGGGGCCCATCAAAGTGTCTCAGCCTCTGAGTTTCCTTGTGGTCATTTGCTCCAGACAAAATATTTCAAGTACAATCATACATGTTTCAAATGTGTGACCATTAGCAGAACTATGATCCAGTTAAGAGCCCATACATAGAAAATGTTGTAATTTTTTTCTTCCTGAGATGGAGAGATAAATTGTAATAAATATTCTTTTTTTAACTTGTCTTTCCTTCCAACTTACATTAGAAAGAATACAGGAAAGATTATGAAGAGTCCATTAAAGGCAGAAACCTGACTGGCCTGGAGGTCATGCCAGCTTTGTTACATGTCAAATATGCAACTAAAATAGCAAGCGAGGTAGTGCCCACTTGGTGTTTTCTTTCCCTCTTAATCCAAATAATTGCACTAATGACACTCATTAATGTGTTCCTCCTACCATTTACATCACCACCTAACTGTGGGTTTCAAACTGGGTTCTCATGTGTTTGGTACTACCACCTAATCTATTACTATGTTAATTCTTCTAATTTTTTATTTGAATATTATCTTAGCATTCTGTTAACTTCAAGTTTTCATTTGATATTTAATGTTAACTGATCATGCTTATACCCTGCCTTTATTCATATTTTTACTGAACTGTGAACCCTTTAAAAATTGGAATTGTTTTTTATTTTTTTCTTCTTTGCCTAAGAGGATCAATCTAGGCTTTCTTGTCAGTGTTTTTGCTTTTCTTTCATGATATAGAAAGAGTACAGGAAAGATCTAGAGGAAAGCATCCGTGGGAAGGGCCTCACTGAAATGGAAGATACACCTGACATGCTAAGAGCAAAGAATGCCACTCAAATCCTCAATGAGGTAGGCCCACAGCTGACAGCCTGCACATAATTCATAGAGCATCATTTCTTTGTTAGCCAAATTATACTGGAAAAAGCAAAACAAAAACAGAATAGAGAAAAACAAAAACAGAATAGAGAAAAACAGAGCTTTTGATTTTCAGATTCCATATCCAACATAATTGTTAACCATTACGTAAAATATATCTCAATTTCTGATGGATATTATAACAGTATGTTTCTGTGGTGGTTATAATCTATTTGATTTAATTTGATATATTTGGTATGCTCATTTACATAAAAACACTACACTGGAGTGGTGTGTGCACCTAAGTGTAATCTTAGTTATGTACCAAACCAGATATACAATTTACTTTATACTCTAATCTTCTAAGCAGAGAATGCTAAAAGTATTCAAAAGAAGGCCTCTGTTGACCCATATTGACCTGCATAGAATAGTTTCCTCCAGAGGGCTTCTGCAGACGCCACTCCATCCTACCACACGGAAGAGTGAAGGTGAAGAGTAGCAAGCGACACTATCTGTGACAGCTGGGGTGGTGTGTTGTGTGGATTTATATTCACTCTGTATGTTTATTACCTAATAGTAGAATTTAGGTACCTTTTTTTTTTTTTCTTTTAATGCTACTATAGAAAGAATATAAGCGAGACCTGGAACTGGAAGTCAAAGGAAGAGGCCTGAATGCCATGGCCAATGAAACTCCAGATTTTATGAGGGCCAGGAATGCTACTGATATTGCCAGTCAGGTCAGTGCTACTATTCGATGTCAATCTTTCAGGAAAGTAGTTGTAACTTTAAGGACATCAAGTGTCCCTCTGTCATCTGATTTATTGGTGACAGTCACATGCATACAGTGGCATTCTTGAACATCTGCCTGGGGGAATCCACCCCAATGAAAGGATGGAGGACCCTTTGCCAGGCTCATTGCTGTCTGCCTTTCTGAGTCCATAGGCTCTGGGGACATGCAGAGCAAAGGGCAGAAACTGAGGAATTAAGTAGCTGTTTAGAGCTGGGCAGAATCGACATCCTGGCCTTGTTTCTGAGTCAATCCACTCATTTGATGCCAGGAATTCCTTGCTTAGAATATCTTGGGAGTTCTTCCTCTCCTTTCAAGCCCTAAGTTTAGAATAGTTTTTAGGCATCTTAGCTTGTCTAATGCTCATTGGTATGGGTCTTTTGCTTATTTGTCATCCTCCCAGCTCGCATATAAACAATCCATGCCTTACTATCTGCTGATGATCCCTCCTTACCCATATCCCATCCTGCATCCAACTAGATCTTCTCTCAACAGCTAGGACTTGACCTTTCTTACTGAATTTCACTCTTTAGTATAAAACTATGAACAAAATAGGAAGAAATGTCTGTTGAATGTCAAATGAATGAGTCCCTCTTGGAAAAGAAATATGGCTCACCTCTTAATCAAATCAAGCCAACAACTGTTGTGCACATTGTAAACATTTACCCAACTATTGGGTGTCTTTTACAGATTAAGTATAAGCAATCAGCAGAAATGGAGAAAGCCAATTTCACTTCTGTGGTTGATACTCCAGAGATCATTCATGCCCAACAAGTCAAGAATCTTTCAAGCCAGGTAAGGACATTCGTCATGCCATCACTCAAACCCCAATCACGGAAGAATGGAAGTCCTTCCATTAATACCTTAAGAGATTTTTCAAATCACAGTTTTTCCCAATAAAAAAGAGATTCACCAGGTGCGGTGGCTCACTCCTGTATTCCCAGCACTTTGGGAGGCCAAGGCAAGTAGATCACTTAAGTCCACGAGTTTGAGATCAGCCTGGGCAATGTGGCAAAACCCTGTCTCTACAAAAATTGGCCAGGTGTGGTGGTGCACACCAGTCCCAGCTTCTAGGAAGGCTGAGGTGGGAAGATCAAGTGAGCCCAGGGAGTTGAGGCTGCAATCAGCTGTGACTGCACCACTGGAGTCCCCTGGGCGACAGGGTGAGACTCTTAAAGGAAAAAGAGAGAGAGACAGGCCTGGCGCAGTGGCTCATGCCTGTAATCCCAGCACTTTGGGAGGCTGAGGTGGGCGGATCAGGAGGCCAGGAGATCAAGACCATCCTGGCTAACATGGTGAAACTCCATCTCTACTAAAACACACAAAAATTAGCCAGGCGTGGTGGCAGGCGCCTGTAGTCCCAGCTACTTGGGAGGCTGAGGCAGGAGAATGGCATGAACCTGGGAGGCAGACCTTGCAGTGAGCCAAGATTATGACACTGCACTCCAGCCTGGGCAACAGAGCAAGACTCCGTCTCAAAAAAAAAAAAAAAAAAGAAGAGGGAGCGAGAGAGAGAGGCAGGCAAAATTCCTACGATGCAGGAATTTTAAGGTACTGAAGAACTCTTACATGGTACAACTTGTAATTAATGAATCAATATTTTAACATGTAAAATCTCTTATCACGTGGCTTTAAAAATGTGTGCGCAAATCTGGAAGAAACAAAGTAGCCCACATTTGGATTACCAATCTCAAACAAGATCGAGATTGAGACCACACAGTCTAACCCCTGACTCCCCTCATGATGAATAACTCTCCATCTTCCTACAAATAGAGAGATGAAGAAAAGTAGGCTGTCCTTCACACCCCAGGATATACCCTCATTTGTATTAACGATTGTCAGTGATGGTCAGGAGTCTGCAATTTGTTTAGAGTGGCACCAGATTAGAATTTGTGCTTGTCTTCTGATCAACGAGTTCCAAAGCAGTAGTTAACCTGCCCTAGCTGTGCTTTATAGGCACCTGGGGATGTAGATTCCCTGGTCCAACTCTGGAATTTTGACACTAGTAAATCTGTGGTAGGCTCTGGAAATCTATTTTTCTTTGTTTTTAATTTTCACAGATTATCTCTTAATGACCAATCAGGTTGGGGAATCAGGGATTTCAACCCTTTATTGGCAACATATAGTTGTATGTTGTAAAATTACACATGAAAAATATAGTTATCACTAGAGAGTGGTTTGATTAGGAAGCAGGTGTATTCAAATGGTAGAAATCTTCCTTTCCTTTGAAGGGTAGGGATGTGGAAGAATAATTAGCTTTTTAAAAATTACCAAAATTATATGAGCTCCAAATTATCGTGTTGTGTTCATTGAGGGAGCCAGGGAGGCTGACAGTCTTTGGGCTGTGAGAGGCTCACCAGCCTTTTACCTTCTGCTTTTGATACTGCTGATCTTTAACGAAAGCTTCAGCACATGGGCCTATCCCAGTGTAGGATCAAGTCACTTGCTCTGCTTTCCTGGGGCTCTCTCTGGCTGGTTCCTCAAGGCCTAAAATATAGCCAGGCAAGTTAGTTCCTCCCCAGTTCAGATCAGTATTTACAGTTGAATGGTAAATACTGGTGAGATGGTGCTTGTGTTTCCACAAACTTGTTTCTCGACTTCCAACGGAGAATCTGTATTTATAATTCTTAAACCTGGGGGTTAAGGCAAGCAATGTCAGCTGACTCACAAATTTAGGATACTATACAGTAGTCTCCCCTTATCTGAGGGGGTATGTTCCAAGACCTCTAGTGGGTGCCTGAAATTACAGACAATACCCAAACCTATATATACTGTTTTCTCCTATACGTATACATCTGTGATAAAGCTTAATTTGTAAATTAGCACAGTAAGAGATTAACAATAATAAAATAGAACAATTATAACAATATACTGTAATAAAAGTTATGTAGTTACATGGATGTGGTCTCTCTCTCCCTCAAAATATCTTATTGTAATGTACTCTTATTTTTGATCAAGGTTGACTACAGTTAACTGAAACCGTGGAAAGTGAAACCTCAGATAAGTGGGGACCACTCTACTGAATACTTAATGCCAGTATGGCAGGCCAGGTCTCACAACTGTTTCAGTACTAACTGAGTGGTTAAGTTAGATATTAAAAGCCAGTGTCCCTGTACAAAGGCTGGGATGTAACAAAAGCCCACCAAAAGTTTTGCCTAGGCCTTTCCTGGGCCTTAAAGCATAACAAAATAATGAAGGAATTCTTAACAGGACCCATGTAGAATTAAACAAGTTTTACTGTGGAGTCTAAAAAAAACTCCCCAGGCCTCCACAAACAAGTCTATTGAGGGTCTGAAGAAACTCCTCAAACCTCCCTGATTTAGCAGGAGACAACGTAAGAGTAATTACCCCAGCACCTGACCCCATTTAAATTAAGTAAATTTACTGATGCTCCAGAGGAAGGTCTTCAGAACTCACACCTTAGTTATAAATTAAAAGAAGTTGGCCGGGTGCGGTGGCTCACGCCTGTAATCCCAGCACTTTGGGAGGCGGAGGTGGGCAGATCACGAGGTCAGGAGATCGAGACCATTCTGGCTAACACGGTGAAACCCCGTCTCTACTAAAAATACAAAAAAATTAGCCGGGCGTGGTGGCGGGCACCTGTAGTCCCAGCTACTCGGGAGGCTGAGGCAGGAGAATGGCGTGAACCTGGGAGGCAGAGCTTGCAGTGAGCCGAAATCACGCCACCGCACTACAGCCTGGGCGACTGAGCAAGACTCCCTCAAAAAAAAAGAAAAAAAAATTAATCACTTGTGTCTTTAGATGAATGAACACTTACACATAGACATATAGCTTAAAAGGTATATAAGCTCTGAAAAACTTCGTAATTTTGAGTTTGGCGAAAATTTCCAGGACTTCTCCCAGTAACCAGTTACAAAAATAAAAACTCTTGGCCGGGCACAGTGGCTCTCGCCTGTAATCCCAGGACTTTGTGAGACCAAGCAGGGTGGGTCATGAGGTTAGGAGATTGAGACCAGCCTGACCAACATGGTGAAACCCCATCTCTACTAAAAATACAAAAATTACCTGGGTGTGGTCACGCACACCTGTAATCCCAGCTACTCAGAAGACTGAGGCAGGAGAATTGCTTGAACCAGGGAGTCAGAGGTTGCAGTGAGCCAAGATTGCACCACTGCACTCCAGCCTGGAGACACAGCGAAACTCCTTCTCAAAACAAAAAACCAAAAACCTCTTTTCCTCCCCAGTTCATCTGCATTTCGTTATTGGGCCACGAGAAATAGCAGCCCAACCCTCAATTCGGTCTGGGAACACCAGGGAGTTAGGTCCCTTTCTCCCAGAATATGTCCAAGTTCCGTGTTCAAATGTGATTACCCCTCTAAGGGATTAGCACCAGCTCTGCAAACCAGTTGAGGTAGCTTTTGCTTAATCTTGGAAAAAATAAAAGAAAAACAATAAAAATAAAAATAAAAGGAGGATTGTTTCTATTCTTTTCCCAGGACAATGAGAACTGTTTTCTTTACACCTACATAGCTAAGGAGTCATCTAGGTGACTTTTTCATGAACAAAACATTTGTTCCTGGTGAACTACCTTTTCTTCCAAAAAATCTTGTCTTTAATTCGCTTCCATTTAGATTAATAAAATCTAGGCCTACATCTCTCATTGGCTGAAACTGTTTCTTTGTTGTCTCTGGCAAGATTACAAATTTCAATACTTATAAATGTAATTCCTATATTAACAACATAAATACAGACAGAATAGTTTTATCCCCATTATAATAGTGGCTAGTCTCTTTCCTCAGCCCTCAGCCCTACAAACCAAAACTTCCCTGAAAAGTGGGAAAAACTGGAGCTAAGTTAAGCTAGAGAGAGAAGTGAAAGGACATAGCGAGAAGCGATGAAAGAAAAATAAGGCTCTAAAGGCAAAGTGTAAGTGTTCTGCTGCAGAGAATAAAGACGATCAGTTTGGTGGTGGGACTGACTGCCCACTGGTATCTGGAAGAGCAGCCTCTATGGATATGTCTCTCCAGTCAAAGGCTGGGGCAGGACAGGGGAGCCCAAAGAATAGTGATGTCTGGCTCAGAATAGTCCTTGGCCAGTCAGCTGGCCTTAGTGGTGCTCCAGGTGTGTCTGTTTGGTAGAGCTGCCAGTCCTGTCAGGCTGCTTTCTGCAGCATCAAGAGCCATATTCTGGAAACGCCTCTGGGCCTGCCTGCCCGCCCAGTCCTGCAGCCGGGAGCCCTGACCACACCTGCTCATGGCTCAGTGAACATCTTGTCACCAGCTAAGGCTTTCTAAAGGTCATGTCTTTGACTCTTAACCCTCCAGCTTCTCTCCACCAGCTTGTTGAGCAGTCTGGCTACATAGCTTCATCCAGCCCAGCAAGGACTACTGCCACTGGAGGCATCCCCATCTCCCTCTCTGGGCATTGCTGGCTATGACTTTCCTGTGGACCAGCTAGCAAGGTTCCCCCTCTGCCAGCTTTGCCATGACAATAGGTCCTACTGAATGTGTGGGCTCAGTGTTCCTGGAAAGGAAAAGTATGGTGCTCTTTGACTGAGAGGGTTCTTCCTTGCAATGCCCTAACATCCTTGGACAGTTAAGAAAATACAAAGGACTTTCCCTCTGCTGAGCCTGGAAGGGCTATTTTAGGTCCCACTGGCCTATATCCCTGTGGTGTTTACCCTCCTTATTTCTTGGAATCTATTCCCAGAAAAAATACAAGGAAGATGCTGAGAAGTCCATGTCATATTATGAGACTGTTTTGGACACCCCAGAGATGCAGAGAGTCCGGGAGAACCAAAAGAACTTCAGCCTTGTAAGTTTTTATTAAATGTAAGACACAGCCCACAGGCACCTAGGGGTGCTGAGGAAGATGCCTCTGGATATCCCAGGCCTGCAGTGGGGCTGTTGTGCAGCCCTCTGCTACTCCCATCCTGCCCCAGGAAGTGTGTGCTCAATTCATCTCTGGGCTCACCTTATATCTTAATCCCAAATCACAGCATGAAAGACTCATCTGTTACTTCGTTGGTGGTGTAGGGGAGAAAAAATAGTATCTTTTCCCCACCCATGGCAAGGTTCATGGCTAAAACTCTTGTAACAAAAGACAGATTAACAAGAGACACACATACAATTTATTTAATAAGCGCTTCAGAAATGACGACCCAAAGAAACAGGAAAATGTGTGTATTTTTAAGGATAGAGATGCAGAGGTGTGACTGGACAAAGGGGTATGATCCAATGGTAATGAACAGGTGATTTAGCAAGGCCTGTTTATTCAGATTCTCCTAGTATCCCTGTCTTTGGCTCCTATCCTCTGGGTCTAGGGAGGACCCTTCTGGAAGGAGGGGCGTATTGCCTGCTTTAAACGAAGATCAGATAATTATTATCTGCTTTAGGAAAAAACAGAGAAGGCCGGAAAAACCCTCCTGCTTCTGCTGTTTTTTCAAATGTCAAGGTGCCATATTTTGGGATAGTGTATCCTAAACCCTGTCAGTGGCTTTCTTTATGTGAACTATCACCGCTTTCCATTAGTGGTGACATCTTTTTCAAAGTTAAATCTAAGCAAGAGATCCTTAAACAAAAACAAACAAACCCCTAGCTTTATATGTTTTTTAAAATTAGTTTCTCCACAAAATTCTTATCAAATAATTTCCCTTGGGCTACCAGACCATAATTATTGTGGCACAGACTTTTTTTTTTAAAGATACAGGATTTTAATTTCCTTTACATAATATAGGACAAATAAAGAAAATAAAGTAATGTTGAAATCTTAACAAGATATTTACTCTTTCTTCATAGCTCCAATACCAGTGTGACCTTAAAAACAGTAAAGGAAAAATTACAGTTGTTCAAGACACGCCAGAAATACTGCGTGTAAAAGAAAATCAAAAGAATTTCAGCTCGGTATATTTACTATTTATTTTGCATTTAATGCTAACCTGGTCATTTCACTCTCCTCTTTAAAAATATACTAGCCTTATATTGATAGACAATTAACATCTAACCTCCTCAGTAATACTAGCAGTGATTTGCTAAAATCCCCCATACTTTGCTCCAAAATCCTCTCTCCAGAGACCATTTGAAATAACTTTATATCTGCTAACAAAGTAACTTTTATTTTTAAATTTTAAAATCCCAGAATAGTAACATGTATTGTCTTGCTTCAAGAAGATAGATTTCTTTTTGACATTGTGATTTCTTTTGTTATTTCTCCCCCAAATAACTGATTGACTTTGCATTTCTTTAATGGATTTTGTGTTACATATGGGAGGGTTTTGTTGTTAATCCACATGTCCTGGCTCTTCTCATCCTGTGTTAGTATGGTACCACAATCTTAGAAGAAATCTTAAGATCTGGAAAGTGATCCATGTTGTATATCTGGTCTGAGTCACTGATACTGACATGGAAATGTCAGGCGCGATGCTCTGGCACTTGCCTGGGAACATCGTTTTCACAGAAGCCATGTGTCCTAGTCTTTCTCCAGGAACTGCTGGGTTTTCCTTTCTTCTGTGTAACACCGTCCTGATTCTCAATGCCCAGGTTTTATATAAAGAGGATGTCTCACCAGGAACGGCTATCGGAAAGACACCTGAGATGATGAGAGTGAAACAAACACAGGACCACATTAGCTCGGTAAAGACACAGAGGATGCACTTGTAATATTTTCTGCCTCCCTTTGATAATTTACAATGACCTATGAATTGCACTCAAAGCCTCTGTCACCAGAAACAGCTTATATTGCTAAAATAGGTGCCTGTGTACCACCACCACACGGTATACACCAGTGGCTAGAGTCATCTCATACTCAGTGCAGTGCCTTGGCGGTTTTCGTGAGGGAGAGATTACATCTGAAAAACGGAGAGGCTTGTGAGAAGGTAGAATGCGGTACAGCCAAAGAACCAGTCTTCCTGGATATATGAATGTGAATCTGTTTGTCCTAGTCAAATGACCTGTTGGCCATAAAGACATTGGGATATACAGGAAAGGGCTGCAGTCTAAATAGGGTTCCCCACTCCTGCCCCAAAGAGACAAGAGAGAGACAAAGTGTCCCTGTCCTCGGAATTGTTCTCCTCTTACCCAATATCAGAATGAGTTACCCAATACCAGAATGAGGTCCCATTCACACTAAGTATAAAGCTTACGTTATTTACATTGTTGATTTTTTTAAATTTGGGGGTTACAAAAAACATGTACATGTTGGGAAGAATAACTGTCCAGCATGTAATAATACCTTTTCCCATTTTTAAATGTGCAGGTGAAGTATAAGGAAGCAATAGGACAAGGAACTCCAATCCCTGACCTGCCTGAAGTGAAACGTGTGAAGGAGACGCAGAAGCACATTAGCTCGGTAGTGGCCATACTCTCAGCTTGCATTTGTGTGACTGGCTATCTCCCAATTGCTACCCTGGTGCTCTCTCATCCTTCTGCTTCCTATTAAGAGCTTCCATGCCTTGGGGATGTTGTGAATTCTCCCTTAGTCTTGATGGGGTCACTACAGGTTGCAAAAGTAGTTAAGAAACCTCTCTTCTCATAATCAAGGAGTAGAAGGGACTTGGCTTTCTTTTCCTACCTGTCACTGACTTGAAGCTCATGGACTTGGCTTCTTAATTATTATGCCATTCGTTTCCAAAGTAAAAGGTTTTGATGGTAGTAATAAGGTTATTGGGATGATCTCAAGTAATTTAACTAAAAGCATATACATATAAACACAGAAGTAGTATAACATACTTTAGTTTTGTGTATATATATAAAACATGTGTGTATGTGTTATGTGTGACACATCATATGAATGATAGGATTCCCAGTGTCCAAAAAGACCCTGGGTAGACATGTGAAGTCTCTTCTCCCCTCCCTTTCAAGATTTCTTGTCCTGTATTCTTTGCTCTCCCCATCTTGTAAATGCAGTGGTGCAGGCTGTGATGGACCTACAATGGCATATTATACATTAAGCCCATTCTCTCATGGGAATTTCAGGCACCTGTGCAGTTTATTGCGGGGTGGGTGTCCCCAACACCTGAAATATCAGGTTAGCACATTTGTCCTGACCTTTTGTCAAGCAAGCCCTGGCTCTGCACCCCACCCCTTTTCCCATCCATAGGCAGAGTCTAGGCAGGTGTTGGCTACTAGCAAGAGACTATGTGAAGTTTGGGAAATAGTTTATGGCCAATAAAAGGTGAGGACCTTGGTCTTGGGACTCCCCTCGTCAATGGAGGACTGAGCTCTCATTTGATTTTCTTTAAAAGATACTTGGTATTTCTCTTGCAGGTTGTTCATATTATTTAGATCTCATTCCCTTCTCACTCCCTGCTTATACTCTGGCTTCCTTGTGGTACAAATTTCATTTAGAGTTTTGTGTCCTCTAATATGGGTTGAGAAAGCTAGCCCAGGCTCCTTTGTCACTTTGCATTACAACTTCTTGGTTTTCTTGGTTTGCTTTGTGCTGTTGTCTGCGATCAATTCTGCTGCTTTGTTGGGTGAAGAGTAAAGAAATGCAACTTTGTTACCAAGAAGGTAGATGTTCAAAGGTTCCTAGAAGTTTCCTTGCAAAACAAAGCTATCATGCCTAGCTTGTCACCGATTTTAAGAATTAAAATCTGGGTATGTTGGTCCCCACCCCATGCACTAATACACCAGGGAATCCATCCATTTAAAAGAACCCATTCCGTCCTTTAGGCTGAAAACTTAATGTTAAGAGTTACGAAGGCTCAGAAAGTGGAGGTTCCTTAATGTTTTCATTAAAATGCATAGTCCTTTGATATTACTACTAAAAAATATGGACTTCTCCCAATTCAGAAAACACTAGTTTACTTGATCCAGCAATTAGCAGTAAAAATTTCAAGTAAAGATGCTCTTCCTGAAAAATAAACCGATTAAACCATCTCATATCCAGGGACGAGGCTCCTACAGATTAGGAGCCAGCGAGGAACATTCATTAGAACATATAAAACAAACAGAATTCTCGATAAGCCTGAAGGAATAGAGTATCCTGTGATTAGAAAAGTTTAAACCAAGCAATCTCTTCATTAAGTACAAGTCTACTGCAGGCCTACTATATTTAAGGCACCAATGCTAGATGCAGCAAAATGATTGGATTTTTCTCATTGGTAAATTTATTATTATTTAATGCATTTTAGGCATGCACTAAGTGGTTATAGAAAATGTGTAATTTAGTGCCCAGTTTTCAAGATAGTAAATTTTTTTACTACTTTGGAAAAGACAACATAAATATTTATGGAATTTTTTCCCCCTGTTCCTTGAATGTTTTTGAGAGCTAGATTGTTTTTATGAGTTTCCCCCAAATAGCCCACATGCAGCTGCTATCTAAAGGATTTACGGTCATTTTACCTTTCCGGGTATTCTAATTATTTTCTACAGGTTATGTACAAAGAAAACTTGGGAACAGGCATTCCAACCACTGTGACTCCAGAGATTGAGAGAGTCAAACGCAATCAAGAGAACTTTAGCTCGGTATTTACAAATATATCATATACAATATAAATTATTTCCCACAAAAAATTTACCACAATAACCATCTTTTTTAAAGAAAGTAACATCTTAACAATTCTGTGTGTGTCTGTGTGTGTTGTGTATTATTACCTGACCAAAACCACATTAATACAAAATGACTCATTTCCGATTATACTTTAACATTTTCAGTGACTTGACTAGATTTTGAAATACTGTAAGTACAATTAACAAGATTTCTCAGTGTTATACTTATATCCTATAACTTAATGCTTTCCATTGTACTTTTTCATTTCCACAATTAGCACTGTAGAGTTCACCGTTAAAACTGAAAAAAGTAAAAACATTATCCTTACTAAATATTACTTACTAAAAAACTGTCTCCTCACATATAACCCCTTCCCCCACTTCCTCCCTTCCTTACTCTCTGTGCTTGTTTTAAATGTCCTCTGGGTACTTTCTTGTATCTCACAGGTTTTGTACAAAGAAAATTTGGGGAAAGGAATCCCAACAGCTATCACTCCAGAGATGGAGAGAGTCAAACGCAATCAAGAGAACTTTAGCTCGGTATTTCTTAGGGGGCCAAAAAAAAAAAAAAAAAAAAAGACCCGTAATTTTATTTAAAATAATAACACCTTACAAATGTAAAATTACTAAATTCATATAATGAAAATAATAATACCAAATATTACCTCAGTTTTCAACCTGAATCTAATTTAGTATTTAGTTCTGGTGTGAAACTTTAACTGTGTTTTCTCTAAAACATAGATATTTATCACTTTCTTTAAAAACCTGTAATACTCTGTTTGCTTCCTCCATTCCTCCTTTAATAACAGTAGGTGTTTCTAACTGGTGTGACACAAGTCAAAAGTAAAATCTAACACCCTTTCAAAAGGACAATGTAAATTAGAATTTTATTTGTATTTATTGTGGCTGTTTGAGGTATTCTTTGTGTTTGCAGCTTAAGTTTTTTTTTCGATGTTTAGATGTTTGTTTATTTTCCATAAGTTTTGGGGGTACAGGTGGTGTTTGGTTACATAAGTTCTTTAGTGGTGATTTGTGAGATTTTGGTGCACCATATCTGTAGTCTTTTATCCCTTGCCCCCTCCCACTCTTTCCTGTAAGTCCCCAAAGTCCATTGTATCATTCTTAGGCCTTTGCGTCCTCATAGCTTAGCTCCCACATATCAGTGAGAATATACATTGTTTGGTTTTCCATTCCTGAGTTACTTCACTTACAATAGTCTCTAATCTCATTGGAGGTCACTGTGTTTGCAGTTTTTCTTAAAAGAATGTTATTCTTAAATATTTTCATTCAAAGACAACACAGCAATTCACAGTAAATATAATTTACTTGTCTTGGCTATTTTTTGTACACCACGTAAGATACAAATAATTTTCCCTTTGGAAAACTTTCAGTATCATTGAAAGCTAGTATTATTTAGCTTTCAACATTTATTCTTTATTTTGTTCCCCTAAACCTACTTCTCTCTTTTTCTCTCTCGTCTTTCTTTGGTTCCCTAATTTAATGTTACCAACAACTCATGAATATTAATTTCAACTAGTTTGAACGCTATTTGATACTCCTGTCTTTGAGAGAAGGCCTACATAAGTCAAGCCACTCCTGCCGGCAGCCTGGCAGCTGTGTTTTTAACTGATGTCTTTTACAGACAGACATCCTGTGTGTGACTAAATGTCCAAAGGGGATCTATAGTTAACTCTATTTTTAAAAGTTATTGAGGTACTTCATCATAAAAACAACAATAAAAATACTTTTAGGCTGTTTTTTTAGGTTAAGTCTACCTAAAAGATGGGTCCAGGTTGATTCGTTTGTTGGTTTTGTGCACACAGATATTATACAAAGAGAACTTGAGCAAGGGGACTCCCCTACCTGTCACTCCTGAGATGGAGCGAGTCAAACTCAATCAAGAAAACTTTAGCTCGGTATTTGGGAGAAAGTTCTTTAACTCCTTATTAAAAAATAATAATTTCTATAAAACAGAACATCTCACTGTTCATCCCTTTATAATAATCAATTTAACAAAATCTTTTTTTGTAAATCATATCAACTGAATCCTTCTGTTTTCCAGATCTCCTACTCACCATTTGATTCTAACATTTTATACTTTCTGTAATAGTCCCTTAAAACTTTTTCTTTCCTTCTCTTTTCACCTTTATGTTATTGTTGGGACTGTTGAAGTTAATTGATTTCTAGAAAAGAAAAACCAAACAGTAAAGCTCTTATTTACTTGGAACTCTTTTTATCTGATGTTTCTGGGTTAGAAATGCAAGAAAAGATACTGGACTTGAAGCCACATGTAGAAATGGTGGCTCTTTGGTGGGAACAGGGATCTTCTTAACATAGACCCTATTCAGATAAACAGTAGCACCAAGAAAGAAAATTGCTCCATATTGAAACGAAAAGAAATCTTATTTTGGGCCAGGCGTGGTGGCTCACATCTGTCATCTCAGCACTTTGGGAGGCTGAGGCAGGCGGATCGCTTGAGCCCAGGAGGTCGAGACCAGCCTAGGGAACATGGTGAAGTTCCATCTCTGCTAAAAATAGAAAAAATTAGCCAAGCATGGTGGCAAGTGCCTGTAGTCCTAGCTACTTGGGAGGCTGAGGTGGGAGGATCGTCTGAGCCCTGGGAAGTCAAGGTTGCAGTGAGCCGTGATTGGGCCACTGTACTCCAGCCTAGGCAACAGGAGTGAGGCCCTGTCTCAAAAAAAAAAAAAAAAAAAAAAAAAAAAAAAAAAAATCTTATTTTGATACTTATGTAAAACAAGCCATTTCATGAATAGAAATCCAGGCCTTCTGATTTTTTTTAAATATACAAATCAGATCATGAGCTTACATTTAATGTTATTTTCTCTTTTATTAATATTGTTGCTGAAAAGCTCTAACACACAAATTGTTATTTGTGTATTATATAATACACAACTCTGAAACTTCTATATCAAGACCTTAGGTTCACTTATACCTGTGACGGAGAATCAAATGTCATTAGGAAAATTTAGATGGATTTTTTCTGGGGAGCTGGAATTAATCCAAAATATTTTTAATTGTCAGTTTTAATATATTCTAAAAGTTTGATTCTTTGACATAATTAGATCAGTAACTTTCTTTGGTCCCACTGTCTTTTTGTTCTGTTTTTAATTACTATTCACTAACAATACTTCAATTTGGTTAAATTTTCAATGTTAAGTTAATACGTCTTTTGGAATGTTATATTCATTGTTTTCCCTGTGGGCTATTATTATTATTATTCCTTTTATTGAAAGGCTTGCAACAATTTTCAAAATCATTTTCTAATTATTTTCTTCTATACTAGAGTAAGTATATTATTGTTTGTATCTATTTGAAACCCTAATGATCCTGATGATCCTGTGCTTTTTTTAAAGTAACCATTTGTGTTAATTTTTACACAGATTGCATTTAGGCAAAATTGCCCAGTGGTGCATAAGCCTATTAGATACTGTGGAAAATAGACAATGCCATATATTGACTTTTAGACTTGACAACTCTACAACTTGAACGTAATGACAAAGACCAAATTGCCATATTGCATAGATTTGGCCTGTTAAGACAAACACTTTTTGTAGAGAAAATAAATATTTGCTAATCTAACTTAAACATTTTTCTATTGTACACTGAGTATTTTAGTGGTCTTAGGAAGTTATTTGTATTTTTTTCCTTAATTCCTGGCACAGGAAATACTTATATTCAAGTTGCAAAAAAAAGATGAATACCAAATACACTGATATTTCACTAAGGAAATACAAAACATGTTCTCACCCAGATCTGTGCCTGAACAGAGAGGCTGACTTGTTGAATTTGTCTTTTCTGTCTATAACGTCTATAGTTTTATACCAGGTTCCCCACAAGGTAGATGAAAGGGCTGTTTTGACTGCTCTTGTTTTTTTCTGGATGCTTTCTTGTGTCATACAGGTGTTGTATAAAGAAAACGTTGGAAAAGGGATTCCAATCCCCATCACTCCAGAGATGGAGAGAGTCAAACACAATCAAGAAAACTTTAGTTCGGTATTTAAAAATAAAAAATCCCTTTAACTATTTAAAAAAAGTTTTAAAAAGATTAATGGCTAGATTTTTAAAATCTAATCAACTCATCCCAATAAAAAATTTGACCTCTCTTTTTCCCAACTTAATGCTGCCATTTCCTATGAATCAGTTTTCCCCATTTTGGCAAAACATTAATATAATAATTTAACTTAATAAAAAAAAGTGTTCAGTATTATATTCCTGCTTTTACAAATGTAACATTGTGTCTAAGCATACACATTTATACCGCTTTAGCAAATTTGATCTGAACCTAAAGCTTAAACAAATGTATTTTGCAAAGATCCGACTATTAGCCTCGTTTCTTATTCTAACCTTTTCTATCTCTACTGTTATTTGTACAGATAGTTTGAAGTTTCTTTTTAGCACCTTATCATTGCTGTCCATTTGCCTTAAACATCGTTGTTCTCAATATGTTCACCCAACTAAAAATTAAATACTTTGACTTCTTTTGAAAGTGAACAAAAGAAGAGTTGTGTGGATGTGTCTCCATATATACAATGTTTGTAAAACCCAAATATCCTTATGACTTATTAATAGCATTTTCAAATCAAAAATAACTTCCTTGGTTTTATTTCCGTCTCTTGCTTGTTTCTATTTTTTTCCCTCCTTTGTAACAAGCTGGGAAAGACTAATTGCTGTCTTTCATGGTTGCTCAGTGCAGCAGAGATTAGTTCAAACAATGAAAATAACAAACTTTCTTTTCATATTTCTTAGTTTTTGCTGCTTTTTCCTGCATTCCTTTGCTTTTGAAGATGTCTTTAGGCTCAAACAGTTTGAGTCTAAAAGCTTCTGGTATTTATCTTCCTCTAACTTACTCTCTTCCTCCCTCCCTTCCCACTCCTAACTGCTCCAAAGCAGGGAGAAATGGACTGATTACTCTTTTTGTTCTGGATGCTTTCTCATCATACAGGTGCTATACAAAGAAAACCTGGGGACAGGAATTCCAATCCCCATCACTCCTGAGATGCAGAGAGTCAAACACAATCAAGAAAACCTTAGCTCGGTATTTTGGAAAGAAAGGGGAAAAAATGCCACTTAACTTCAGAATTAAACTGATCTTTACGTTTATTTTTGTTTTAAACCCAATTTCCCTTCCTTTGCTTCTAATATATCTTATATTACAAAAGGATATACTTTCCCATTTCTATAATACAGTTAATGTCAATTTTTTACTTCATCTGATATTTACAAACATGTTTTAAAAATAATGAATGTTTCCATTTGTGTGGATAACAACACCGAGATCTAACAGTCTCAAATCCTCATGTGATTGTTTGGGAGGCACCGTACTCACAAAAATGAAAAAAAAAATTAACATGGATAACTCTGACAGCCTTTTCCCAGCAGCTGAGGTCCCTGCTTCTCTAGAGGATGCAGATTCCCCATCCCAACAATGGCTTCCACTAAAGTAGTTGGTAGCATTTTGTCAGCATATAACTTCTGGTTCCTTGGATGACTCTTTTTTTCCTCACCCTTAAAATGTCCCAAGAAATGAAATGTTACTCATGGTTGTTTTTTCTGGATGCTTTCTCATCGCACAGGTGTTATACAAAGAAAACATGGGCAAGGGAACCCCTTTACCTGTCACTCCTGAGATGGAGAGAGTCAAACACAATCAAGAAAATATTAGCTCGGTACTTTGGCAAGAAAAGAAAAAAACTACTTATTTAATGATTTTGAAAACTTTCATGATTTAAAATAATACATATTAACCCTACTTTTTAAAGACAACTTAAATTTTGTGAATTTCTTCAGCAAATTTATCCTTTTTTCCTTTGGGCTACTTCTAGCCTAACACCATTCCCATTTCTAAAATACAGTTAATTTCAACTTCTTATTTCATCTGATGTTTTCAATCATTTTTTTAAAAATAACGAGTTTTTCCGTTTGTGTGAATAACACCACCGAGTTCTAACAGTCTCAAATCCTCATGTGATTGTTTGGGAGGCACCGTACTCACAAAAATGAAAAAAAAAAGAATAACATGGGTAACTCTGACAGCCTTTTCCCAGCAGCTGAGGTCCCTGCTTCTGTAGAGGGCGCAGATTCCCCGTCCCAACAATGGCTTCCACTAAAGTAGTCGGTGGCATTTTGTTAACATATAACTTCTGGCTCCTTGGACACTGTTTTTTTTCTTAACAAGGAAGTTGACCTTACCCTTAAAACCTCTCAACAAATGAAATGTTACTCATGGTTGTTTTTTCTGGATGCTTTCTCATCGCACAGGTGTTATACAAAGAAAACATGGGCAAGGGAACCCCTTTACCTGTCACTCCGGAGATGGAGAGAGTCAAACACAATCAAGAAAATATTAGCTCGGTACTTTGGCAAGAAAAGAAAGAAAACTACTTACCGATTTTAAAAACTACTTTCATGATTTAAAATAATACATATTAATCCTACCTTTTAAAGACAACTTAAATTTTGTGAATTTCTTTAGCAAATTTATCCTTTTTTCCTTTGGGCTACTTCTAGCGTAACCCCATAATAACAAGGTTGCTTTAATCCATAAAGTTCTAATATCAAGAAGTAACAGATTTTCCAATAAAATATCCTTTTGCTTCTCTCTCCCCAAACTTACTCTCTATCCACTATCCCCAAGGTCTCTCTGTTTTAGATATGCTTGAAATGTAGGATGGGTATGTGTGGGGTGGTAGAGTAGGTCCAACGGGGCTCTTTCTTGAATATGATTTTGTTGTGTTTTTGTGTCAATGACATCAGGTTCTAATTTACCCTGTCAGATTTGAACAAAGAGACCTTGGGAAAAACAATCCCTGATACCCTCCTTTATGAATAATGATACAAATTATGATCCAATAGTAGTTTTGGCAATTATCAATTTACTTAAAAATGAAAGAGTCACCAGAATGGCTTTTTGTTTTACCAATTTTCGTTTTTTGTTGTTGTTCTTTAGTTTTACTGTAGTCTTTAACTGCAGACTTTAGTAAACCATTTCCTGTAAGCTTGTGCTCTATGACATATATGGTTGTAAATTACCCAGGGATCGAGGTTTGCATGGGGACTTCAGCTTTCAGTGGCAAATAACCTGTGGTCTCCACATTGCCACTGTCTGTAGGTTTCTCCAGTACTTGAGTGCAGTGCTTCTAAAACATTAGCACGCATCAGAATAACCTGGAGGGTTTGTGAAGCCAGATTGCTGGGTCCTGCTCTAGTTTCTCATTCTGTAGTTCTGTTATAGAGGGGGCCAGAGAATTTGCATTTTTAACAAGTTCTCAATACTGACCTTGCTGTCCAAGGACCCCACTTTGAGAACCGCTATTTCAGCAGAATTCTTCCTCTTGAATGTCATTTCCTAAATCTCCCATGTTTCCAAGAATGACACTGAGGGGGAGATACCGAGGTTGAGGATTTACCAGGATGTGTTGTATGTTTCTCATTTTCTGTTGATTTACCATGACAGTGATATAAGAGCCAAAAACCTTATTCCTTAATAAGGTCTGTTTTAGAGATGTTGTATGAAACTAAAGTAAGAGGCAGAGTATAGAGGATAGCAAAGAAAAAGGGGGTAGGGGAAACCCTTTGCTTTGTCTGAGGGCCTACAGTTTTACTGATATGTCTATGAGAGTTTAAGTGCTGCAAAACAGTCCAGTAGAAAAACAGCTGCTGTGGGCCCGGTGCGGTGGCTCACGCCTGTAATCCCAGCACTTTGGGAGGCCGCGGTGGGAGGATCACAAGGTCAGGAGTTCAAGACCAGTATGACCAACATGGTGAAACCCCGTCTCTACTAAAAAATACAAACATTAGCCGGGCATGGTGGTACACGTCTGTAATCCCAGCTACTCAGGAGGCTGAGGCAGGAGAATTGCTTGAACCCGGGAAGCGTAGGTTGCAGTGAGCAGACATCGTGCCACTGCACTCCAGCCTGGGTGACAGAGCGAGACTCTGTCTAAAATAAAACAAAACAGCTGACATTAGGAGCAGCATCAACCTTCTCAGTGTGATTGCAGTTCATGCCTGTAACTCCTGTTTAGATCATCTCTCAGGGGCTTGACATTCAGAGACTAGTGGTTAAATGATGGTGGTTTCGCATCCTTTTGAGGAACACCACAGGTCTCTCTTGCAGTCCTCAAGGGTTTCAGGGCAGGGGCCTATCCTGGAAACATTGTGTCTTGCTGTAACAACACTTAACTTCCTTGGGAAACATACTGCTTTCCATCTAACCTAATTGCCCAAATAGTTTGGGGCCCTAAAGATAATCAAAAGTTATCTGTACCATTTCCTTTTTTGGTAACTGTAACTCTTTTTCTTTTTGGTTTTTTGGATCCATTGGATTCACATAGGTTTTGTACAAAGAAAATGTGGGGAAAGCCACCCCAACCCCTGTCACTCCTGAGATGCAGAGAGTCAAACGCAATCAAGAAAACATTAGCTCGGTATTGTCTTAAGAAACAAAAGTGCTTTTAATTTTGCAAAATAACTCCTGCAGTTTGGCCTGCTCCTAACCCTGTCCCAGGTTAAAAACAAACAAAATGCCAGTTACATTTGCATCTGCTCTAAATATCACACTACATTTACTGTAGCCATTAACTATTTTTAAGCTTTCTTCTTGAGAGGTGTTCTCACTAATAGTAATAGATTAAACATAGCGTTTCCCCCCAACTTGCAATATAATTAATAGTAATTATTACCTCGTAGTGACTTTCGGGCACAACTTTGTATCTCACAGGTGTTATACAAAGAGAACCTGGGGAAAGCAACCCCCACACCTTTTACTCCTGAGCTGGAAAGAGTGAAACGCAATCAAGAAAACTTTAGCTCGGTATTTTAGAAAGGAAAAATAAATCCTTAAAATTTTAACAGCCCTGGCAAACATGGTTATACCACTAATTTATCTTACGGTTTTTCCAAAACTTTTGTGTATCTTTAAAAATTCTTCCTTGTCCACTTAAACAACCAACCCCACGAGGTCACAGTGATTTTACTTAACTTTTGCTTCCTACCATAACATTTTAATGGCTTTACCTTCAGTGTGATATAACTGAGCCATAACACCAGCTAAATGATTTTCAGACCTGGTTTTCTGCTGTCTGATGCCTGGATGCTCTTTTGGCTTCCCTAGGTATTGTACAAAGAGAACATGAGAAAAGCAACTCCGACACCTGTTACTCCAGAGATGGAGAGAGCTAAGCGCAACCAAGAAAACATTAGCTCGGTATTTTCTAGGACTAAAAAGAAATAGTGCAACAACTTGGAAAATAACATTTTAACATCATAAAAACGCGTTTCTCGTTCAACTGAAAAACACACTAAAATGTTAAAAGAGAAAAATGCAACATCTTGGAAAGTAACGTTTTTAACACCATAAAAATTTGCACTTATTCAACTGAAAATTTACACTAAAATTGACATTAACTGTGCTTTTACATTCCAAACCATCATACTAAACAAGATAATTGCCAATGTTTTCCTTCCCCCTTATACTTTACTTGAGGTAGTTCTACATAACCAGCTGTAACAAATTTACTTCCTAACATCCTCAATCTTCTGCTCTCCTATAGTTTTAAGATACTTTATGATATGGGTAATACTCTGAAATGAATGCCTTCTTTGGATATATTTTGGGGTTTTAGTGTCTGGAGGACTTTGATTTCTATATTAGCATACTGTTTTATGAAGTCTGGACATAACCTAAGAAAAATAATCACTTGTTTTAAAGGACAGTTCTTTCAAATTCCCTTCAATATCAGATTTAGAGTCAAATACCATCAAATATGTTGATGCTGTAATTCCTAGCAAATTTCAAGAGGTCACTTTCTTTTCAAAATTATATTGTGCCCCTTCTTTCAAAGTGAGTTTCATTTTCGAAGTCAAAACAAGTCCTTTCTCTTCTGCTGCGGGCACTCCCGGTCCCCAGATTAGCCTGTTCCAAAATTGGTCATGTGTCTCACTGGGCCCCTTCAGTTGACCCAAGCGTCCCTCACCAGCTCCTTCCATCTCTATCTGCTGGAAAGGCTTTGAGGTTTCAGATTTAGGACAGCACCACTCATTCATGGTCTCTCCTCGATCAGGTTCTTTATTCTGATAGCTTCCGGAAACAAATACAAGGCAAAGCTGCCTATGTATTGGATACCCCCGAGATGAGACGGGTGAGGGAGACCCAACGGCACATCTCAACGGTGAGTCAGGAATTCTTTAGGATTGGCTGGCTGCCTGTCGGAATGTGTAAAAAGGGTATGGTCATACCATCATATTCTTATAAAGCAAATTCATGACATTTCAGGTGAAGTATCATGAAGACTTTGAGAAACACAAGGGTTGCTTCACACCAGTGGTGACAGATCCTATCACTGAAAGAGTAAAGAAGAACATGCAGGACTTCAGTGACATTAACTACCGAGGTATTCAGAGGAAAGTGGTAGAAATGGAACAAAAACGGAATGACCAAGATCAGGAGACTATTACAGGTAACTGAGCCTGGGTTGGGGGAGCGGATTAATTTTAAGTTACCCGCCTCTACCCACTTTAACTGAGCGGGTAGAAGAACTAAAGTGACATTATCTACATCAAGTCAAAATATAAAGGACTTCAATCTGTTTTTTTTAGGGGTGCAAGAAAGCTCCTATTATCTCAGTTTACAAAGCTGGTATCTCTTCTACCTTACCTTTGTTCTCCTCTGAGGAGAAGACATGACCCAGAACCTAAGCTGGAATAAGTGTGATTCAATCCTCTGGTGGTTGTTAAAATTCATGCCTTGGTTTTCAAGTTATTGGAAAAGTCCAAAAACACTTGTTCTGATCATTGGTTTCCCTTTCAGGTTTACGTGTCTGGCGTACTAATCCTGGTTCGGTTTTTGACTATGACCCAGCAGAAGACAACATCCAGTCCCGAAGCTTACACATGATTAATGGTGTGTTACACTGAAAAAGGCTTACAACATAAACATCACCATTTAGTATGCTAGGGTCAATGACTTTTATTTGGGCTCTGAAGTTCCTTCCCTCCAGGGTTTTCTATTTTCTGAGCTGCCCATTTGGCATAAAAATACCTTGTTAACTAGTGAGCAAAACTTATTTTCTAGACAAGTTCAAGTTAGAAAAAATTTTGCTTCACCGCCTCAGTACATGTTTCCTTCAGACCCATTATTATCATTTCTAATTTTTTTCCAAAGAAAAAACAGTAGTAAATCTTTCTATTGGAGACATAATGAAAATACATAGGCAAAGGGAAGAGAAAGGATTTGACCTTTAGGAACTTCCTGAGCTCTACTGCATCAAGGAAGATTATTCATTACACAAAGCAGGCTGCACAACTTTATGTCTTCTATTCATGTTAAAAAGTAGAATACTAGCCTGGAAAACAGAATGAGACCCCTTCTCTACAAACAATAAAAAAAAAAATTAGCCGCGAGTGGTGGTGTACACCTGTAGTACCAGCTGTTCAGGGGGCTGAGGTGGGAGGATAGCTTGAGCCTAGGAGGTTGAAGCTGCAGTGAGCCGTGATTGTACCACTGCCCTTCAGCCTGAGCAACAGACACTCCATCTCAAAAAAAAAAAAAATTTAAAGTAGAATATTAAGTAGAGACAGTCCTCAAGGGATTTGTACTCCAGTTTTCTGATGAAGACAGAAGTAAACTCATGGTTGCATTCTGACACGTGCAATTTTAAAGGTCTGCCCATGGTATTTTGGGAACACAGAGAAAGACTCTAAATTGATTTGCAGTTAGGGAAGACTTTCTGGAGAAGTTAAAGATGGAGTCTGAATGTGAATATTACTATCGATTCATTTTGGTGAGCCAGGAAAACTGGCAGGGCAGAGGGGAGATGCTACAAATAGACTCTTGGATTTGAAACCTGGCTATATGACTTAACTGTTCCATGACCTTTGGTCATTTACTTAAGCTCTCATCTGTAAAAATAAGAAAGACAAACATACATCAGAATAACTGTGAGGGCCTGACCCACGGGAAACTACTTAATACCATGCTTGGCAAAGATAACAATAACTGAGATTCAATAACTGTTAGGCATTACTAACATAGAAATTTCATGTTTGCTATATCTCTCCCAGTCCAAGCTCAGCGCCGCAGCCGGGAGCAGTCACGATCTGCCAGTGCACTGAGCATCAGTGGGGGTGAGGAGAAGTCTGAGCATTCAGAAGCGCCAGACCACCACCTTTCGACTTACAGCGACGGGGGTGTCTTTGCAGTCTCAACAGGTACAAGTGCATGGCGCTGACTTTGGCAGTCATGTCCCACCCGACCAGCTCATTGGTGGTTACTATAAAAGATGCTTTTAGTAAAAAAAAATGAATTTAAAAAATTTTGATCCTTTCTTTTAATGAGACAAGACTAGAATTGTGGAGGGTTGCATGAAGTTAGATGTTTCATTTTCCTTGATCTCTCTTTTTGAAAATTGTTCTAAGTTGGGGGGAAAAGACATCACTAAGCTGCTAAACACAGATTAAAGGATACGTAGCCATTTTTCTTCTTATAAAGAATTTCCCCCCTTCTTTTCAGCTTACAAACATGCAAAAACCACAGAGCTCCCACAACAACGATCATCTTCAGTTGCTACCCAACAGACAACGGTATCTTCCATCCCATCTCATCCATCTACTGCTGGAGTAAGTGAATAATGACTCACTTAAGTAAATTATTCTTAATTTTTGATATGTGCAAACATGAGTATAAGTATTAGGTATTACGGCCTTTTTTTTTTAACCCAACCTTCTATTTTATATAATGCTCTTTTATTACACGTTTCATATTAATGATAATATCAAAAAACTTTCATTATCAAACTCAAATTAATGAAAAGCATTATTCAATGATTTTTTTAAAAAAACCCAAACCTAAAGCAAAAGCATCAGTTTTGGCTCACTGGTCTCACCTACTATCTTAAACATTTGCTGCTTGGAATCATTTATAGGTTGGGCGTAGTGAATCATGCCTATATTGTCAGCTTTGGGAGCATAACACTTTACGACTGATATGAACAATCTTTGTATGAAGACAACTGTCTTTACTAAATGATATACAAGGTCTAGATAAGTGTTAGACCTATTATATTTAAGGAAGGGAATATTGTAAAGTTCTAATTTTCCCTGAAATAAACCAATGCATTCAATTCCAGTATAAATCCCAATAGCATTTCAAAAAACTGTGCTAATCCTAAAATTTGAAAGAGATGCAATAATCAAGTAAAATTTGAAAATGATAATACTTAAGGACTCAACTAAAAAAGAGCAAAACATACTATAAAGCTATTAAAATTAAATATGGATTTAGCATGGCAATAGATATAAAAATAGATGAAGTCCAGAAACAGACCCTGAAAGAATTATAAATCAGCAGGAAAGGGGTAAGTTATTTAATTACATGATCTGAGGTAACCAGTTATCTATTTAGTAAAATAATAAAATTAGATACTCATCTCAAAGCATAAACTGTAGCTGTACCAAAGATTTAGATGTAAAATACAAAACTGTAGAAGTAAAAAGAATAATGGAGAATTTTTTTTTTTTTTTTTTTTTAAGAGACAGGGTCTCACTCTGTCACCCAGGCTGGAGTGCAGTGGCACGATCACAGCTCACTGCAGTCTCGACTTCATGGACTTAAGCAATCCCCCAGCCTCAGCCTCCAGAATAGCTAGGACGACAGGCATGTATGCCATGCCAGGCTAATTTTTTTTTTTTTTTTTTTTGGTAGAGGCTCATTATGTTGCCCAGACTGGTCTCGAACTCCTGGGCTCAAGCCCTCTGCCTGCTTTGGTCTCCCAAAATGCTGGGATTACAGCCATCAGCCACTTAGCCCGGCCACAATAATTTTAAAATATAATGGGGAAAGCCTTCCTAGGCAAATTCCAAAGTCTAGAAGTATAAAAGCCTGGCCAATTTGATCATAAAATTTTAAATGTTTCCATAACAAATACAAACATATCAGACTGGGAGAAAACATTTACAGAATATATAACAAAAATATTAATATTGAAAAAGAATAAAGCACTCTAAAATTCACTAATAATTCCCCTCACCCTCAAAATAGGATTTGGAAGACTAAGAATAGATAATTTATGGCAAAATAAATAAAAATGGCCAACAAAAAAAGATGTTCACTAGTAACCAGGAATATAAAATAAAAGTGCTAGTAACCAGGAATATAAAAAATAATAAAGTATATAATACAAAGTATCGAATTGAATCAAATATGATCATATTGTATCATATTCAAACATTTTAATAGCAAACTTTAAAAATTAGGTCAGGAATGGTGGCTCACGCCTGTAATCCCAGCACTTTAGGAGGCTGGGGTGGGAGGACTGCTTGAGTCCAGGAGTTTAAGAGCAGCCTAAGCAACAAGGCAAAACCCCATCTCTATTTGTAAAATTATTTTTATATATACATATATATATATGTAAGTTTAAACACATATACCATTTGACCTAAAACTTTCACCTTTAAAAGCTTTTTCTTCAGAAATTATTTGCCCAAAGATAAATGCTAAGATGCTCATTATAGCGTAAGAAAAAATGGTGACAACTAAATGTCCAGAAAAATGAAAATGGCTGAATAATTCGTGATCTTACTAAAATGTGAAATTCTCTGCAGCAGTCAAAAAGGGTAAGACACAGCTATATTTATATGGAAAGACTTCCAAGCTATATTAAATGGAAAGAACAAATCACAGTATTATTTATAGTAATGTTCCACTTATGCAAAGGGGAAAGGAAATCTATTTGTGAATTTGAATATATGCATGTGTATTTCAGAATGCAAAAAACAAAAACTCATATAGGTTATATCCAAAACTACTAACCAGTGGCTGCTCCTAGGAAGAAATTTTGATATTATCAATTATTATATACCTCCAAATTATTACAATTTTAACACTGTGGAGCATAGCTTTGAGAAACTTTTACTACCGGTATGCTCCCAAATTCCTAGAGTGAAAGATGACATGCAATAGTGCTATGGGTTTTCAAATTCTTCTCTAAAATACAAGATTGACCTCTTCAAAAGGTGGAAAAAGGCCATAAATAAAAGTAGCAGCATATTCTCTTTTCTGTCAGTACACACACACGCACGTTTGCGCACACACAATTTTATGGATACCTAACTTAGTATGAAGTTCATACTTTAAAGTGTACAATTCAATGATTTTTTTTTTAAATTTTTTTCAACCATCACCATAATCTAATTTTAGAATGTTTTCATCACCATAAAAAAAACTGTGTATTCAAAACTCTTCTGGTGAATTAAAAACAAACAAATGCTGGTGCCCACTGGCATTCATTCTCCATCCCCAACTTATCCCTTTCTGCTCCATCCAATCCCAGGTATCCATTTCCTGTCACTATATTATTTGGCTACCCAAGACATTTCATATAAATAAAACCATACATATACTGACTTTGGTGCATGCCTTCCTTTACTTTTGAAGTTCATCCATGTTGTATCATGTATTAGTACTTTATTGTTACTACCCAATAATAGATCTGTATGGATATACCACATCTTGCTTATGCATTCATCAGTTAGTGGGCATTTAAGTTGTTTCCACTTTCTGACTGTTAAGAGTAATGCTGCTATGGACATGGATGTACAAATTATTGTGCAGACCTATGTCTTCATTCTTCTTGGGTATACACCTAGGAGTGGAATCTGCTGGGCTATAGGGTAATGCTGTATTTAACATGTGGTAACTGCCAAATTCTTTTCCAAGTTGGCTGCACTCTTTTTCCACTCCCACAGTGGTTTATGAAGGACCCAATTTCTCTACATTCCCTCTAACATCTGTTATTGTCTTTTTTATTATCACCATTCTGGCATGTGTGAAGGGGTATCTCATTGTGGTTTTAATAATTTGCATTTTCTAGATGACTAATTTTGAGCATCCTTTTGTGTGCTTTTTGGTTATTTGTCTATCTTTTTTGGAGAAATGTCTATTCATATCCTTTGCCTCTTTTGGTGGGGGAAGGCATTGAGTTGTAGGAGTTCTTCATATGTTCTGGATATTGTCTATCAGATATATGATTTGCAAGTATTTCCTATTTTGTGGGTTCCTTTTACTTTGTTGATGGTTGCACATTCTCTTTCGTTCAACTTAAGTTTGTGAAGTCAGTCCTGAGACATCTCACAAGTAGATGTGTGCTGTTGCAAATCCAACATATAATATTTCCCCTTTTTCCATCCCCACGAATAGAAAATCTTCCGTGCCATGTATGACTATATGGCTGCTGATGCAGATGAGGTGTCTTTCAAGGATGGAGATGCCATCATAAATGTTCAAGCTATTGATGAAGGTTGGATGTATGGCACTGTGCAGAGGACTGGCAGGACCGGAATGCTCCCAGCCAACTACGTTGAAGCTATTTAGGCATTTCAAAGCATCACACTTGTCTGCAGGACCTACAGATCCTACTAGACTCTCCACTGTTACCTAATTTCTCGAGCTGCCTATGGTTTTTCTGTGTCAATGTGATTTATGGTAGTACCATCCTTTCACCTTTGGGTTTTAAAATAAGTTGCAGAATAGACATTTTAAAAGCTTCTGCAATATTATTTCTGTGCCTCGCATCTTTCTCCATTATAAACATGTTTTAACATTATTTCTTTTCTAAAACAGGGATTTTGAATATGCCAAACACATTAAAGGAAAAATAGCAGAGATGTTCACTTTTTCCTTGCTTACTGATTGATAATGCTTATTATTCAGTTCTGAAATTATAAACTTACAATCAATACAAACTAGCAACTAATAAAACCTCTAATTCTGCAACACTCTGTGGATGGAATGAGCATTATTTTTAATGGTTTTAATATCTATAAAAATTCAATGAAGCAAATTCTACATAAAATTACTAAAAAATTATCTAAATTTTAAAAATGTTATGCATAAGAGTAGACATTCTCAAAATTTGATCTATACTTGCATTCAACAAGCTTCTCTTACAGTTTTAAGAACACCTGTGGACTCCAATCCTAAACTTCAGGGCTTCCCATCTGCATCCAGTAGGATGGCAGCATGTGGCAAAGGCAAAGGGATGAAGCAACCATAATGGCTTAATGTTTAAGACTGTTCTTCCCAGAAGGCAGATAAGTCCCTGTAACTTTACAGGCGCAGCAATGCTGTCTCAAGCTTCTTAATGTGTCTGAGACTCACAGGGAGCAAATGCTCTTACAAAGAGCGCACTCACTTGCGAATGACCAACATACACCTGTATGCCAGGCACTAGGTTAGATGAAGCTCAAGTGAAGAACAAGAGACAGCTGGTGCCCTCAGGGAATTTACAGACCCAAGAAAAGGCAGATTATGCCTAACCATCCAAATGGTGCCAGAGATTGCTACTCTCCTGCTCCCAAGTCTTCCATCTTGCCTTAAACTAGATAAAAATGCAAGTTAGGCAACAATTCTGTGATTTCCAACTCCCAAACTTTTAGAATACTAAAGTATATGCTATCTCCATTACAATGAGCCATTTTTTTGTTTGGAGACAGAGTCTCACTCTGTTGCCCAGGCTGGAGTGTAGTGGCCCAATCTCTGCTCACTGCAGCCTCTCCCTCCTGGGTTCAAGCGATTCTCGTGTCTCAGCCTCCTAAGTAGCTGACTAGTAGGTGTGCACCACCACTACAGGTTGTTTGTATTTTTAGTAGAGACAGGGTTTTGCCATATTGGCCAGACTGGTCTTGAACTCCTGACTTCAGAGGATGCACCTACCTCAGCCTCCCAAAGTGCTGGGATTACAGGCCTGAGCCACTGGACCTGGCCTGGCTGGTTTAGTTTTAAATTTCCTATTTACTTTATCGGTTTGCCAAGGCACACTTTGCAGTTGCTATTGCAAAAACAGAACTTTTGTCTCTTATAGATTTTTCTTTAAAGCCTGGAAAATGTTCAACATGCAGCTGACTTTCCAAGATCCTCGGGTTCACATCCACAGATTCAACCAACCATGAATCAAAAATATTCAGAAAAAAGATGGTCACATCTGTACTGAAGAGCTGAACTCTTTTCTTGTGATTAGTCCTTAAAGAATACAGCATAACATATTTACATACACTTACATAATATTAGGTATTATAATCAAGAGATGATTTAAAGCACAGGTCCGCAGCCTTTCTGGCACTAGGGACCGGTTTCGTGGAAAACAATTTTTCCACACAACAGGGAAGGGTGGGGAATGAAACTGTTCCACCTCAGATCAGGTGTTAGATTCTCATAAGGAGCACAAACCTAGATCCCTCACATGTACAGTTCATGAAGAATTTAATGTGGCCACTGAGCTGACACGAGGCAGAGCTCAGGTGATAATGCGTGCTCACCGGCCACTCAACCTCCTGCTGTACAGTCTGTTTCCTAACAGACCATGGACCGGTACCATTCCACAGCCCATGGGTTGGGGAACCCTGATTTAAAGTATATGGGAGGATGTGCATAGGTTATATGCAAATATTAGGTCATTTTATACTAAGGATTTTTTTTAACATTCATAAGGTGGGGGTGGTCCTGAAACCAATACGCCATGGATATTGAGGGATGACTATATGTATAAAAGTAGAGAATCCACCAAGTAGCCTCAAAAATTATCAACTCACGGTTAACCTTGTTTCTTCTCCACCCAACCAATGCACTCCTCCCATTACCTTATAACTTCCTTATAGTTAATCTTATTATAGATTAGTCACCTTTCAGTGTGTATCTTACAAAGGACTCTTAAAATATTAATCACAAGAAAATTAACACACCTTAAAAACTGGCAATCAATATCCAATGTTCTAATCTTCCTGCCATCTGCTTGTGCTTGTTGGTCCAACGATACTAGGGAAGTCCTTTGAATATATCTCCACTACCACGTAGGCTGCAAAGAGCCATCTTCAAGAAACTATAAAAGGGAGAAATTAGGTCTACGGGTTACATCTCAACCAAATCTCACTCAAATGTATGAACTGTATTGGGTCCCACCCTCCCACCCCCAAATTCATGTTAAGTCCTAACCCCAAGGCCTCAGAATGTGACCTTGGAAATAGGATCCTTGCAGATGCTGTTAATTCAGATGAGGCCCTAATCCAACAGCCTTGCTATCCTGATACAAATACACAGGCACACAGGGAGAAAGTCGTATGAAGATGGGAGATTGGGGAAATACCTCTACCTGCCTAAAATGGCCAGCAAACCACCCAGAAAGCTAGCTGGGGAGAGGTATGGGACAGATACTTCCACATGGTCCTTAGAAGGAACAAACCGTGCTGATACGGTATCTCAGACCTCTACTACTCAAAACTGAGACAATACATTTCTGTTAACTCACTAGGTTTGCGGTACTGTTACAGCAGCCCCAGGAAACTAATACAGTATCTTTCAACATCACTGTTTACCTAATTGTTGTGGTGGGTTTTTTTTTCCTTAAAACTATGGAGCTTTTCTTCGGCTGCACCAAGTTGCTTGGTTCTGCAGAGGAAGCTAAGGTCACGTTTACTTCATCTGGTGGCATTTACTTCATCTGGTGACTAGCCTGGCAGCGTCAGCTCTGCTCTCACCCAAACCATGTGGACTCCCTCTCCAAGCTTGCCTGCATCTACTCAGCCCTTATTTGACGAAACCTCTCTTGTAACAAGTTCAATGAAAAACTGAACTCATTAACAACGAAAAAAAACCACCATCTCTGGATTTAGAAACCAGTGGAACCCATAAAACTATGCACAAATCAGAAAATCTGCGGTTAAAAAGCAGGCCATAAAAGGGGAAAAGGAAAAGCAATGGTTCATGTTTGTAGATAAATATAATGTACATTTTGTGGTATTTGAATTAAGCTATTCATACTCATTTCAGATCTCACTAAAACAAAACAAAAAACCAAAATGTAGCCAACAAAAACAAGTACCAGAGTTTAGTTTTCATAGTTTTATTTCAGGTAAAAGTGCATTTCTTAAAAAATGTTTCAATATCCAGTTTCCATTGGCAAGTGATAACAGTTAACCCTCAATGATTCATGAAAAGTTTTATTGTGAATCAAACATAGATTCTGCCCCCCTCAAGAGTCATAAAGAACCAGAAATAGTAACTGTAAGTGTGCCTGCTTCCAACACTGTATAAAGCAGTGGTCCCCTAACCTTTTTGGCAATAAGGACGAGTTTCGTGGAAGACAATTTCCACAGACAGAGGTGTTCCAATTTCCACAGAGAGAGGTGTTGGAGGAGATGGTTTCAGGATGAAACTGTTCCACCTCAGATCATCAGGTATTAGATTCTCATGAGCGCACAATCTAGATCTTGCATGTGCAGTTCACAATGGGGTTCATGCTCCTGTGAGAATCTAATGCCACCCAGGAGTTTGGGACCCCTAGTATAAAGCATTACACAATCAAAACTGACTGCACCATTATTTCCATTATTTGCGGGTAACTGAGTAATTAACAAGTACTTCTGTTAGGTTTCAACTTAAATCATTTTTAAGACTTATCAAATATAAATACTTTGTGAATGTAAAACTAAGCTCTCTTACAGTTTACCAAATGATGGGGACAACAATATTATAGGGTTAATAAATGACTGATTTGGCGTCTATCAGTCTTTTTCTAAGTGCTATCCATCAGGTCTATCCACAGGAGGTAGTGCAGAAAGCAACTGGTAATTCACAGACCATCAAAGTCCCTTAACATCATGGTAAATACTAACTATAGTTTGAGAGTTTAAGTAGAAAAAAGAAGTGTACTTTTAAAGTACTAGTGTTTCCTAGTATCTGTGTAATTTGAGCAACAGTAAAACACATAAGTAAAATCAGGAGAAGCCATTTTGGAAAATACAGGGGTAATAGAAATATGTAAGTATTCAAGACCTCACTCTGCCAGCTAGAAGCAAATAACTAAATTGACTAACATGCCATGTATGAGCAAAACCTTCCCCCATAAAAGGGATTGATAAACTCTTTTAAAAAAGGCTAGACAGTATTTTGACTGTTGGAAGTCATACAGACTGTTATACTACTAAACTCAGCCACCGTAGTACGAAAGCAACTAAAGACAATACATAAATAAGCACAGCTGTTCCAATAACACTTTATTTCTGGATACTGAAATTTTAATTTAATATGTTTTCATGTGTCACAAAATATCCTCTTTCTTTTGACTTTTTTAACCATTAAAAAATGTAAAAACCAGTCTCAGCTCACAGGTAGTATAAAAAACAGGTGGCATGCTACCATTTGCCAATCTGTGCTCTGTAAAAACCTTAGAAGATTGCCATCCTTCAGTTTCTATATTCAAAACCAATTTTGCTCTTAATTCTGTTTTCTTTTGGAAACCTCCTATTCTATAAAAATAAAAAATTCTTTAGACACTTGTTATTAAATAATGTATCAAAATAATTGTTACACCATACTCTATTTTCAGTTCCATGATACTTTATTTTGAAGGTGATCTTCCTAGTTATATGTTGTTATCTGTTTAAGAAACAAAGCTGCCTTTTGTTGGAAATACTTATTAATTTACTGCTTTTGGGGGAGTAATACTATATTTTAACATAATCCCTCAGGGTATTTATGAACATCAATTATAATACTGTGCTATGTACAGAACAGCTCTCAGAGACTACAGGCTATCAGTTATTTCTGAAGTACATGAGTATACAGGACAGGTTGTCTCTCTACTAAATGGACTATGCATTAAAATTCCAGCTCAATCTGCCTTTTCCATTCTCTTCAACTCATCACTTCTCAGTGCATCAATTTCTATCAGCATCTAAGCTTCCTGTCCAGTAAATTTAGCTTTATCTACAATTATAAAT